CCTTTTCCTCCCCCCCCCCCCTTTCTTTCTTTCTCCTTTTTCTATATTTCAACAATATAGTACCAGACAAATAATCAAACATATGTGTACCTATTTGTTTAATCCTCTGTTGCAGCGGAGTCATATGCAAAAAGACTTCGTCCTTACAAGACCGAATTTGCGTCCCAACGAATTCAGTTGATCCAAGAATTCTTTGAGATTCCTCCGCGAGATTGACACCCCCCATAGCCGCTACATCATTAATATCGTCGTCGCCCCTATGTAATAAGAAATTAATCAAATTATCTTTTCCTCGACAGGATGCGAACAGTTAAATGTATTGATATAGTTAATTGCTTACGTGTAACCAGCCGATGAAAATGTCTTTTTCTCCTTTTCTTTAGCCGTCGGTTTTGGTACGAGAGAAGGCACTACGGCTTTATTGAGTGTAGTGTTTGTATTAACCGTTTTCCCTTGCGCTGTTGTCGTAATTGTCTTCACGATATTTGTAGTGGGTGGTTTTTGAACATTCGGCACTGTGGGTCTAATACCGCTAACAGCGACTGTTGTTTTTACAGCATAAGCTGTGGGGCTTCGTACTACCGTCGTCACCGGTCGAATCTTTTGTATTGCAACAATAGAAGATAACTATTTGTTAGCTCACAATATGAATTAACATTATTAACATTTATCCGGACAGCTACTAAAAGAACTTACCAGTCTCTGTTGAGCCGGTTGTGCAGGTCGCTGCACGGTCGTGGTAGCTGCGGTAAGGGGTGCCATGACCCTTACTTGGGTCGTGGCGACAGCCGCAGCAGCCGCCGCAACCGATGGCGTTGGGGCTGGCGTAGCAACGGTCGGCCTCAATTGATTCTATGATACCGTACAACAAGAATAAATCGTTTTTATTGATGCTGTAAGGATATTTCATAGGAGAATACACAGTACCAAAAACTTCAATATACCCTTTACAGTAAAGTAGTGTACACGACTGTACATGGTGAGGCTTTACTCAGGGTAGCATAATAGTTGTGTAAGCTCAAGAAAGAAATAAGAAAACAATGGGTTGATGTATCAATACTATCTCTACGAGTACTCACTTGTACCTGACTGACGACTGGGGCCGCTGACGCTATAGAAAATACAACGTTCGCAGGTGGTGGTCGTATTCCCTCGATGACCAACTCCTTGGTAACGAGGGACTGCCTCAGGAGCGGCAAACTCTTCTTCAGGAACCCGATTAAACATGGTTGCGGTGACGCGTTTAGTAATCTTTCAAGTCTATCACAAAACTCTTCGGGTTCAACCTTTGTATCAATTAGTTCTTGAATTAACGTCCGAACATTTCGTTCCACTGATTTAGGTTCTCGACTAGACAACTCTAATAAGTTTGCTAAGAATTTACGGCACTTTTCTTTGGTATTATCTGTGGTTTGACGCTGTAAAAGAAACAGTTGCTAAGTTATTGTCTCTCACTTGCACAAAGATCATGTAATATATATTTACTAAACTCATATAAAATGTTTATAATTATGCAGTATTAAAAACCAGTTTACATACCTGCGCCGGTGTTTGAACTGTTTGTACGGCATTGACAGCAGATGTAGGTGCAGCCGTGGGAGCAGTAGTTGCTGTACCTGGAGTTGTAGCTGCTGGTGTTACACTTGTGGTAGCGGTCTATGTAAACATAATATTATGTTGTAGCTTATGGCATACGAGATAACATATTTATCGAGACATAATATTATATATATATGCATATATATAAATGCAATGTCTATGATAACGATGATAATTAGCATTATTTAATATTATGAACGTGTACTTATTACAATGCTCTACTGATGCACCGCAAACACAAGAGTGACAATAGATCATACGAACATTCGTGTCAATACTTCATACGCTATATTTATTTAATTTACTATAGACTTTCCATGAAAGAATATTTTACACGTTTGCATCGCACACAATAATTTTACGAAACGAAAGCTAATATAGCGATTGCAACACATCGATTCTAATAATTATGTCATCCGAAGTACACCGGTGTACACGGAGTGATAATGATATATGGAGAATTATTAAATAAATATATTTCCCACAGCAATAAAAAAAAATTTGATATATGCAATATGAGCGTTTTATATGAATTTATTAATGGCATTTGAATAATTAGCAGACCGTGCTCGGAATTTAAGAATATACGTAAAAGTACTGAAGCTCAGATGAATAAAAATAATTACGTCTAGAATGTACTTATTGGTGTTAGTAGATTAATTGATGAAATCGCGCTTTTAAATAATGTAATGTTATTTGATGGTAGACTAGTATGTTAAATAATTTGACGCACTTGTACCTTATACAGACTCGAATATTCTTTATTACGAAAACAGGTGATTTTCACTTATTTTCTTGTACCTCTAGCGCAAAGAGAAATATATCCGTTATAAAAACCATTTCTGTATCTTCATTAGGGTCATTTGAGAATTCCTTGTATAGTACTAGAACAATCTCAATAGTAGTAGTTCGTAAGAACGTATATATAACCGTGAGGAAACTGAAAAGAGTGCTCTCTAGAACATTTTCCAAAAAGTTACTATTCACTTTAGATTCGTTATACTAAAAGCATAATCAATTTTCAGCAAATTTCTATGCGCGTTATCAGTTTAGTGAAAAGAATATATATTATTGCGTGTTTTACCGTTATTCTACGAATACTTCACAGCTATAAAATTACAACAAAGCAAAACAAAAGTAAAGTACTACTCTATACCTAAAATACTATAACGATACTACATGTACTCAATACTGTAAAGTATTATTAAGCTATGGTGCCCTTAACCATGCAACTCCATAAAAAACAAAATAATAAAGAAATATATCCAAACCACTTTCAATAATCTACTACTACACCCGTACATAAAAATTACATATACGTCTACTCATCTTTGCTCAAATCAGCTACTTCAAAGTACCAATAATCAAAGAAAAACTACAAGTTTCGTAACTTAATTTGTACAAGCAGTGATAAAAAAAAGTCTAATTTTGCTGCACTATATAGAAAACTAAAAGAATACTCAAAACGAAAATTCCTAAAGACAAGTTTTCACCTTCAGTGAACAAAAATAATGTTGTTCAGTGATTAGATATAGTAGATTTTGAAATTCAAACCAATACATGTAAACGGAATAGTTTCAGAATATGTAGCCTTACGGATAACATTATTCCACAAAAACAATTAAATTAATCTCAACGAAAACCAATGAAAATCTACAGCAGCACTACATCGAGTCTCGTAGGAGGTATGAGAGTGCGTCACCTGAACGGGTTTTCTTAGGGTGGCGAGTGGCGGGCCAGTGAACTGTGTGTTCAGCCTACTTACAGCCGGCACAGAGGCTAGGCGATACGTGGTGCCTGCGGTTGGCGCAACCACTGCGTTTCCCGCAATGCTATTTGGAGTCACCGTAGTACCACTCGGAGTACCAGCAGTTGGTGCTGGTCCTACCCTCAATAACTGATACTGTCCATTTTCTGTTTTCAATAGAAGATGCCCCTGGGTGCCTGGCTGAAGACCGTGAAGCGTTTGCAAGGTGATCTGAAACATAGCATATGATTATATTAATGTTAGAACTACAAACAAAAATGTTTAGTACAATATACATGATTGGATCATACACAATAAGGTAAGCTGGATAGCAAATTACATAGAAATGGCAGAGTCTAGGTTACACCAATAAATTTAAGAGTCATATTTAATAACAAATTAAATATACTGTTTAATACTTATGATACGTAAGATAGCATTAACTATAGTGTAAGAACTGTTATCATAGCTAGTAAAGTTATAGGGCAAACTAGAAAAACTGTAAAAGAAAAATCTTCAATGAATTCAATGCCACAACAGGTGGTTGATAATAACTTTGAACTTGTGTATAATAATCACCAAATATTTGTATTTCTTACTATTCACCTTAGGCCTATATCATTTATAACAGAAAATGATAGAAGGTAGAGAAAGGAATGAATGAAAAAGTAAAAGAAACAGCCTTACCCCAGGTGCCCCTGGCCTAGCTCCAACCATGTGTGGACCAATGACTACCCTAGAGGTCACTTGTTTGCCTGGCTGTTGTCCAGCTACTGGAGTGCCAGGCCGCATTGTGTTTACATTCAGTATTTGCACATTACTGGGCACTATTGTAGATGTGACACCCGCCTTCCCTTGAAGCGTGGTATTGGCTACATTACCAGCCACGGAAACAGGAACAGACATTGGGACGGAAACCATGCCACCGGGTGCAGCACTGGTTTTTATCACCAAGGCAGTGCCAGTTTGCTTGTTCACATTCGCTGTACTTTGACCAGTAGCCTGAATAGCTGAACCAACATTAGTAGTAACATTCGAAGCAGCCTGCAAAACTTGAGAAGTAACTCCCAATGCACCGTTGGCTAACTGTCCCACAGTTTGTGCAGGAAAGGTGATCTTGTTATTGGTGTTGACTACACCAGTAGTGGCTATTGCCTGTGCTGATCCAGGGTATATGATCTTGACTGATTGCTCGTGAGCTTTGGTCAAACTGGATATCCCAGTCTGATTGGTTGCGGTCACCTGGTTGGCGGTCGCTTGACTGATATAGGCGGCGGGAGGAATTCCGGATTGTGTATGCTGCTGAGAGCTGGCTTGAACCACTGGCGCGACCGCGTTTGAAGTAACCACGTTTACAGGGAGGAGAGTGCTCGTTGTGATAGTCTTGCCGGTATCGTGAGTAATGAGGCTATTCACGGAGGTGGCACCGCTGCCGTTGGCAACCCCATGTTTCTGTGGCTGAATCGCGGGGATGGTGCCCCCGTTGGAAATAGCGCTGTTCACTTGGTGGTTCTGCTGGCTAACTGCGGCGGAGCTTGCCTGATGACCTGGGACGGTCGGCGTCGACGTTACCAGCTGCGTCTCAAGCGAACCCACTATCGCGTTCACTGCAGATTCATCGACGTCCGTGCTCAGAGCTTCCTCCAGAAACTTAGCTGACGCCATTTTCTTCCAAGCTCCAACTGTAAACTAAACTGCGCATGCGCGTGTCGCAAATTGTTCCCATGGTGCATTGCCCCCCTAGCGCAGCTGAAGACTCAACGAGGCGTATCTTCTGTTTACCGTCGGGCGGTACGCGTCTAGATCGATATTCTTCGGCATCGTTATTTACCGCTTTTTCAATGAATTAGCTGCATTTTTGGATCGCCTCGTAGAAAACGATCCCAACAACTCCGATTCCCTCCACCGGCGGGATTCCGATATGGCTGTCAGAAGGCCGAGCACGAAACACGTCACCCGCCAAAATGGCCAACTTCGAAAGCATCCCCCAAGCCGTTACATGCATTTACACGAAATCCACGAAACCTAAATGAGATAAATGTTTTTTCTATCAATAAAAATCATGAAAAATCACATCACTGATTAGGATATTAAATCATAACTTCCTTCACACTTATTGAAGTACTTTACCTCTACTAAAAGCAACGTGTATTCGTAAACTCATGTTTAATCGACTCATATCTATGACGGGCGTTCCAAAAAACTATTTCTTCGTCCAAACATGCAAGGCGCGTTCTTATGCTCTATAAAAACTGTAAATAACCGTTTATTAGAATACATTTAGAATAATAAAGCTATTAGTTTGAAAATATTGCAAGTAATTAGAGCTTAAATATTTAGTGTTGGACAATTCATTAATACTTGAATAGGGACTGGGCACTAATATCAAAGATTGGAATGAAGTTTACTGACATGCCAAACATAGTTTATGTTAATTTATGCACCAAGCCTACCAGGCATTGCGTTTTTCCAGATGTCACTGGTAATGCAAAATGAAAGATGGAATAAGGGAATATAAATAATTTCCCGCGATTTTAGCCAGACATCAACTAGTACTTCTATAACCACATTATTACGAAAAAGAAAAACATTCCTCATAATTCTTCAACATGGTTCTTGATTCGTTAGACGCGTATATAGAAATATTATCTGGATATATTTATGATGATGACAAATTGGTGAGACTTTTTTAATTTGTGAATACTTTTACAACCCCTTATTCGCATCCTTCTTTGTGAGTTAAGGTTCTAAAAATATGATGTTAAAAGTATTTAATGTATGCAGCAGTTCTGTAATCTATTTTCTATAAAACTTATCATTTTCAGGTAACATATAAATGGCTTAGTAAAGAATTAGAAATTCATGTAAATATTACTAAGCAAGTATTATGGGAATTTTGGCAACGGTATAGAAAAGAAAAGGATTTAGAAGCTACATTTATGCTGATAGGTTATTTAGAGGATGGAGAAATGCGTATAGAAGTTGTAAAGGAATCACATCTTGAAGGAGCAAAGGAAAAATTTACTAAATTAATATCGGAACATCTGTACAGTTTACAAAAGACTTTGCCAGACTTGGAATTGCTTGCTATGGTGGATGACGGAGATTGTCAGTATAGTGCTATCAAATGTAAAGAAGCTGTCATAAGAAGCGATGATGAACTACTAAAATTACGCTGGGGGACACAGTGGCAAAAAGTGAAACAAATAGATTCAGATAATAAAGACAAGAAACAGGTAGCAGGAAAAATAGAGAGTAAAGCAGCAGAAAAAACAAATATCTTTGATAAGAAAGGTCCTGCTGGAAAAAAGTCCCTGAAAACTCAAAAAGGAGCATTTAATAACTTCTTTAATAAAGTTGACCATCAACAAGTATCTGTAAATAGCACTTCTCCTAAAGTTACTGAGAAAACAGAAGAGAAGAAGGATGGTGTGAATAATGTGGGAAACAATAAAACATCTAAACTTGCAAAGTCTCCACCAACTGAATCAAAGAATGAAATCTCAAATGCCTTCAATAGTTTCTTTGGAAAAACGACAGGTGTTTCATCAAAGGAATCAGATTCTGAGTATGCGAAAAATGCAGTCACAGGGATGGAAGTGGATTCATCACCCAAGAAAGAATCCCCTTCAATGAAGAAAGATTCTTCAATGACTGATTCGATGATAGAAAATAACAAAAATATTACCAATAGTAAAAAGCCAACAAAAACTAATAAATCTACAAGTAAATCACGTGGGAAAAAACGTCAAAGAAGTGGAGGAACACATAGCGCAGAAAACAAACGGAAACGCATTACAGTCATTTCCGACTCCAGTGAAGACGAGGAAGAGTCTCAAGAAGAAGAGAAATTCGAGGAAGATATTGTGCCTGAAGAAGTTCCTTCACCTGCAAAGACTACCGCTCCATCACCCCCTCTTGTTAAAAGAGAACAAGGTAAACGAAAGATACGAAAAATTCTGGACAAGACATTTGAAGACGAAGATGGCTACCTCGTAACGAAAAAGGTGTCTGAATACGTAAGTTGTTCAGACGAAGAAAAAGAAGTTACGGAAATTGAAAAACCAAAAACTGTAGTGCACCCGAAAAATTCGAAGAACACGAAACAAACATCCATAATGACCTTTTTTAAAAAGTCTTGAAAGTACACTTGCGCATATATATATATATATACATCAGAATTTGCCAAACTTTAATTTTTCAATTATTCACGTATTTCTGTTACATCCGAATACGTTGTTCCAATTCCACCTATACATATGAATTGTTAGTTTTTAGTTAAACGCAGTACGTTGCGAGGAAACTTAATTTAAATAAAATACTTGAAAATATATATATATATCTCGTATATAGTATATATCCACGATGAAAAACCTAATTCCTTTTTCTTCACTTATCTACAGGAATTATTATGACAAAGTCTGTTTATTTAACGCGAGCTTACGTAGAAGTGAAGGAAGCTGATTCCTTCAAGGAATCCTTATCGAAATAGTATTAATCATGCGATATGATTGCCTGGCAATCTTAACTTGTATTGGCTGACTTGTTAAATTTTTCATTCAACCATTTATATACACAGTAATACGAATCTCCGTACAATATAACATCATTTTATGAGTACAATGATCACTTAGCTAAAAGACGTGCTACCTGCTGAGTGAAATTACTATCAGTGTTCAAAGACATCTCCATATCTCAATTTGAAGTCTGCTACAGATCCCTATAAAGTAGTCTGAAAATTACCTACGTGACGTAATTATCTGATACGCTATCAGTACTGACAGTATAGGCGTTCAGGTTTACTCATAGTATCCGTAGTATGCATTTCATCGTGTAACAATAGTTTTAATCAGCGGGTAATGCAATCTACAATTAATTCCATTACAATGGGACGTTGGTTATTCATTACTCTTCTTCATTTTTCTATTTGGTGTGGCTGCCATTCTACTGTATGCGAAATATGCATATGTTCAAATACAGGTAGGTCGAGTGTTATTAGATTCTTATAGATTTTACAACGCGTGTTATCGCGCGGAATGATTGTACAGCGTTTAGATTACATAGGTGAATATGTTTATAAGATTTGTTAAAATATATTGCAGATAATTCACGCACCGTGGACTGTAGAGAAAAACGTTTGGAAACTCAAAATACGCTTGAATTTGATTTAATGATGTTCGACGAGGAGAAAAATTTGAATAACTTAATATTGTCTGAGAATGGAATATTTTCATTAGCCGTGGATACTTTTAAGAATCTAAAAAACCTCAAATTTTTAGACTTATCGAGTAACGGCATAGGCAATATACCCAGGGATTCTTTTGGCGACTTGATTAATATTGAAGAACTTGATCTTTCGAATAATTATTTGAGCATACTCGAGGAATACGAATTGGAAAATTTGTCTACTTTGAAAAAGTTAAACCTGAGCATTAATCTTTTTGAGGAATTGCAACAAGGCATTGGAGAGATATTATTAAATCTGACGCACCTTGATATCTCACATAATAAGCTACGGATACTAACAAATGGATCATTAAAATTATTAACTCATCTCCAATATTTGGATGTATCACATAACAAAATAGCTTCTTTGGGGATTGATAATTTGGTCCATCTTGATCAGTTGGAAACGCTACGCATTAACAACAATCTTCTCGTGACTTTGTCGCCTGATGAATTACCACAATCCATCAAATATTTGTATGCTGGATATAATATGGTTGCGACAATGCCTTCCAGTTTGTCGCAATTGGAAATATTGAGTGTTGAGCATAATCTTATTTCTGAAATTGATACTGAAGCGCAATTTAGCCAGCTGAAAAAAATGGATATTAGCAATAACGCTTTTACCGATTTTCCAATGGCTAAACTTGATAAACTTGAAACCTTGGATATATCCAGTAACAAACTTTCTGCAATACCATCCTCGTTAACAGTTGACAATTTTCCTGTACTAAGTACAATTTTTATCGGCGATAATCCTATTCGAGAATTAAAATTCCCTGGTAACCTCCTATTACGAAACCTCGTAGTAAAGTCTTTTAATCTTCTGGAAAAAGTTGAACAAGATGCTTTTTCGGGAATAAAGAATTATCCCGACGAATGTCTTCATTTAACGATATCGAGTAACAAGAAACTGCAATTCATCCATGAACATTCTTTGGATAATCTCAATATTTGTTCTGTAAGGAAAATTTAATCTTACGAATTGATCATATTTAATTGTTATTTATATACAAATAACAATAGACGTTTATCTCAATTAGCTGGACTTGAGTTACAACAAGCTGACGACCATCCCACGGAAATTACTTTATGCAGAGAAAACGTTAAAAATACATGGCAATATTAATGTGCAAGGAAATCCGTTTAATTGTGATTGCACATTGCAATGGATGCTGAGCGATCTGGTTAAAGAAATTTATGTGAGGAATTCAACACTTCTGGATGATCTCAGGTAATTTAGTAATTAAAATCTTAATATTTCTTCTGAATATACTAATATTCATTGTACTGATTTACAGGTGCGCAACGCCTCCAGAATTAGCCGACAAGCGAATGGTCCATTGGTACAACTGGCAAGAACAAGTTCTTTGTGATAAATCGCCTATTTTATTATCAAAAATCAGGGTAGAAACAGCTGGGATTATGAGTGTAAACGTAGGTGCGATTAAATTAGAATCTAGTACCGGTATGCTAGCTGTAGTAGTTGGTGCTGCTGTCGTTCTGTCAGTTCTTGTCATTATTGGGATAGTTTTAGCACAGAAAGTCGTTCGTCAAAGATCACGACGAAATCGAAGATTCTAACTAGTCTCATAATATTATATAAAGTTATAATTACATTAAACATAATTATTCCATTATAAAAAATGTTTACCTGTTTTGAATACGCTTTGCATTTCAATGGTCAAAATTGTAAACGTAATACAAGATTTATTTTTGTATAATTTATAAATTTAAAGCAAATTCGATCAAATGCAATTTTAATATAAAAAATAATCCGCCGATTCTGGTAATAAATAATAACCGCGGATGATTTTTATAATGAATATTTTATTTAGTATAGTTCACCATTCTGATCATATTTATAATAAACTTTTTACACGCACGGTAGCAGTATTTTTCGTGCACAGCACTCCGAAGTACAACAAAAATACTTTTCAGGTTTTATAACAGTAAAACGTTTTTATAACAATATGCTATTATTTAATATCAACTTTGATAATAAAATTAATTTTCGTATGTCACATTGGGTTGTACATATAAAATCATGTATTTGTAACTTTTTGCAAGTTCAGAAATACATATAAGTGCGTTGGCGATAAAAAAACTTTTGATCGTATCTCATTGAAAAAATTTCGCTGCTAAGCAAATAATGGCTTTTATCATACGCTAATTCGTAATTAATTATTAAATAAATATCCATTTTCATATAAGGCGTACGCAAATACCTTACTTTATTTGATGAATGTAACATAGAGCAAGCAATATTTGATCATGCATATATCAATAAAATAATTATTGACAAGTGTACTAATTATTGATGACCCGCATTGTCTATTGTCTATACTAAAATTATCCTCTGCTATATCTAATCGAGCAATGTGGACTAGCTTACTTCCCTGCTAATATTAGCAAAATACTAATGGACAGATGAATGAATATATGTTGAAATGAAAATATAACTTTAGTGTATATTGTTATAAGATAATAACATCAGCGGATGATTTCAGTAATTAATCATCTAGTGATTCCATAAGCGTAAAAGAAATTCTCTAAATGCTCTTGTGGGAAACTCATTGACACATGCAGTTTTAAAAGTTTAAAAAAATTATCTTTTCTATCTAAATTTTTCTTTTTAATTCCATGTAAGTATCATTGAAAATGCAAACCAGTATAACAATCTGAACAAACCCTCTGACTGACTTTAATATAATGCTTGTATTTCATTCAATATGTAACAAAATTATTAGGAATTGTATGCGATCAGTAAGTACAATTTAGCCCTGATTAAAAGAATTCCTGGTTTAAAATATGATGGCATGAGAAAGAAGCACATAAGATCGAGGTTCGTGGCGGCCACGTTATTACAATATCTTGTTATCACGTTGATTCAACTAAAGTATCAACTACCTAAAACCCGATATTTAACATTAATTTTGATATAAAATTTTGGTAAGATGTTTGATCCATTTTTTCTAAATCCTGCTTAAATAGCAACTAAAATTCTTCAATCTAGTCTCATAGTATATACTATATGAGAACTCGTAATTTTAGACGCCACATTTTCCTACATCTATAATCATAGTCCAGAATCTGCACCAAATTCAGGGAAACCTTTCATATTATGAGCCTTAAGAAGGTGAATCTTCGAAATAGAATTAATGTCAGACAATGATTATAGTTGTTGGCAAAACTATGTAATTGACAGAAAATTTTAGTTACAATCTACAGGCAGCTGTTACCTTCTTTCTCTACTGTCGGCAGTACTCGTTTCATTATTAGTATATAGAGGATCAGACAACAGTATGGAAATATTCATAACTGATTGGACTTAGCTAGAAAGAGTTACCTACAATGCAAGTAAATACCCTACCTTGTATAATGTATTAGACAAAATACCGGCTTGAGCGATAACACTGTATCTCCGCTTTGGCTATTGAGACTCTTAACATGATCATCATTACTATGGAAGATTGATCCCATTGAATTGTCTGCTAAGTTAAATAAAATGATCAACCATAGTATCCTAAGCATTTATATATACATTATTTGAAAGTCGTGGTAACACATACTGGCCTAGAGAACTTACAGTAAAATGTACATCTGACTTTGGACGCAATAATGAGTTTCGTAGCTGAATTCTCACTAAATATGATCTATATCCCAATGGCTGGATAATTCGCGGGCGGGAGGATTTTCTCTGAGTTCATTAAGAAAGGACAATATATTTTGATAGTAACCGGATTGATGCCAAGTTTCATTATGAGTACCATCAGGAATCGGAAGTATTCGTTTACATGAGCTCCGACAACGCTTATAAAGTTCTGTCATCATTGGTGGCGGTACAAGCGTATCTGCTAATCCAGAGATGAACAGTGTCGGCACAGATACTGAACGTATTTTGAGCAGCGACATATACTATAAAAATATTTGTAATATAAAATGTACTCAAGTCAAATGCAGTACAACATTGCAACTGACATAATAAATGACAGTAAATACGAATAAATCGTACCTTATTTTTATAAACAAACAGTGGAAGATACTGCAGTAATTTTGATCCGATAAGAAGTGCTGCCATATCGGGTATGCTGGTAAATGTGTTTTCCAAAATAAGGCACCAAATCCTTTGCGAATATTCTGGTTTTGTTGCTAAATCAATTGCCACAGCACCGCCTACAATTAAAAATTTTATAACGGTTGATAGTATCTTTACTAGATATTTGTATAATTATTACTCACCTAACGATCTGCCAAAAACTATAATTTCATTTGTATTTATGTCAGTACGAGAATTTAAATAATCAAGTCCTGCTCTAGCGTCCATATATAACCCTTCTTCAGAAGGAGCTCCCTGCGATAATCCAAATCCTCTATATTCTAACATCAGTATATTACACTGTATACTGTGATACAACCCAACAATATTTTGGAGCCTAAACGCACAAGATATTGAAAAAAAATTGAATTATTTAGTGAAAAAAGAATAATGTACAAGAAATTTATTATCACTGACCTGTGACCCATATTTCCAGCATTGCCATGAAAGAACAGCAGCGTAGGTACTTTGTTTGCTTTATCTGGTGGTTGAGAAATAAAAAACATATGGAGCGTAGTACCATCTCCAGATCTAGTATATACACTTTGGTAAGGCAACCTATACATAGATGGTGCAGGAACATAAACACGTGAATTTGCAGGTGCCTCAGGATGGTACAGTAGCTGATCCTCTGTATGATATAATATACCTGCAACAACTTTATTATGTTTTAATCACATTCAATAAATAATTATCTAAATTTGGCATTAGATCACAATTATACAATCGATAGTACTAGATAAAGAATTGTATAAACTATATTACTTGATAGAATTAAATAATAAAATAGTTTAATCATGCACATTAAATTATCAGTTAAACAAACCTGTAGTAGCAAAACACAGAAGAAAGAATGCAAATACACCGCCGTATAGCCAATACAATAGGAAGCAGGCAAGTACATAGGCTCCAGAAAATGCCCAACACTTCATGGCGATATTGCCTAGTAGTTTAACTGGACGACTCCGTACCAAACGTATACGAAAGGACATTGTGAATTGTAGAATTTCTCTCAAATTCGAAATAAATTCTTAATTCGTCCGCATTGGTTACCTAGATAACCTCAGAAACTTTAGAGTCTCCCTCATCGAGACTTCGGATCCTTTCATAACACAAGATGGACATACGCAACGTGTCTCAAATTAACATTACAGAATTTTGCTACCGGTATACAATTTTAAATGTATTATTTGAATTAAAAAATTTTACTATCACATGACGAGGAACTAAAATCATAGGTTTATAAACAAGGATATGATATCAGGCCACAGGACTACCTCCCTGAATTTAGCCGCGGACTATATTAACTTCTTAAATATTTTTTTAAAAATCGTTTGTCGGTCGTTTGTAGGTTATTGGTTAATTAAACATAACGTTTGTCGGCATCGTTTTTGAGATATTTCAACAAGAAATTTGAAGTATAAAGTCGTCCGATTTTTCTTATTTTTTCTTCTGATTTCATTAGGTCTGTGTGTGCAAGCATTCTTACAAACTCTAGAGCACCATAGGTGTGTTCGAAAATGGGCCGAGAGTGCAAAGTGCATCGCTGTTCTCAGTTTATTCTATGCATTTTATCGAGACACATCTCTCAGCAATCTCGGCCCATTTTTGAACACACCTATAATGTTCGCAATACGTAAAAAAAAACCTTTCACGAACGGACCTAATAAATTGTCCGGACTGGTCCGGACAAAATTGGCGTCGTGAAATAGAGACGAGTGTCGCATAAGCGCTGAATAAATAAAGTTGATATCCAAGTATCTTACTACATCACGACCAACCGAACGGCATTGATATTTTTGCAAGGTCGCCCGTTGATATTCAAAAGTAGAGGTTATCCAGATAGATAAGTTTATTAAAATGGCAAAAATAATAATTGAGACTGATGTTCCTGCGGTAGTAAAAAAATTATCTGCCATTATAGAGGAAAAAGCCAATGAAGTACTTGCAACTCAGGAGATCTTCAAAATTGGCTTATCAGGTCTTTTATTTATTATTATTTATTAGTAACGTATCTATATTTCATCATTTTGCATGTCGTAAAATTAATTTATAGAAAATAGCATAGCTCACAGGCGCTTTACTTATAATAAAGAATTCATTTGTAATATATTAAGTATCTTGATTCATATTAATCATTTTTATTGTCATTAATATTGCGTTATAATAAATTACCGACTTTTTGTAAGAGCACTCGATATCCGGAATTTTAATACCGTTTTCAACATATAAATAATTTGTATTCTTTCTTTTAGGGGGGTCTTTAGTCGGTTTCTTGGCTGAAGGTCTACCAGGCATTTCAACTGACTGGAGCAAATGGAAATTCTTTTTCTGTGATGAAAGAGTAGTGCCCTATGACAATAATGAATCTACCTTTGGAGCATATAAGGCAAACTTAATTGAAAAAATTCCTATTACTGAAGATCAATTTATAAAAATAGATCCTTACCTTTCCGGTACTTGTACAAACAAAATACTCTTTCATACACAAAACTAATTAGATACAGTTTAATATATTCAATTAATTATTTTCAGCTGAGGATGCAGCAAAAGACTATATCAAAAAAATGTCTGTCTTTTTTCCACCTGACAGTTTACCAAAATTTGATGTCTTATTGCTAGGCATGGGACCTGATGGTCACACATGCTCACTGTTTCCTGATCATAGACTTCTAGAAGAGATGAGTGTCTGGGTCAGCCCAATTAATGATTCGCCTAAGCCACCACCATCAAGAATCACACTTACTTTCCCAGTAATAAATAATGCCAGCACTTGTATATTTGCAATTACTGGAAGCAGTAAAGCAGACATGATAAAGGTAAAATACATGAACAAAATGTGAAAAGAAAAACATTAGATAAAAACTATAAAATTGCTAAGCAATTTGCATATGTTTCATTACATACTGTTTTCAGCGCATTTTGAAAGATAAGGAAGGTTTACCTGCCGGAAGGGTACAACCAACTAATGGATCATTATATTGGATCCTTGACCGGGGTGCAGCGAAATACGTGAATTCCAACTGAACTGTCCTGCCTTCGCGTTTTTACGCCATTGCGTCGCATGGAAACTTAACGCATTCCATCTAGTATCTCGTAATATTAAAAACTACGTTTCTTGCGCTGATAATTTTATATATACATATATGAACAATTATTTTATATAATGTGAAGACTAAATAGATAGGTAATTAATATATTGGAATGTTAAAGGATGAAATGCGCCGATCTGCCTCCATAAGCACTGATCACTATATAACGACAAAGTCAGAATGTTGCGATAAAATGGCGTGATACCGATAAAGAGCAAGCGTTAATGATAACAAAATTTGAAAAGGAGGACTAACTAAGCATATCATCCTTAATATCGCAGACTATATTTCATATTTTGTTTCGATATTTGTGTTTTGTTACTTACATTCTGCTTTTTATTATTCCAACAGATAGCATTAGACTGTGAGTTTAATTATTCGATAAAGGATATTGCTAAGTGCGATTTTCCATTTTCAATGAATGCTATGTGATTTTTCTAGTACTGAAAACAAGTCCCAAACTTCCTGAACGTATAAGACTTTTTTCTATTAGTTACGCCAAAGCTTGCTACAGGTGTTCAGTGCATATCCAGAATTGAAATGTCAGTGCACTCCGTAGTGTACAAGTACAAATCAGCCGCAAAGATACTAATTTCTTTTGTTAAATTTTATAATTGGTTCAAGCAAAAACGTGATTGAGTGGCACTTAACATGGTTATTATTACGACGGAAAGTTCCGTTTTGAGATAAATAATTCATTAGATTAATAAAGAAATTGTTAAATCGGTACGAAATATGATTTCTCTTGCATCTTGCTGGCAAAAGAAGTCTACTAGTTTATAATTATTTTATATTATGCAGCAATCACTGCTGCTAACGAATAGCATCGTCAGTGACGACACCCATACGAATAAGACATATATGTATATTCAACTTCACATAATTTTGATAAAAGAAAAAAGTGATAAGCGAAACATATTTATACAAAGCTTAAAAATGCAACTGAAATCTTCAACGGCAAATAAATATTGCTTTATCTTTGCACTTACCTTAATTTGAAATTTTTAGTTCGGCGGTCTCGCGGCTGTACATCGCATACGTTGCCGTAAAATACATCGTCAGATAAATATAAAAAGTGAACAACAAATAAATATACAACGAGCGCAGGGTATAGGCTATTGCACAGTATTCATACGCGATGGCAACATTAAAAAATCATCGAATTATATATGTATAAATATACACATGATATACAAACAATATGTATATCACTATCATCATTTCTACTGTACATAATCTTTTTAAAACCAGAAAGAAACATAAGATCCATCTAACGAATCCTGTATTCAAATAGATCCTTAGTTGTTAGTTATAGGCATCGATTGAAAAATTTGGAATGGAAGAACACAATTACATAACGCTCCAAGTAAAACTATTCAATGCTTTATTCTTATTGCCAAATATCACAGATACCATTTGGATACAGAATGCAATAGAACGTGTCACGTGTAATACGGTATTTAATGCTGTATTTGGTTGTTAGATCACACAAGAGTAATCTTTGGTGACTTAATGCAATCAGAAACAAAGTTAAAGAGTAAGAGAAAGGTAGCAACATTCATATGCTGTATGAATCGTTGGCTGTGTGCACGTATGTATAATTCGATATTGAAATAGAGAATTAACAACTTTGAAATATACATTCTGTCTTGCAAGAAGAGTCACCGTTGGTAGTAATGCATAGATAGTTTAATATACAACGATAATTCATTACGAGTGAGAACTGGTGCCTGTGGCTTCCTAGAAACCGAATCTATAGTAGTCAATAAATTACATTTATTCTTAAAAAAAAAAGTCACATTCATATACATGGATACGGAGCCATAAAAAAGAACTAAAAAAAGAAAAGTGCCGATTCACACACGTTCCTTAATAAAGTCATGTGTCGTCAGTTCCATTACAACTAAAAATATATCTGTACACGTGTAAAAGCATTCAAGTTCATGCCTTACAAACATTCTTCGTTAATGAAAGTTTAATACAGGTTTTAAATAGCAGCGAATTTACGTTCCAACTTTCCTGACTATTTATTCAGTGTGCTCTACATTATTCACCTTGCGATAATCCGAAAACATAATTGCCATCGTTACTGTTCAAAGAATTCTAAGCGAGCTAATTGAAAGGCAATGCAATTTTCCAAATTACTCATGACGCAAAAAACCCCAATGGCGAGTAGCAGGGTAACACAGTATGATCTCCTGTATTGAACTTTCATATTGCGATAAACAGAATGGTACGATACGAAAATTCCTCGAATCGCAGTAATACACAGAACTTGCATACAACCTTAGCTAATTAGGGAATGAACGGTGTTGTAGCAAGCGCAATATTACTCACAGGGGGTGATAAGCCCATTTGAAATGACGGTCGACGTACTCTTGAACTATGATAAGGTCGAAATAGCATAAGAGAATATTTTAATGGATATTTTTGTGAATTCTTTGAAACTTCACCGATCGAGTATTCTTTCGTGCATTTGAAGAACAAAGAAAAGTAACTGTACACTTGACCATATGCAATCTCTAGACTGACAATCATTTAAATATTAAAAATATATCGCGTTTTTTATCATTTTTTTTTTCACTCCGTCTCTCTTCCTCAGTCAAGACACAAGACGGCCGAGTAGTACTACATAAATGTTTCTTCTACTCGTACTTAGCACAGATTAAGAATAATTCGATCGTTAACGATCAAGTTTCAATTACCCCCTACTACTCGATAATCCCCTTTAATCAGTCAATCCCCTTGCAGGCACGCAGTGGGATACCTTTTTTCGATTATAGATTACTAGTGCATTGTATCGTATATGGATAGATTGGAATAACTAGAATTCTATGGAAAAAAAAGAAAAAAAAGTCCAGACATCCATCACATAGATAGGAATCGTTCGGTTCAATTAAAACAACAAACTAAATGTTATGATTCATCTTTCCTCCTTGCTATAAAACATGTAAAAGTGGCTAATCGATAATACTTGCTTTCTACCTCCTTGAACCAAGCAAGAACAAATCTTTCGATTACTGTCTACTGACTTCGAAGTGTCCACTGTGTACCTGAGGTGCATCCAAACTCTCCCAATGCTCTACACACAATGCTTTGCCTCTCCTTCGCGAATATGCAATGCGCATAGTGAAACGGATATATCAATAGTAGTATATTTTGAAAACGCGTAACGTTAAATCAATAGATAGTTGCAGAAGCAAAGATTTCCGACAATAAATGTGCTGTACACGCACTGTCAAAATAGATAGAGGAGAGGCACAGCATGCAGGCCTGCCTGCTTGGCTCGCTTCATGCTAGCTTGCAGAATTAGCGTAGTTCTTATCATATAATAACACAATAATTTAATAGAATTAATATTCCCTAATGAATATCTTCATCACGTCATGTTGACACCCAGTGCCTGCCTGAAGTGTTCATATACAACGTAACTTATGGATACAGCCGGGGCGACCTATAAACAAAATATACAATTTTTTCTATAGCACAAACGACATTCCGAGTGATAGTCTGATTATTATCACTGATATTAATTTTCTTACCTTTAGGAAGTTAGGCGTTAAGCCTCGGTATAACCCCCGGAAACCTTCTCTGTGTATAATGTCTTTGAATACACCAACCATTGAGGTAGGGCCTTTGCTAGGAGTTACTTGAGCTTGTAACCGAGTTCTGACTAGAGCTAATGGATACGAACATACTTGTCCTGCCGTACTAGATGCTGTACCACACAGCAGTAGAACCCAGAACGCTGGCTGTTCATTCTTCTCATGAGTACGTAGATAATTGTTCTTTAGCGTCTGTAAAGAATTAATGAAATTACAATATATAGTTTCTATAAAATAAAACATCATCTCTAGCGAATAAGTAATGAAAACCTTTGAGATTATCCTGAGCAGAAAAAGAAACTCACCTCGTAAACAGCCAAGTCAATTCCGGCATATGGAAGTATACCAATGAGATTAGGAACGTATCCTCTGTAGAAGCTTTTTATGCCACCTTGACTATATATCTTTTTGGCCGCGTCCAAGACGCCCGAATACTCTCCAGTTTTACGAAGAGCCAATCGTGTCTTTAACACCTGCAAGAAAATCAGAAAACTCTCAGTTTTTTATTTAAAAGTCAGAATATATTACACAAAGCAACTTTAAAAATTGTTACCCACCTCAAGTGGATATATGACCGACTGACTGATACCACCAGCTATAGATCCTGCGACGAATCTCTCATAGATACTAAGTTCCCGCGAATCAGTTCCCTTGATGGCTCTTTTAACTTGCTCATAGGCCATAAATTTAAGAGCAGTCTCCGGTCCAATCTTAAGTACATTTATTCCGTTACCTCGCCAAAGGCTTATAGAACCACCTTCGCGAAGCATGTACTTAAAGCAGCTAGATATATTGCAATGTCGCGTACCATGGACCTAAAGCATTAAAAAAGATTTTTTTTATAATTTATGGAAACATTCAAATTATCCGTAGTTAAATTAACTTCCGTTAGAGGTAGGTAATCGCTATAGAAAAAGGCATGACAAGTGATTTACCTGAAGGTAGACTTTAATACGATCCAAGGGAGCTGTACAGGTGCGAGATACTGCTCCTGCAATCCCACCTGATACTAGATGCCGCCACCACATTCCCGAGACCATCTCACTGTTTGTGAAATCGTCGGGAACGCCCATATCCTCTCCAATGTCCATATACTAAAAACATAACCATAAGAGCATCGATTAACGAACTTTCAAATTAAGTCATAAAAAATTCGTGATACGAATCATACCCTACCAAATACGTGTGAAACATTATTCACGTGAAAGGCCAAAAGAAGAAACTGACGCAACAGGCAGAGCTTCAGATAATTATACATTATTTTAATTCCTCGATTGAATCCAAAACGTCACTGGATTCGTAACCGACTTGAAAATCGTCAGTGTCCCAGATAGAAATCATTTGTTTCACGATCATCGATTATCGATTAATACGAATTGGTTTGAAATGTCAAAAAGCGATTCTCATTAAAATGTAACTCCGAACTTGAATTTTTCACCTAACCTTCACTGAATATCATATCTACAGTTTCTCATTCTCCGAGCAAGAAAAGAGAAAATAGTCAAACGTTCCAACGCACAGTTCTCGGAAATAAGAGTTTAACCAAGGAATAGGATATCTGACCATTTTTTTATTTCTGACGATAGCAACGAGGTCAGTGCATGAAATGAATGGACTCGAAGCAAGTGTCTAAGCGAATCAAGAGAAAGCTTCGACTGTAAATCCGCTCTCTGTTCATAGACGTTGCCCCTCGTACTAAGGAAGTGCTGGTCGCGTAAGCAAGGTGTAAAAGAAAGAGTTAAGGTATCGAAGAGTACAGCAATGCCGCAAGTGGTTCCGATGGACTTTAGACTCTAGAAAAGTCCTCAGCAGACCCTGGCATAACCCGAGTCTGTAGTGCCGAGGATAACAGAATGCCAATTGGCAGGAGTCTCGTAGCCCCGGAATTGGCTAAGCAGCAGAGAGTGGACCTCGCTATCTCTGGGCTTTCCCGAAACCGCTTTTAACCGGATTCATTCCTCGTCTTCCTCGCGCCCCTGAATCGAATTACTTCACAGCCAAGTCACACGTGCCTCTAGAGATACTTCGTAGAGCTTAATTTATCTCTACGTATTCTACGTTCGAAATTTCAAGTTACTCGTATTATAGAATTTTTGGAGTATCGACAATTCACATAATCGTCCTACAGACGCGTGTCATTTCGAATGTAGGTCGTTCTCAGAAAGTGCCGTAACACGGTTACTACCATTTTCATAAACTTTGGTTGTAGCCTATATACACAGTATAGAATAAAACACTTTCCACGTCGTCTAGAGGACGCTAAGTTGAATCTCATTGCTTTAATATCTCATTTAATTCGCTCCTGCAGTATTTTCAATTGATACCAATTAGCCATGAGTAATACAATAGCCGACATGATTTTTTCTTTTAACGTATACATTACTCCTTGCATTATACATCGGTATGAGAATAAAACCATATCGATATACGGCTTAAAAATATATTGTACAAACAAGAGGAACGCGACGAAAGAAATATTTAGAAAAATCTCTTCTCCCACGTCACGTTGTTATTAGTAACGTTTCTTGTATACATTCGGATACTTTCATTGGCGCTCAGTGTTCACGATGACGTTAACGATGTATTTACGTCACTACGATAAACAAATGATCGGAGTTAAGCGTGGCGCGTCACGTAGTAGGCCTGACTTCTCGGAAAAAATTTTACACGCAACACAACAGTACGTGTAGCTTTACGTGCATGTTCAGCGAATTAAAGAAATGCACACGACACTGTGGAAGTCAACCATTATGATTTTTCAAGAACGGCGTTCGAATAAACGAACGAGACAATGCACATTAGAAGCTACCTGTCGTCCTACGTAGATGCATTAGGTAATCCATCCAGGGACGAAGTAAGACGACCTCGCCATGTTTTTTTCTTCTTGCCAGCACCGATCAACTCCTTACCAGACGTCGAATCCCAGAAATAATTTTACTAGGCTGATTGGTCTATGCGGGCGCCAGAGCGCTTTTGCACCTTGCATGAAACAAAAGCCATAGTGTATTCGACCTAGGAGACTCCTGAGTGAATTTTAAAAGTCATAAGACTTGAGCCGAACAAAGTGCGAGTTAAAGTCGCCCGTTTCGCAGGAGCGTTAGGTATAAATATAATATCATCAGCTCTTGCAAGTCTGACCGTAGAGAGAGATCCAGGGTCAAGCTCGGGATCCTGACGTGCCAAGAATTTAAGTTATTTTTATCGATCGTATCCCAGGCTTATCTCCTGAAGTCACGTTACTTAGAATTGGCAGGAACGAGGACAGGACATTTCCGAGAAAAATTGATTCGTTAAATTCAATGTAAATAACGAAGGATTTTTTAAGCTTATAGCCAGACGATTAGGACTGCTGATTTATTGAAAAATTACCACCGAGTTATGGATATGTGACGTGTCAACAGTTGTCTATTATAAATCTGTCAGCATCACGACTAACGAAATAGCGAAAAGATTTGTACTGCCGACTGCCAATAAGGTCGTTAAATGAAAAATCTGGTCCTTTATTAAGATTTCTCAAACATTTCTCTTGGTCTACAGACACCGATTAAGACAGTTGTTATATCTTTGTCAGCCTTATCTAGTTAACGCTCAAAATCACATGTGCTGTAAGATAGCCACTTCCGATGATAGTCCATTCGCACTCGATTAGTCATTGTCTTACGGCTTATCGTTCAGTTGTCTTTGAATAAGTCTAGGGAATTTCTTTAGTATCAAAATAACTTTCGGTTCTGTAATTCCTCTGGAATATTTGCATTCCTCGAGAGCCTTCATTGATTCCGGCTTTTAATATTTCGACCAAGCACTTTCACCGTGCTTCCTCCTGACCTCGCTCAATTCTAGAAATTTCCATCTGCCAAATAGCAACAAGCGGGAGAAATAATTATTAACCTACTATCCACGGCTATCTCTCTCTCCCCCCTCTCTCTCTCTCTCTCTCTCTCTCTCTCTCTCTCTCTCTCTCTCTCTCTCTCTCTTTTATCTCTCCAGTTCTCGTTACAGACTACGTAAGCAACACCAGAAAATATCCTGCACAACTGTGCAAGGTGTTCTTTCTCCATTGTATATCAAGGACACTGATTCTGTCATTTGACACTACAGCAAAACTTCGTTGTGAGCCATAGCAGTCGAGAGGCTAGTAGTTCACGGCTTATATTTCTAAAACAAAAATAGTCACGATAATAAAACGAATTATTCGATCAGAGTAAACGCTACGTATGATGAACAGTCATTTGGTGCTCAATAGTATTTTTCAAGACCTCATCACGGAATTAGACTTTCCTTCTAAATAAAATCCCATGGGATTAATTTCTTTAAAAAACTCGAGCTTTCCGTCTGGACAGCGAACGCAACTATGCGTTAAAGAACTTTGATTACCATGAAACGAGCGCTTCGAACCAGATAAGGAGCTTTGAATCATAAATGACGTAGATCCACGAGGTGTGCGCATTCGTAATATTTTTATCCAATGCACTCAACTGTCACGTTTTCGGTATATAAATATAAGACGGTTATTGAAACGCCGGTAAAATCAATCAAGATCCACCACACGTGCTAATGGCTGTTAAGACACGCTAAATGCTCTAACAGCAGTATCGCTACATATAGTTATTTCAGAAAAGATCTAACTCTTAAGACAATCATGGTAACAAGTGTTAATGGTCAGTGGCAACTTAAATTTTTAGTGATTTTCAGTGAGCATAAAAAATATACACGTATTAAAAAAGTATTTCACACTTTATTTTTTCTAGTAACGACATTGCGACAATAACCAGAATGACGTGTAGAAATTGTCGAGCCGGTTGGCAGTATCAATTTTGTCTTTGTCTGAAAAAATGTTGGTACCCACAATGACGTTGTTGCGATATAAAAAAAAGAATATATCTGTCGCTTCATAAAGTTGAAGAATAATCTAAAGTCTGGTACTACCAGTGCTAACGTACGTCGCGGTCATAACAGTGGAAAATGTGTACGGAGGTCAGACGGTCGATGATTTCTCATTGAAAAGTCACGAGTAACCGTGTGAAATCGTCGTCATCACGGTCACCGTATCTCTGCAGCAGAGCTTCGTGACACGTGTCGTAATTGCGTCTGGGAAATGGAAACTCCACGGAATACGACCTTGTACAGTTCGCTAATGACAAGTCGGCGATAAATGCCAGACGAAAAAAGTAAATCTTTCATATCGCAAATGTCGAATGTCATTCGTCTGAATGCAGCGTGATCGAGCATTTCTGTGATATGTCACTTTGATTGCGTAAAAGTCAATAATGACAGTGACGATTAAATGAAAAAAAAAAAAAAAAAATAACGGGTGTTTCGCATTTCTCAAGATGAATCCTGCGCCTAGTGGCTTAGGTTTAACGGTTGAAAATCGGTTGCTAAAAATACATGGCAGTTTGTGTCTTGCTATTTTGGTCAAGATGGACTCTGACTCCTCTCCTGCAACGGGTAAGTATAGGCGGGCGAAGACGAACCCAACGCGACTGACGACAAAAGCGGCGGCGACGACGACGACGACGACTATCACGACGCATTTTGTACGATCGTCATTCAAAGTTCACGCGTCTCGCTTATTACGACTTTACGAGCATGCGCAAATTCGTTATATCGCTGTTATCGTAAAGTAATCGCGTTGCGAGTGTCGGGGATTTTTTTCGCACCTCTCAAAAAGTCTGCGATAAGGTAATGATATGTAAATAGCCGATTGACGGTTAATAAGATCGCGCGATAAAGGCCGCTGGGTTTATTCAATATTGTGAAACACTCAGGTTTTCACATTAAATTATTAAACATTATATTTTTCAAGATAATTAATCGTTTACGTCAAAGCTATACGGATGCACGATGTTCTAGGAACAACCTTATTCGACCGATGACACTTGAGATAGTAAAAGTCAAGATAAATAAATCGACCTTCGGGGTGATAGCTAAGAGACACAAAGTTCACACATCGTTTCTCGCAAGAGTCTGGATTTTTATTATTTTGACATATCGAAAGATTCGGAGGGGGTTCATTAAACTCTTAATTGGGCAGTCCTTGTGAATGATTCTAGGACATGCGATTATATTAAGATATGATAAGATATGGTATAATCAGGACTTCCGAACAAGGACGTGCTGCTGTAGGTACTTAACTTTACGTATATTTCAAGGAAAAAGTCGCTGTCGATATTATCCAAAGTATCCATGTTTGCGTTCTTCGAATTGCTATTGATCGAACCAGCAGAATTTTCAATGAGCTTGTTTTTTTCTTTTTCTTTATTAATGACTCTACAGTATTTAAGCTATCTAAGCAACGAACGGCAGGTGAGCCAGGGTACGACTGAGAGTAAAGAGATCGGACCCCTCTTCAAGCTTCCGCTAGGAATGCGGTCTTAGCTTTTTCTGTCTACGCGTTACTTGGGTTCTTGCCCAATGTCACTCTTGGATAATTCGATGATCGTTTCTTCCTCATAGTTGTCTCACGTCGAACTACGAGGAAGATGACTGGCAGTCCATCAACCTCTTTGAGGATTCCTCTCGTGGGGGCATCCCGCCAAAGACAGTAAAAGTCCCGCAGCGTTCTGCGTATAACGATATAAAAGATTTCAAACTGCGAAGAACCAAACTAGACTGCTTAACCTCCAAATTAGATAAATCAATTAAATGAACGTGAGATTTCATGGATGACAGTTTTTGTGGCAACTGTCAGTGAATCGTAACGCTTCAGAGCCAGTAATGCCTGTAAAATTTATCGTGATTGCTAAAAAAAGTGAGGTTAGGTTGGACATGCACGTGGTATAGACAAACAGAGTGTAACCGTCATGACTCGCTAACCGACTTACACGTGTGTGTGTATATATGTATATACATGAAAAAGAGATCTGATGAAATATTTAATTAGAGTCGCAACGTTAAACGCTCTTAAAGCAGGCTCTTAGTCATAAGGATTGCTAAAAGTAGAGAACTATCGATCACTTTACATGTTGATTATTGACGGACTATCCTCGATAGGTTAACCTTACGAAATATCAACAGAAAACGAAGAAATTAACAAATCATTCGCAAGACAGACTGGAATCTAGAGTATCGCAAACAGAGGCATAAACCAAACAGACAATTAAGGTTATATCAGCATTGTAAAGATGTCAGGACTAGGTCATAGTCTGACGAACGTCTACAGCTTTAATGTATGTGATTTTTCCTTGTCTAATATAAAATAACTTTTCACGTTGCATATAGTTAAATGTCAGAGACATGAAGACTAGGCTAACGTATATACACAATACGGTATCCAGGAGAAATGCCTTAAAACCATGAACGGAAATGGCACACGTGTCGTCAGAGAGGTCGTCGAATGAATCCTAACCTATACAAAAATTCTGTCACGCTGGGCCACGGCCTTCGGCCGACACGGAAAGTTCCGAGTCCACAGCGTGGAACGTTCGCGATCACAGGGACACGGGAGCGATTCGTTATGGCGACAATGAAGCTGTTAAGCCTTTGACAGTTAGAAATAATATTTTAAGGGAATATAGAGCATCGACAGTGCCAACAGCAGCTGCAGCCGGTAAGAGGAGTTGGTTGTATGCAACTCGCTATTAATAGACAGTCACTAGCTACGAGTAGATATAAGATTCAGAAGGTTCAAAAATCGCTGCGATAATACACCATTGATCGTGTCGTTGGAATTATGGATCACAATATTTATCACTCATCAAGAAGACACCTTGACAATCGACCCCTTCCTGCTATCCATAAGTGAACGAACTTACCCGCTGTAGGAGTTCATGGTAGACATCGAGAAATTCCTCGCAGACCTGGCAACCGGACCCAATGCTTTCTTGTTCCAGCATGGCGATAGTAATAAATACGTTTCCTTGGCTATATAGGAATGTGAAAGGCGAGATACTCGCGCGCACTATTATTGTGTTACAACGAGAGGCGTTGCAACCGAATATATTAAACTACGAAGACGAGTCGAGCTTCACGATATACGAGTGCTCGGAGTCGGATCTCGCGCCGAGAGCGAAGGCCAATCCTGACTGAGACTAGACTGACTCAGTGGCGGCGATTCGAATGAAGATAGAAAGACACGGGAAATCCCCACCAACGGCAAACTGGCTGCTACGTCACGAGCGACCCGCCTCCAGTTTCGTTATCGGCTAGCTGCTACGTAGAGGCCACAAGAGGTTCTACGTGTTAACTGACAAGGGGCCAGAATTTTCCTGTTCAAAAGCCAACCCGTCCGACTTCCACCAGTTCTCTCATTGTTTGGCTGTCTTTGACTTGGAATTCGTCTTGCCGTTACATCCGGTTTTAAAAATTATTCTTATTGAGAGTGAGGTGTGATGATGCTCGTATATGATGAATCACGAATGACAAAGATCGATGCATTATTATTATAGCTGAAAGTAGGTAATGACCTGTTGCCATCGGCACTCTTAATAACAAATTACATTTTACTACAGTATTATTTGTCACTAGCTCAGCGATGTTGTACGATTCAATCTTACGTGCTGTCAAGACACTGTCTAGACTTGATAATGATGATCCTGTGCTCCACTAATGACAAACTAGGATAACAATTACAAATCTATTCCGCGTTGAGTGTACTGCGACATGCCACGAGGTGATAGTGGTGTTGTAAGGTGAATGAGGCTACTGATTTCGTCTAATTAGAAAAAATTTTAATCGTAAGTATAAAGGATTCCAGAAGATTTTCTATGGACGGTGAATTAATTAAAAGACTTATCTTATCAAGAAATTGTATAGGTGTCACGTAGTAGGCGATTCTTAACGTTATCGGTACACAAATCAAATGCATGCCAATACAACGATCATAAAGAATCGTGATCAGGCCAAAGAAATTTCTGTCCAGTGCGAATTAGGACTAGGATCTACAATACACTGGCGCGCTTATCCTTTTGTGATATGATACTTTAACCACGTGGATAATTGATAACATTTTTCGAGAATCCGATTTCTTCCATATCGTCGTATTTTTAGAGACTTGAATATTTTCCACGTGTATAGTAAATTACAGATAACTTCATTCAAACAACGAAGAAATATGATTAATAATAGCCTCGAGATACCCAAGTTTGTCCGATTATTTGTCATATCCCGGTTCAAACTTTGTCTCCTACGGATTAACCATACGCCAAGGTACTATAGGAAATTTCCAAGCATAATAACAATGAATTCCAACCAAACCATGATTCCCGTCACAATCACCCAGGTAATATCATAACCGTTATTCACTGACCGTAACGTATTACGACCAATTCTTAAAAGTCCATAAATGATCAACGAATGGAAAATTTTGAAAAGTATAATAACACATGAAACTGCTTATAATTGCGGAAAATACCAAATTCATTCGAAAACTTCACAAGTAATATAAACCATACGTCGTAATGAAGCATAAACTGAACTTGCCGTTACAGCGTAAATGTCGCATATATTTTCATATAGACTATGACTTAACCTTACTACAGATAGACTACTAGTAGATGTAATAAACGAGACTCGTACACATATACATACATATTGTTATCAAGAATGACGCCAGTCGCTTGCATCAGCTGATGAAACATTGCAATGAATTTCGTCATCATTAAAAAATCGAATTGCAAGTAAATCCCATAGAGGAGTATCCAACATAAAGAAGTATGTAAAGTCAAAAGAGATGGATGTGATCATGTGAAAATTACAAGGCATAAATTCAACTGAATCTGTAGGTATAATACAGGCGGATCCGCTCACTACATTCCAGTCTGCATCAGTATACCAAACGACCTTGTCTCTAATTGTAAGTGTAAATTTTATGACCTCATAAGAAAACACTTTTGCATTTTCCTGTATGGGCGCATTCGCCTCAAGACTGATTATTATAGTGATTAATTTTATACAGCGCAAGCCAAGTATATCGGGTGACTCGGAACAAAAGCACTACAAAGCTTCCAGTGTTGAGTACTGTAACGTAACAAAACAAAGAGACATATGTAGATTCGGTGCAACGTGTTAAGCCAGGATCATTGTGCTTTAGTATCAAAGTATGTACGTTGCATAACCGTGCATAGACGTGGGGCAAGTCACTACCGATATGAACTGGATAGAATCGGCCTCCAGTTAAAATACCACCCGCAGCTGCAATCTCGTGCGTTACAAACACACAAGACCGATAAAAGAAGCCAAGAAAATCCCCCTTTTGAATTTTATGTTTTCTCCCGCGCTTCAATTAACCCACCGTCCTGATAATGTTATGAGCAGAGGTTAAAATTTCGTTTCTGGCACCGCTGTCCACTACGCAGTCGAATCCCGAGACTTTCGGTAATCGAGTCTTATCACAAATTACGAGCGACTTTTGTGTCAAACGTCTACAATTTTTTTTACGTCACTGATGCTTTAAATTGCACTCCTTACGTAACTGACCGCTTCGTTTTCATTTCAATAATCTTGAACACAGATATTTTTTTCAGTTTAAATAAGATACTTTGGATTGTATTGAAACGTATTTTTCACTTTAAAACTTGTAAATGCATGAAGTTACGGGTGCAAATGATTCTAATGAATTCTTCAAATTAGATAAATACCTAATATAGTATACCTAGTATACCAAGTGTATACCAGTTTAAGGCAGTGACAATCATATTGAAACTTCTGATTACACGTAAACGGGAAAACCAATGTTAATGACATTTTTGTAAAACAAACATGCTTTAAAGAAACTTTAATCCAGATTAAAGGAATGTCTCTATTAGATTTTTTCGTGAATTACGTCATTTGGCCTTTTATCGCTAAAGTGCGCGTTAAGACTGACGATATTCGTACGATTGATTCCCCAGAGGGGACCGCGACGCAATTTTTTCTCTCAATTGACTAGTCCTCATTCTCGACACAGTTAGTCCCTGTTACATACGCAGACTATGTGTACCATTTAAATAAAAAACTGTGTATCCAATCCTCGTGCAAGATTAGCTTGAACGAATTTTCGACAAACCCGTATCCTGCGGAGTCCAATTGTGCATAAACTTGAACGTCGGACAAGGTTTAAATGACAAAGTACCATAACGTACTGCAAAACATTCCACTGCTAAGTGAAACTTTTCACCGGCACCGGTCGTGACGTTATTCCGTAGATTACCGACCTATATAACCAAAGCAATGTCAACCTTCTGCATTTCGTTAACAACGCAATATTCGAACAAGATAAGAGGATCAGACATAAACATAATAACACGTCTGTAATTTGCAATTAGAAAAAGGACGTAAGAGGAAGACCGCTTATGTAAAACCGTAAATAAATAAATCTCAAAATTGAACTGATCGATCAAGCCTACAATCATTATGAGTTCTGATCGCATTTAATGGATCAAAAATACGGCCGAGACGATCAATTCATTTTATCTGGACAGAGGGGCAAGATCCACTTGAATTAAATATGCCCCGGCATATAAACATATGTCATGCAATTATTGCATAAATTCTCTGTTGCGATGTCGAGGAGATTTGGAAATCTGGTTAAAGCGAAAAGTTCATTCAACGAGCTGTTTAAGCTGAAAACGTCGATGTACTTGTGATTACGTAAGCACCGAATACCGTGAGAAGCGTCCTACTTCCAGCGGCTGTTTCACCCGAAGCCAATACATAAGACTGGTACTACTCATAGTGCTATAATAAACCATTCTTATTCACTAAAATATTCAACAATCTCTAACTATAAACTCTATAATGCACTTATTCGCGTCTTGCGTTCTATTCAAACGCAAGATGCAGTATTACACGACTATGTATTAATGAACAAAAAATCAGTTTAATACTGTTAATGATATCGACACAGATTGAGACACATCACTCGTCTCTATCGTTGATCTTCCGGTTCATACGGATCCGTCAGTTGTTGAATTTTTTGGCCCGTTATCTAACGCAATCAGAAATGATGACATCAGCTGCTGCGAGGACTCACGACGCACCTGTTTTCCTCCCTGGCGATGCATGCTCGAGAAGAATCGCTCGAAGCCGCGCAACGCTCTTTTAACAAGTGAAAACGTACGTGTGAAAATGCCTTCGCGTGCGCGAGTATTTATGCCAGGTCGAGTGGTGGACGAAATGACGATGAAAAGTTTGTCGTATTGGAAAAGCGTAGAGGGTTCTAGCAATTGCGCATGCGCGCACATGCGTGTTTTATTCCTTGCTGCATAAGCAGTACGAGACAGAAATTGGACTGATGGCCGCTCGGGAACAGCTGGGAATCAAGGTCATATAGCATGGTACGCACGGGACGTTTACGTCATCGTTCGAACATCCGACGAGCCTTCGGATTCGACCAATCCCGAAGCTACGCTTAACTGTCGAGCCTCCACGCTACCAAAAATCGTCATCCTTGGACCCCTCTTCGTGCTTTATAAGCATCATTTGTCTGAGCCGGTTACGGATATTAGATGCTGATGATTATTACCGTGGTATTACGTTTCTTATCACATATGATAGGCAGAGGTAATGGAGTACTTCCACTTGTCTCCGGTGTGCATTACAAAATGAAAATCGAGACTCGCTATTTTTTTTGTTATACTGACGGTATAGCGTGTACGCCAGATCTGCTGTAGAGACGTATAATGTAATTATATAAATGACTCACCGTGGAATGACGCCAATATAGGATGATTTCGTGGATGTTGGTGCTAGGTGCGTACAGGAGAAAATCTCGCCACTCGTTGAAGCTGATGTTGAGACTTCCATCTTGGTCCATTCTGTGAACGAAACGATAAAGGAAAGCATTTTTTTGGAGCTGAATTTGACAATTATTTAGACATCCTAATTATTGTTCATGTGTCGTACCTCTGAAGCAGTTTAGTTGCCTCTACTCTATCCATTTCTATTCCTAAATCCTTGAATGCCCGTATCAGCTCTTCCAGATCAATTTTACCTGTGAATCATTTGTATAGTTATTGTATCGGTTATAACGGTTCAAAATTATTTTAGATCGGGAGCTAAAGCTGCACAATATTATGTGAACGGAAAACAACGATTAACGGGTTACTAACGTATTCGTTAATTCGGCTTTGTCACAATTGCACAGCAATTTCGTTCCAATTAACATTTTCAATTGCAGTATATAGATTGAACTAATACAAATAATCTGATAAACTGTTCTTCCAACCGTGTCTGTCCGCACATTCTGCTTCGAGAAGTTACGGTTGAAGTACATATTTTACACCAGTTCTTGTCTTCAAGCTCAATGTCACCTTTTGACAGTTGAGATATCTGGAAACAATTTGTTTTAATAAAGGACGACTTTTCCGATTAACTTAAGAAAACAACGTGATTTTGGCAAGTATCAGAGTATACCTAAAGGACTTCAAAGGGATAAAGAATGTGCAGTTTTGTAAATCTCTCATTACTTCAGAGTAAAAAAAATATTCATCATTATAAAAAATATATGTTTTAGGCTATCGGAAAGGTTATTTACATTACAAATAATGCAAAAAACTTTTGAATACTCCCAGGCTGCATATAAGAATGTTCGAAGGAATGATAAAAATATTTGTTCCAAATTCATTATCCTATACTTTTAGAATAATGCTATATAATAATCCAACATTTAATATTAGGCACGAAAGGTCCTAATTATAAGAAGACATAATGAACATAATTAGAAATAAACATTATTTTGTATGTAACTGCTAAATTAAATCCATAAAAAATATTTTATAAGGTATTTGAGCCAATAGCATGTGATATGCAAAATAATTTATTTATTATCTAGATAAAATATGTTGTATAAATTCTGGGATACATTCTACACTTATGTATAAAGGATAATCCTTACCATCTCTGTTTTTATCAAAATCTGTAAACTGCAGCCGTAGATTTTTTTCATGCTCTCGAACATAATGTATGAATTCTGCCAAGCTGATATCACCACTTTTAGTCCTATCTGATCGAGCTAAGAATTTCTAGAATCAAATATCATTTTTGATTTATTGAACATTGTTTTAACAAAGTGTCTTGAACAATCATTTTATTATTGTATACTAATTAATAATAATATATTGTATTCATAGGTTGTCTATAGTCCATGTACGATAGCATACTAATTCAGTGCTAATTAGACACAATGATAAGTATAGAATTAAGATATAGATTTCATATGATATGCTATCTTGAGGCCATCGTACTTATCTATATAAAAAATCATATTGGATAAATACATGTAAATCCAAACCTAAAAAACTGCAAGAAACAAACATGTGTTCTTAAATAAGTAAATTGATGATACAAAGTACAGTGGTGAAGCCCAAGTAGCTGAATGACTACGAACCATCCTGAAGCCTTAGAAAGCCTTACGTAAATTAAAGCTTCAGTGTAGCCATATCCTTGAGGAGATAATAATCCATAGTCTTATGCAAAGTAAATTAATGTTTTATATAAACAATTGGTATACGATCATAAAAGACTACAAAACATCAAATATAATTCCTTTCACCAAAAAATTAACACATTCAATAAATACTAAAAAACGAATAATGACCAATATATGATTACCTCGGCATAGCTTTTATGTACGCCGACTTCATGTAGCGCCTTGGATAGATCATGCACATCAATGCTTCCGTTGCCATCCAGGTCGAGTTTATTAAAAATCTTAGCAAGTCTCTCCTCGTCCTGTGCCGGCAACTCGTGGAGGTAGTGCGGCGGCATCACGCCGTGCACGCCTCCTCGCGATCCCGTAGGCATATTTCTCGGGAAATCGATGTACCGTTAAAAAATGCGTATATCGTAAATTTGAAAGGTGTCCTCTATCCACGTTTTTAATTCTATCACGCGCTTTTTTTATCAACCCAGCTATACAATACGTTCACTTTTTTTCCTGACGCAGCAACCCGAACACGCACTTTGCCCACTTCAATTTCTCACAGGATCACTCAGCTGTTCCAACCGGTTTTTTTATCCACGCTATCACACCCTTTACACATATTGTAACATTACATAATTGCAAAACAACGAATTTATTACAATTAAATATGCACCCTTTCTCCCGTTGACACTCTGGCTTTGACGTCGTACGAAAAATGGCAAAGTTACATATGACCAGACGGGACAACGCGTTTCTTTCTACTCACTTCTACTCGTCCATTCTCCGATCCGGACTGCAGTCACTACTCTTGACAGAATTGCGTTTCGGGATTGGCTAATGGGATTGCACGACTATACTTTAACCATAAATGAAGCCGCACACACTTGTTCCGCTTACAATGAAATACTTTTCTACCGTCGTATGACTCGATTCGCTTGCGCCATCATCACTATATGGCGAGAACTTGATAGAACTAAAATTTCGTAATAACTGGACAATACCGACTGCTGTCTAAAATCCTTTATTATCCCGATTTAAATACCTCATAGGCAGTCCTTAGAAAAGTGGTGGGAAAAGAATTTAACTTTGTTGATTTTTTTTTTCGAAATTTCATACATCACAATCGCATTATTTTGAATAATTATATATTGCGTATATAAATATATTACACTTTCGCTTATAGTACACTTGCTGCAGAATACAGATTTTCAAAAGACATTACAGATATCTCTTTGTTTATGTTGACAAAGATTTTACTCGAATGGAATTTTTTATTAGAAAGACCATAACTTTCGAGTTTTTGCATGCAAAATCATTTTACTTTATGAGCGAGTAAAATCTTTGACCAATTCGCGTTCTGAACGATTATAACACGTCAAAAGTAATATTGGCCGTTGTACCGGCATTGTTAATTTATCAGGCGCGCATGCAATTAATGTAATTATAGTGTCTGTCGTACAAATTTTCGAGATTGTCGAAAATAATTTATGGAATCGTGTCGCTGACTTCCAAGTGTACCAAATAGATATATGCATTATATACCGATATGTATATAATTATTATTTTATTGTATGTTCAAACAAAGAACTTTTAATCTATAGATCTTATGTGGTTTCATACCGTTAATATAGGTACGCGTGTATCATCATATATATAATGTGACATGTTTAACATGCAATTAATCTGAAGCTTGCACAGACAATATTGTTGCGCTTATTACTTCCCGTTGTACACAGCCCTTCATCTCCTTCGCTATTATCGTTTTTCTCTTTCGCTTTCTCACCCATTCGTCGACTTTCACTGCACGTTATACAAATTTATTGGAACTAAAAACAATCTAGAACTACAAATAATCCCAATAATCTATTTGCCACTTACTAACCTCTCCCCCTCTTCTCTCTTTTCAATCGCATTTACTTCAAATTTATAAAAATAGCGTTCAGAACTGTGCACCGAAAACCTTATCTAACCATAAACACGGAGACACGTTGAATCATTATTTTAGTTTGGAACGCAAGTAACAAATGAAATAAGAATATGTGATAGACATTTTGTTAAAAGGATCAAAATTGAACTGATAAACAAGCAATGAAATTTCTGATGGAAGCTGCAATTGCCTAGAGAATATATATGATCTTTTTTTGTTCGATTAGTTACACGTTTTAACACTATTTTTACAAATCACAAGTAGAATTGTTGTGATTCTCATGAAGAATTCTGCGATTTTGATAAATCTCAATCAACATTATCTAATGATATCTAAGCGAGTCTCACAGATAAATTCCATAATCATCTTCAAGATACGCTAGATAAAACGATTTAAAGTTATGAAACACCGTTTAACATATCAAGCGCACATAACACAAATGTTTTCAGAGTAAGATCAAGGCATTCTGTGGTAATAAAAATTACTAACACTTTGACTACTTATACAAATATGAAATTTTCAAAGACACTATGCTTGATATCGAATATGAAAATTGAAATAGATATTGCAAAAGATTAATAATGATTAATAACAATGCACTCGACTTACAATGAAAACATATTTTTCGTTAATATTCATATTACAAAGATATATAAATAATTATCGCTCATTTCAATTACTTTCACAAGGAAAAATATTCTTTAATGCCACGTGACTTCAAAAACGAATAGATAATCAAGGTGCAACTAATCACAATTTGACAAATTATTTTTCAAGCTACAACACTTACTGGTTCACCTAGGACCAAAAGTAATAGCTCGATTCGCACGTATACAATTTTCATTGAAAGCAAAATAATTAACATCGTAGCTCTACATCGAAATATGATAATTTCAAAAGAAAATTATAACGTACAATAATTATAATAAGTCCCTTGCGCTACGCTATTCTAGATAAATGAAAACATATAGATTTCGAAAATTAAATTGATGACATTGCACCGTTTTCTTTACTGTAAGAACTCAGTTATGTTCTAGCGTACAGTATTCAATCAGGTTTACAATTCTATTAAGTTTAACATTTGACTATATAACGACTCGATATCGGAGTGATATGAAATTAAATAATATTTTCTATACTTTAAATTCCCATGAATCTGTCACATCAAATCTTAATAATCGAGTCTCGCTTTTGCACATTTAACAGGACGTAATTATCGTCCGCAACATTAATTGCACCGTTACAGTAATAAACAGTCTGCTCGAACATATCTGGTTCTCTACAAAGGTATAAAAAATAACATTGTAATACTCCAAGTCAGAGAAGCCGCCATTTCGCGACTTCCGCTTCCCGTAAAACTCTCTATATCGATACTTCCAATAAAACTGGAATTATTAATATTTAAGCTATATATTATTTCATAAAAATAGAAGCAACCCAAGGGCTATTGCAGTGCAGACGTTAGTACGTCGTGAATAGACGGGTATTAAAGCCGACTATATATACGTATATACATATACATATATAAATAAGCTATACGACACGACTTCACGAAAATTCAACCAATCTCTCCGTCGTTTTACATATAGAAATAATCAGAGTATATCGTTAATTAGCTTTTTTTTTCTTTTTAACAAAAGATGTGATAAGATTTTACTTTAAAACAAACAAGATACGCAGAATTCATACTTAATTTGAAAAATGTGACGTAAGTCATTTTACATTGACTGTTCTAAATCTTTTTCCAGAGAATTATCGACACGTTTATACGCTAATTCAAAAATAAACGTCTAACATAAACTCTAATCGAGATACGTACAAAGTGCAAATTGTGTGGTACAACAAAGTACAGATATGAATACCTTTGTACTCTGGTCGAGAGTCGAAGACTGTAGTACAGTCAGAAGGAAACTAATCTGTCAAATGGTTCCTCTATTATTTTCATTTGTCTTATCTTTTCATCTTTCTTTCTAAAGCGCAATTCTTTGAAATCGAACGTATCTATATGATCACGCAAAACCTGTGGTTTGTAACACATACGAATTAAGTCGCTTCCTCGCGACAACGATTGACAGTCTTTCGTTATGAAATCAGGAATTGTAAATAAAAATGCAAAATTATTTTTTTATCCAGGCACAGAAGGAACCTATGTATCAATCTTTTTTTTTCTTTCTCTGCTGGACATTGCCGCAGTTGGCTGAAGTTATTGACCATAACGCGAGCCAATAATTGACGCCGCTCGGAACACGAGTGATTTATTCGTGAAATCACGAATGCGCGTGTGCCGCGAATTCACGAAATGGTAAAACACTGCGGTTTTTATAAAAGTACGAATTTACCGAATAAGATTGTATAGAAAATTTTGCACGAACAATCTTTACGTAGCACGCACATTACTTGCTTTATGCATGTAGAATAATAATATTAATAATGATAATTAATAATAATAATTATACCAACTATCCGAATCCCCTCGTAAAACATGTTATTTCCCGCTATGTATAACATTTATATGTATCTATAGGCGTCCACCATATAACCTATATCCAGGTTAAATAACATTCGTCCCGAATATTGTAATAATATAATATTATATGCTTTGCCTCATCGCGCAAATATATAAATAAATATACTAGACTCTGTCATGTTTATAAAACATTGACATTAACTTCTGTTAAATTTTAACAAATCCATTCCCCCCTTTCTGCTTAGTTGTTTTTAAAACAATTTCTCCTTACATGCACTATTTCGTGAGTACAGGTTATATTTAAACGAGCCCTATTACACATCAAGATAGAATAGCGCAAAATTGGCAGTTGCCATTTGCTCAGACGTGTCTCCCTGTTTTCTTTGCTTTTCATGCCGGATTTACAGTAAAAAATAGTATCGCGAACGTACGCGTCTTCACAATTCACTGTGATGCGTCCTGTCAAATGCTTGTAAACACCCGACAATCGGATATATCAAAAAACGATAACCGTACTATACTTTACCGCTTCTAAGCGATAACGATAAACGTATTTCCTTTCTTATATCCAAAGTAAATGCGCGTCGATCAAGGCGGCTCGTATAAAACGAACTTACTACCTGCAGACATAGTAGTCGTGAACTTTGAAAACTTAAGCTCTTTTGTTTCACTGTAGTCTTAGAAGCAAGTCATTTTTACGGCAGCTACATTTGCGTTCGACCGGTTGGGCCGATGTAAGGTTTACTTCAATGCTAAAAATGTGTCTCAGTTATCAGCACTTCCAGTTTATCAGATCTAAGGACGATGAGCCTAGCTTATCACCATTCACCAGACTGTCATTTCTTGATTGTGCTTTCTTCGTTTGACCACCGTTTCTCTTGCTCTTCCAATTCGAATTCCCACCGCAATTCCAACTCTCGCATGTCGTTTGCGATTCCAACTTCGTACGTGTCCTCCTATGCGCAGTGTGCAATATTCGAGAATGTAGGAAAATTATCAAAAAGGCGTTCCTATCGATGCTTCATAGTAGATTATGTATAAGTGATTAATTTGAAAGGAAATAAATAGAACAAAGTATGAAACTCATTCTTCACATTCTTTAAAGATATTTCAAGTCTGTTCAAACTTACGTCCTCGGCTCTGTAATCTCGATTCATATTATGATTGGAGAGCAAATTGCTAGGAGGTTGGATCCAGGGCACGCTGCCGTAAGGACTCCAGTTACGAACGTCTTTTTCTTTCTCCCGAATTCCTGCCTCGATCATCTGCAATTCTTGAGCCAGTCTCTCGCCCTCGCTGAAAGCCGCTCCTTGCGTTGCGAGCTATGCATACGATTTATTCAGAATATATTCCTTGCGAATTTACATTTATTGCGTATAGACAATGTAATACTGAATGCCAGGAATATTCATAAATTTTTTTTTGTATGATAATTTCACAAAATCGAGATAACGTATTATAATAACTAGGAATGCAATAAATAGTGTAGATGCAAGGAGGAAAAAAAATTTGTAAGTGCAAAAGAGTATATTCTTAATAATTTAAAGTAGTGAGAAATTATTGAATAAACAAAATACTGAAGAGAGAATACTAATTCTACCTACTAAAAATGAAGAGTACTAAATTTGGCTTTCCAATTTGCGTCTATATGGAAATTGCTGTCCAATTAACATCAATTCAAATACTGCACAAACTAAAAAATATTCAAACTACGTGGCGTGTCCTTATTACCTATCTGACCTAAAGAATGCACTTGGACTGAGTAAACCTCAATAAACACTTACCTTTAAATCATTGATCTTTTTCTCCAAATGCTTCAACTGTTGCTTCACTTTTTGGGACTCCAGTATTAAACTGAAAGTACAAAATTTATATGTAATATATGATCAATCTTGTTCAATATATTTCATATTCGAGTTATACTAACTCTTTTGACATGGACTCCTGCCGCGTAAGTTGAACGTGGGTAGGAGCTTCAGGAACGCCACGACCTACTGTTATATAACCATCCCCAAGAGCAGTATTAGCTACAGATTGCACTCCTCCATTGGCACCCATCGCCGCGTAAGCTAGACACAAAGGAAGTTAATTCCCTTTACAGTGGACTTTAATGATAATAGCGTATCTAAGGCTGTAAGCCGTGATAACTAGCGAGAACACCATAGTACAGAGTATCCCCACTCCACTGTAAAAAGCGACAGTGTGTTCGACAGAACATGGGTAACACACACTCAGAGATACAGAGGAGTGGGAATAGCCTTCCCCTCTCAACGCGATAGTTTAGCAAAAGTTCAGGGGAAACCCGATTATACAGAGAGCCTCCATAGCGAGAGTCAACTGTATTCCTGTTAACGAGATCGTTCAAAATTAATAATTTAAAAGTACTAACGTTGGTGGCTGTAATACCAAGACGTTACGGGACTCGTCGCAGGCACTGGACGAATAGTTGACATTGGAGGAGTAGTCCCTTCTCCATATAGTCCTGCTTGTTGTACACCAGTAGGTCTATAACATATAAAGAGAGATCATAACATATTGCTTTGATCATACTTTTATACGGTGCTTCTATGCCTGATAAGGTTACCTAAGCAAAGATTTAGATACTCTTGAAATTGGACCGTATTTGCTAGCTGGCGTAGCATCGTATGGTACAAACTCGTCATCAAGTTGTATCGAGTCGGAACGACGAAAGTTGCTGCTATAATTTATATTTGGCGTTGAAGTCATCTGATTACCAGGTGCATTAGTCCAAATGGAAAAATTTGGAGAAAGTAAATCGCCTTGTATCTCATAATTCTGTAACGAAGAGCAGTTAAGAATCAGGAAATAAATAAGAGAATATAGTTCAAATTGATGTTTCATACCGATTTCATTTGTGGAGGTGTTTGCTTGCCAACGATATTTTCAAGTTGACTTATTATCTCCATTCTACGCTGCAGCAACATTGCTAAAGTTTTTGCCACAGACCGTTGCTAATTGACAACATACAAACATAATTAAAATATACTCGTAACAATGCATAAAGGTAAAATTTAGTGTAAAAAATAAAATTACCTTTTTGCTGTTGTTTGGTAGATTGTTTTGCATGGCTGCTGATATTTGAGATGGATCCCACATATGTAAATTTGGAGCGGCGTAAGCATTTAACGGAGATCCAGACATGACGTAATGAGAGCATTGCATATCAATATTTTTCGAAGGAACCATATGAGGAACACCTTGTTGCGGAGGAGTCATATAACTCGTAAGTGGTCCAACAAAATTATTTTCAATGTTTACAGCAGGATGTTGTACTGAACCCACTTTGCTCAATGCATTAAAACCTAATTTCAACATAAATGTAGTTGTCAGTATTAAAGTTTACTTGTTTCCTCTCACAGGGTTAAAATATGCAACCTGTACCTTCTCTATGGATATTATCATGTGGTTTTGCAGGATGGTATATCAAATCTTCACATTGCTTGAAACCTTTAGTGTTAGGTATAACTATAGGCTTTTCCACTTTTGTATCCTGAGTTCCAGCAAGAGGTAAACTCGATCTGATACTCAACTTTCGGTTTTTCGACCTATACCTGACAAAAGTTTTAATAAAGAATACGTTCATAAAAGCAATACGAAGTTTAATATCCAATTGCCGTACTTATCAAGTTCCAAGTCACTGTGTGCGAATGTACAATTGGTTGATCTTGGGCAGGATCCTCGTAAAGCAAGATCACGGCACATGCTGACTTTATACTTCGGCTGACCTGGTCCAGTATTATGGGCACCATCCTGTGGCTTTCTATTTCCATGTTGCTGTATAAATTCTACTAGAGCTGCTACGACTGTTCTCACTGCCTCTAACGCAGCGCAACATTCTGCCCACGTAGGAGTTTCCGTTTCTACGATTTACAAATACAAGTATGAAAATATGATTTTCAATATTGAAATATTTATTAATAGAAAAAAAAAAATACGATACCGGGACTGGGATCAATAGCAGCCAATAATTCTAGTTGAGGTCTTAAGCTACTGAGCTGGCCTGGATCTGGAGTACGCTGCAGAGCGATAACAAGTTCTTGTACGCTCTGTGCAAATGATTGAGGGGTTTGAAGTTTATCTATGATACTTTGCATATGAGACTTGTGGCCAGTATCTCCATATAACAATGCAGACCACTGATCAGGAGCAATTCTTAGGCCAGCCTCAGTCGCAATTTGAACAATTTGAGCATCATGTTCTCGCCTTAGAGCTTCATATGTTCTAAACTCTTCCTTTAGTTGCATTAATGAGGAATCACCTTCACGTTTTGATACCTACCATAATAATGTTAATTGACATAGTCATCTCCAGATATTCCATTCTATAGTTATAATACTGAATAGTCAGTACCTTGAAACAACTCGCTCTGTAAAGAAGCTGCACAACATGTCCAATGCTGGTCTTTGATGCCTGAGGAAAATGAGGTTCCAATCGTTGGACAACAAACATGACTAGCACCTTTCTAGAGAGAGCTGAACCATCCTCGAGGGCTAAGAGAACTAATTTCAGAACCTCTTCTTGCATTGCTTGTACAGGAAAGTAATTAAATAATTAATAACTTGTACTGATATAGAAAAAGTTATAGATCAAAAAGTTTTATGATAATATAACATATATTCACCTGGTCCAAGGAATTGGCATCCTCGTGCCCGAACAGCAGCCCATAAATTGGCACTAAGTTGTTGCGGATTTTGATGTTGTAATATCAATTCAGTCACCGAACGCTCACCCAAACTCCTTGCCGCACGTACTGCACGAGCTCGTCCTTCTGGTTCTACTAGTTGGCATCCTACCAATGTCACTAATTTTCTCTGCATGGGTCGGGACACAAGTCCCATACCTGTAAAAGTAAATCTAGGTTTAGATATAAAAAATAAATAGTTTGGAATCATATGACAAAAAACTTATCAGCATTACCTGTAGCTGTCGTCGGTGCAGCTTGACATGGTTTGAGATATAGTGCCAATTCCTCTATGCAACATTTAGCAACTAAAAAATTTGCATGATGTTCGGGTGACAAAAATTTTAAATATGGTGACCCAGCATTGGGAGGCACAGGACTGCCAACCAGCTGCAGTAAAGCTTCATTCACTGGCAGTCTCTCTATCTCTGTATTTATAGCACTCTAAAACATATATGACATTCAAAAGTATCTACAGAGCATGGAAAACATGCAGATTCTATTTTCATTATGCATGTTACTTTGAATCCTTCATATACACTGTATATCATTTGATACACTTACTTGATCGAAGGGACATTGTTTGCGATGTAAGTTTGCAAGGCACGTCCGACAAATAGTATGACCACATCCTAAAGATATAGGTGCACGTATGGCTGCATCAAAGTCATGACAGCATACAGGACAGGAAAGGAATTCAGTCCACTGAGGTGCCTGTATTGGCATTCTAAAAGAAATAGTTTATAATCTAATTATTTGTATCACCATAACAGAAAAACATATTACATGAAACATGTTATAAAACTTTCACATTTCTGTTCTATTTAAAAATAATCAGAAAAATAATTATGACGCCACATCTTTTGCGTCGCCTGTAGTTCTAAATAAATTGCCTATAGATGTAACAGTAACTTCAAATTAAAGGCTTTATTCTGTTACACATTACAACAAAATATCATGACAGTATATTAAAAAATGTGTAGAAATTTCTAGAAGACATCATATTAAAGTTTTTGTTATGCGTATTCTTTCCTTTTTTCTAAATATTCCTAAAGACACACGTCCCATCGAACTCGGTATTATATCTAAGTCAAAAATCCCGTGACACTTTACACCAATTCAAAGACAATTTCTTTAAACTATTACAGTACTTCACATCGTAATTGTAATCTCAATTTGATACTTTGAAATCCTCTCACCTGAAAAAGTGTTAAAATTCCAGATGCGTACGTTGTACACGCAATACAATTAAAGAAAAAATAGTTAAACGTAAGTGCGCACTACGTTAACATTACATATCGAACTATGTGCAATCTTTTTCTCTAACGTTATGAAAATATGTTCCGACCTCATTTATTTGAAGTGCAACCCTTAAAATATTATATATTCCGATTGAGCCACGTATATACAAAATTTACAGCCGTTTAAAAAAAAAGACTTTTCCTTCCATGCTCTTAGAACTTTAGTAAAAAAGAAAACGAAAAACGTAATTACGATTCCACGAAAATCTTTCTGACGTCTGTTCAAAAGCAAAGATTTTAAAGGGACCCCAATATTTTTGTCACGATAAAGTACCTAATATTACCTATTACATGATCGATTAAAAGAAATTTTGATAATTGACTTACTTGCCTCGTTATTACTTTTACAAATCATTACATTAACCAATAAATTACTTCACTCGCAATTCTGCCATCGCAGCATGAACAGACGAACCACAGATAACAAGATGAACCTCTTGACATGCTCCTTCTTTATTTTTGTTGTACCACCGGTTACATATTCTCTTTAGAAAATATGTAATATGCAAAAACTTTTACTGACAAGTGTATCGCGAAAGATGGCGACACGCATATAAGTCTTAGGGATAATATTCAAAGAGCATTTTTGGAATAATACTTGAATCGCCATCATGTGGCACTAGTTTCTTGTACAACAGAAAAAACTTCAGTAGGTTACAATTTGTAAATTAATGTATTATAATTGAGGAAGTAGCATAGATATAGGTTTAGTTTCCACAGACCCAGAGCATATGTTCCTCCATGCAGGGTTGAAATAGAATTAACCAATCAAGTTAGTTTATTCCGCTGATATCTCATTTTTAATTGGTTAATTCTATTTCAACCTTACACGGTGGAAACATATGCATTGCTAGAGTAGGCTATTTCTCTTCCAGGAGTATATGTTCTGTGGTTGAAAATTGATGAAAAAACCGAGTGATTGCGCATGTGTACAAATAGGCTCCTCCGATACTAGTTATTCATATTCTAAACGATTCCAAACTAAGATCCGGAGTCCGAAACAACACGTTGATTTTCGCTAAGTACCCAGAGACCTGTAAATAAGACCATGATCATTCCTGTGCGATGCTTTACATGTGGCAAAGTTATAGGAAACAAATGGGAAGCATACCTAGGTTTACTACAGGCTGAATATACTGAAGGGTATGTTACGTTTGTTTGATTCTTATAACCTGATAGAAAACGATCACACCGGCTTTTTAAAGTTGAATTGTTGGTCTTATTAATTTTTTTAATATTTTAATTATATTTGTTGTGTTTAGAGATGCCTTAGATGCCTTGGGTCTAAAGAGATATTGCTGTCGCAGGATGCTTCTTGGACATGTGGATCTAATTGAAAAATTACTCAATTATGCACCACTGGAGAAATAATGTCCATTCAGATCTCCATATCTTTAATTTCTATACAGAATTTTATTGGTCAATGATGATGCCTCAATAATTTGATAAATTAAATTATCTTAATGCAAATCAGTGATGCATATAAATTGTATGAACATCTTTCAAAGAGAATGATATTTTATTGGAACTATATAATTCCATTATAATATAATTAAGTGTAAATAAAAAATCTACTTTATATAAATATTTTTGATTATTGACTTGTCCTTGTTATCAATATATTAAATTTAATATGTGATGCTTAAGTAATAAATTTTATCCAGCTGTTAAAAAATAAATATTAGACTATTTGACTAAACTGCGGAATACGACTCCTTTAAGATAGCTGTAGATTGTTTAGTTCGTTTTACATGTTTTTCAAGAAATCATATTCTTTAGTTTCACTGAATTTTGTTCTTCCTTGAAAATTTTGCTGAACTGCGAAACCTTTAAAAATAAACTAATGTACAACTGATTACACATAGAAAAAATACAGTTTTCAACAATAATATCTTTATTTGCAAATTTTCAAGATTCTCAGTAAAAAATATAAACTAAGATTAAATGCAAGATCAGGGCAAACTGTGCCAAATATATCAACCACACATAGTGTTACATACCATAGTTTGATCATTTACATAATATGACGAACATAGCACACCTTTTAACAGTCCATTAATGATAATGCATTCGTTGTTCATATTTTCAGATGTGATATTTATACTCACAAAAGCCTTGTACAGTTCATTTTACCTTTTTATATATACAATTGAGGCCAGCATAAATAGCATAAAGCTTTACACAATCTAATCTACTTTCTGTGCCATCATAAAAATATATGAGGATGGTTTTTTAATCTTTTATATCTCAAAACTCCATTAGGCCATGCATGGAGACTCCATGAGGCCATGTATCAACATTGATCACTATGTTATCATTATCACTGCTGATACTATAAACTGCAAAGAAATGTAATGTTTGTCATAATGCTTTGTGAATTCAACTACTTACAGTTAGCATTAACTTCTATGAAAATTATTACTTCTATTCTAAATTATGACAAGAGTTAAGTCCATCAATGTGCCATACCTGTGAGGTGATTAAGTTTTATACACTTGCACTTTTTTATATTATTAATTGTCTTTTAGCTTTACGTACTCCGTTAAGTGCGATGTTTTATCCAAATATCAGTTATATTTTAAAATAACAAGCCAACCTTGACGAAAATGCAAATGCAACTTTTCAATTGAGCACGCAAAAGAGCGCATAACATATCAGTGGTACCGTGGAATATGGCTTTTTGAAGAACAAAATTCAGTTAAATTGACTCTGTTAGAAGTTCATGCGTTATTAAGTAATTGTTCCACAGGACAATATAAGCTAATAAAATATAAAACATAAAATTGAGTGCAACTGTAAAAGAACCGATCTTCAAAACACTGTTCAATTCTTTTTTTCTTAAACAATACACTTAGACATATATCGTATTAATAATTAATATTAAAGTTGAAAGAATTAACTACGATGAGTTTCATACTAAAAGAAAAATTAATTTCACATAATAATATATATAAAAGTAGTACTCAAATCAAATTGTGATTCGGCAGATCCCGCGATTAAGAAACAAAAGCCATTATATTATTATTCTCATATCCATATAATGACAATTGCGAGCACTTTCTCCCGATAACAATGTATATATGTATACTATTTTTCGTATATTTCAAATAAATATAAACGATATATAAATTCAATAATTATAATAAGACATTCATATATTGTTGCCGCAGATACATTTTGTTAACTGAATATAGTTTTATAAAATTGAAACGTAATATATTGCGGTCATTGCTTTTTAATTACGAAACTTCAGTGCTCTGAACGAATCGAGCGACTGTTGAAATTGATAATAATTAACATTTATTAAATACAAATTTTTCGTAATGCTTGGTCGGAAAGTTCATATACACAGTATACATATTTTTGTACTACCTATCGCAATGCATGTTACTGTGTTCACATTAGATAGGTGTTCGTTTATAGTACAATGAAAAATCATTATAAGTAACAGTATGTACGATAGATTACTAAATGAAGTATCAGATTGATTGTATCATTTTGCTATGTGTTCCTATACAGTTTAAAATATAAATCTGAGCATCGCTATAAGTACAACTATTAAATTTAGGTTTTTCTTTAATTATCATAGGAAATCGATCCTTAAAATGTATCAAATTCGTCATTCAATTCCTTTCACTGCTACGCACATTTTTGTTTTCATCATATCTCTTTTCGTACGTTCTAAATCGTTCTCATCGGTCATTGTGGATAACAAACGAGAACCGAATAACGGAAAGGTTAAATTATTGATGAACAATTTGAATTAATTAGCTATACAACTTTACAATGTCGATCATGGCACTGCGAGATCCAAATGTCAGAGCCAATAGACCGACTATACATATAATAATGTTCTTTATGGCGACCCAATTTCCAGGACCGAAACCAACGTCCCAATATGTCACTGTTTCTATTAACACAGGAACGAGAAGACCCAAAATCGAAAAGCAAAATGCACCGATGAGACTGATGAATGGTTCTATGGTTGGTACAGCCACGGCAATCAATACTGTAAGATTAATGTTATTATCTGTTATTTTCATCTATCAGAGAATTATTATATAATTTCGTACGACCACGTTATCTTGAAAAATCATACTATACTGATATAGTTAAGAAACTTACTGGCACCAGTGACAAGCAGGGTACGAAGAACATAGTTCATGATCATAGGTTTCTTTTGGAAACGGTCTTTTAAGCCCTTCCACGCGATTTCAAGGCAGACGTAAAACTGTAGTCCAAAAGTGCAGTAGACTGCGAGAGCGATAAGGATTTTCACGACTTGTGCGGGTCTGGAAACATAAAACATTAAAATATTAATTAAAAACAACAATGGTTCAATTAATTTCCTGCAGAATAAAATCTACAAAGAAATACAACGCTAGTAATCCACTAAGATAAAACTTACATTTCCTCAGTTGGCAAGTTCAATGTAATACTACCCTGGGTCGCTACATTATACTTGAGATATCCAAGAAATCCAAGAAGAATATAAATAAGCGTAACTCCAGACATGCCCTTATTAAGGACACCGCAGATTCCAACAAAGTGCTGAGGAGTTTTCATATTATTCTCCAAAGGCATGACAACACCTGAAAAAAATAATGTTTGTCAAAAAAAATATAAACTTAATAAGATATAAAATTAATTATCGTATAAAGTCATGAACGGTAAGTCAAATTACCTATTGCTTCCATAGCGAAAATAGTGATGCTGAAGAATTGAGGAAATTCGCTTATAGGCGCTATAAGTGGAACAGAATTAACGGGTGGCATATCCCAAACAAGATAATAAATTGTAATTCCAAGACCGGTAGCCATAAATACGTTAGCTACCATAGACACTGGAGCAAGATATTTCAAATTGGGAATCCAACTCAGCAATATCATAGGCACCAATAGAAAAGCAATGGTGAGCCTTTCACTTATTTTATCAGGAGCGTTGTAATGATCAATTATTTGCCGGAAGTTCGCGGCAACAATAATCGCGTATACACTGCAGGTACCGTAGTATGTTGCAAATAAACTAATTTGAATGAGATACCTTCAATGAGAAAAAAAAGAACAATTATAAGTAATAGCAAACTCACACCAACCTTGAGTCTCGCTAAATAAAAGCTAGACTTCTGATTAATAAGTGAATATCATAATGACCATACCTAGATGGCTTAGCAAATCTTCTTCCCCAAGAGGGTCCAGTGGCAAAAGCAATTTCCGAAACGTCTGCAAAGCTCATCTCGGTTCTTCGTGTTTTGTAATATAAGACGTGTGCACATTTAACCTGAAGGTTTTCGATGTCATTAAGTATCAGATCAGTTGCAACTAATAATAGGCAACAGTTTCTTCGTGCGTGAATTTTCAACTTACTAGAATGTATGCACAGTGAGTGCATATAAACGCTACGAGAACAGTTGCGAAGACGCCCACAAGAAGGCCGGCGCTTTTGAATGCTACGGGCATAGCCAATATGCCTGTTCCAAGGGATGCCTTCAGTAAATGTGTCAAGGTTTCGCAATCCCTGTTGAAAGTAAATCAGATTGAATCCACCGTTGGCATAAATATTCTGATACACACTTCATGTAAGAATATACGAATATCATGTAAGAAATAAAAAGGTCACGTACGTTGTAGGATTTTGGATTGTACGTTCACTGAAAGGGTTGAATGTTTTTCCATCTGCATGGCCATTTTCTGCATCTCGCGCTGCTACTTGTACTTTGTACCTTAAATAAAACGATAATATTATTATGGTCGTTTTTTTTATAAGAGGGCTTATCATACATAAAGTTGATTGCATTATGTTCTGACGTAAAAGAGACACACGACGTTCATATAATGGCATAAGTCATATTGAGAGAGAATTGAGCAAACAAAAGAATTTACAGAAAAGAAAAATATGATGATGTGAAATATTCACGAAGATTCACTATGTGCACGTTTCTTATCTAAACCTTCACGTTCCCCCATAAATGTCTAGGGTAGACTTTATAAATATATCACTGAATATTCGATAACAGAATAATCATCGTTTATCACGGTTTACATTAATTCATGACAAAGTGCACAGAGACATAAATTAAAAGTATTCCAACAAGAATGCCTCATACATTTTTAAATAATTACATATTCATGATCGAACTTACTTTGCAGATAAAACTCCATCTTTCATATTGGAACCATCCTGTGGCAGGAAGGTATCCAGTTCCGTAGCTGTTGTATTATTTTTGTCCTCCTGTAAGTGTAACAACGGCAGTTCAGTACAAAGAATAATAAGCATACTAAAAGTCTATTGCACAATATACGAGGTCATGAAACTTGAACTCATTTCTTTTTTCGTCAACGCATGTGACAACAAGCATAAATGAAAATACACGTCCTAGGCAGCATGTAATTTATACTGAACCATGGAAATGCTTCAAAGGATGTCAAAAACATACCATTTTCGGCAATTTCGTTGTCGCCAAGGGACGTCACCTGAAATTCATATAAAGATGTCTTCTAAAAATGTCCTTCAAGCATCGATGAAGATTTTTTTTTTCAAAATTACAAATTTTCATGCGAGCAAAATATTTAACATATGTATCACTGTGTATCAATCAATTTGTCTGATAACGCAAATACCGCTGAGTCAACAAATTTAATGAAAATTGGATGTGCCTCAACTTCTGTCATTACAATGAATTGGTTCACAGGTCGCAATAGGTACTAAAGAGTTAACGCATAAGCGCGTCATGGATACACAGCAATTACAATATTACATACAAACGCGAATGGCAATCGTATGTGGACACTAATTTTCATTCGTCATCTTACGGTTTTTTTTTATACGAGTGAAAATAATAATTAGCGCATAGATCACACGTAGCAGTGTGTTTACCGAGGATAGAGCCGGCCATTCAGCATACAGTAATAAAAATCAAATAATCCATCATACAGTAATTCTCTAACCAATTATGTCACGTCTTATCTACAGGTCAACACGAGTGAAGCTCTTGGACGCTCCACTAATTGTAAGATATATGGCGATAGAGGAAAGTACTTAAAATATACAAGAATCCTTGAACTTTCAGACTCGTGTGAGCTAACCAGTCAATTTCGCAATAGCAATATTTGTGATTCTACTAACGAAAAAAGAGAAAGAAAAAAAAACGATGCGTACCATAAATGTCAACTAATGAAAATAAAATTTCTTATCAGCACCAATAATATAAATACCATTAGTCAGTCATTCCTATGACATGTGAATTTATATATGAAATTCAAATAAAATCGATATATCACTATATCGAACTTACGATAATCGCAAGAGTCACACATTTCGCAATTTACCACCCGACGTTTCACGATATTCACGACGCGAACACGGCACATGAAACAAGTCAAGTTTAACACAACTCGTCTAATTTATCCTGTCAACCACCCGTCAAGACTCTGTGCGCAAAGAGAACAGATGGAGTGCAGTCCTTCGCAAATAACTCAGTCTCTTATCAGCTAGTAAAACTTTCCAATACGTCATCAGGTGTACGCCATTACATAACAGAGTCAACCCGTATGAAGATAAACTGTTTAATCGTGATTCTAATACAATAATATATAAGATCTTGAGAAAACAAGTGTTACTCACTCGACTCAAGAAAATGCAGAGTCATCTCGCCTGCAAAGACTAATTCACTACGTTATATGATGAAATAAGTATACTCGACGTAGATGCCATTAATACTCCACGTCAAGTATTCCCAAAAATAATAGCGATAAGGAAAGTATAATGAAAAATAATCGGAAGTTGTAAGAAATTAAATGAAAAAAATATAGTAAACAATGTTTATGTAAAAAAAAGTTATTAACAAATGTCAAATAAAAAATTATAACATTATTAGATACTATAATCAATGCTTGCTGATCTGTCATTGTCCAAAAGTACAACGTATCAACATATAATCATGACGCAGATTCCTCATGAAAAATGATGTTTTCGTTATCTCACTGATTTAATTAATAACTTTTTTAAACAATTCGACTATTTTTGCGATGAAACTGCGTCGCAAGTTTCATTTTTAATACACGACCGTACTTGAGAGGGAAACAAAGGTTTTCGCGAATTTTGTATTCGTAAAACAATTTAATATATATGTAATGTATATATATATATATTTACACACATGACTATGCAGTATTTTATCGGTCTTACCAAAATAGCCAGCAAACACCTTTGTAAGCTTTACTGTCTCTCATCGGATCAACAGCGCCATGCCAAAGGAATGGATATTTAGCACGGACGAAACAACGGAGAAGAAAGAAATCGCAGACAGGCGAGCCTGACACGATTTGTATAAACGGTATCTTCATAACGGTTTCAATATGGCTGATGCATGTACGGTGCTACTATGTACTATTTCAGCAAGGTTAGTCAGCCTAAATACACTACCTGAATATGGTCCTACCATAAGAATCAAATGGACGTGCTGTTTGGCGTTATTCAAGTTCAGTATGAAGAGCAACCAGGGTCCGTAAATATGAAATAGTTTTATTTACTAGAGCCAGCAACGTCCTGCTATTAAACTCATTATACTCGTGTACTCTATATATATTCGTGGCACCGCGTGCCATGTGCCATGTGGCTTCATTTTCAATTACCTTGCACATATTTGCCTACAAATGAACCGTAAATATAAAGCGTTAGGTACCGTGCGACAGAACCAAATCCATGTCCTTCCTATAGTAACGTTTTCTGCTGCTATACATTTAAGCCTGTGTCGTTTGAATATCTTCAAAGTTTAAATGAGCTTGAAAATCTCCTGTAAATTCTCGAAGGGGAATAAATCATTGAATTTATTTCTTGTCTTTTCAGGTATGGGAAATCAGCTAACACCTTTGGCAGTAATAGATAACGAAAAAGGTCAGATAGATACGTTTCCTAGACAGACAAAAAAAATATCTTTAGATTCTCTAATCTATTTATATACAAATAGAGTTATCATATTTTTTCTGGTCTTCTGGCAAAGATAAGACAGGAAGTATCAAATTATTATCGACGTGAATATAAAGTCAGGGATCAATTGAAATATAATAAATAGAGACCAATTAATAATTGGGAAAATCGTGAAAATAACATGGATGAAACGAAACAATATTTTCGTTGTCGTACTGTCTGCTGTTTCGTATCACTAAATTGCGTCAGAGACTGAGAAGAATTCAAATAAGACACAATACACCTAAGTGTATTTTAAATTTACGTAAGGTCTACTAACGAGGAAAAGAAAATGTTTATACATATATGTATACTTCGATCTCATCATATTTTTTTTAAGGAGTGTAAACTCAAATGAAACTTCTATGATCGTACAAGAAAATGTGAAAATAATTGCTATGTGATTTATAGTATTTTTTTTCTTGTAATACTCTCAAATCCTCTTGGCCGAATAAAGATAACATTCATAAAAATCCATAAATTGCACAGAAGTCACAAGTTATTTTATGTGGTAAGAGATTAACATTAGTTTCTGCACTATAAGTATAACGATACCTTTGCCATTTATGTAGGAATTGTAATAAAATTCAAAGCATGAAACTACTGATCCATTGATAACCTGCGTTGCGTTTTATTGCACAAATACACATCAACGATTATTAACGACGCTCGTCCAATTCCTGATAAAGAAACATAGGTGCCACCTCTTCAAATCGCGTAAAAGAAAACTCGATCGACCGTCACTATAAACAGATTACCCAAAATCATGATTAAAAAATATTGTGAAAAGTATTAACAATATTTTTCATAATATTATTATTTGTCGATATAAAATTTGTACTCTACAACTGGAAGTTTGGCTTGAATCCAATAAAATCAAAGAATCCTCTAATGACTTATGATAAGCGTCTATTCGCTTGAGCAAGAACCCTTAAAAAAAGTGAGAATGAAGACTATTTAAATTATTAAAATTATTTTCTGGTTAGAATATGAAATTTTGTTTCTGATTATACTATTGTCATCTGTGCACGTTGTAGGAGCAAAAAATTCTAGCATAAATCTCAATTATTCAACTGTCAAAATAGCAATGGACCTTCGACGTCGTACATCAATGCCTGACTTTGTAAAACTTTACTCTCAAATATATTTCTTGTTACACATTAAATATACATGTATCCATTTACACTGGATCCAGGATGTTCCATGTCTTGTAAATCAGTCAGATCAGCATCCGAAATGTATCTTTCTACCCGGGGGCCCATACCATATATTCATCTGATATTTAACTTGTCACTACCAACGAATATGAAGACTCTACCTAATCCTCGTTTGTCAGATTTAATGCAAGTAAGGAGAAATAATAAATTTTTTTTCAATCACTGTTATGTAAATCAAATAGCGGTTCCGTTATTCCGTTTGTCACGCGCAAAAAAAAGGTAAATAGTTCTAACGGCATAGCAGATCATAAAGACATGTCTTTCTTGCAGAAACTAATATATATTTTAATATGTACAGGAAAAAAACTTACGCAAGAGTTTGACGACGCGCGTTATCCTTCAACAATTTTAAAAGTACGTCGACCCGAAGTGGGTCAAATCAGAAGGTCTCCTTTTTCTCTAGATCTTATTGTACTCGTGTCGTAAATTTTTCTCTCAATATTAAATGGTATCTGAATTTTATCCAGCCTAAGAAAATTACACAATGTTTGAAAGTCGCTTTTGTGACTGGCGTATGTGAGTGTAGGACATTTCTATTCAGACAGTCTTATTCGGACTCGATATCCTATTGTGCGCAACGTTATCCTAATTTTACGACACTGCGACAAACGTTTGTAAGTATTTTCGTCGCCTGGTTGCTAAGAATTCCAAGAAAATAGTTTGACTTCAATTGAAACTAGTTGCGACTCGTGATTGCAAAGTTAGCCGAGTATATTGTAAATCATTTACACCATTTCTAATAAAATTCAGATCAATGAAACGGTAGCAAGTAAAATTATAGGGACAATGTTCATGATAACTCATGCGTGAAAAACATATAAAAATGATGTAATATAGAAAAATATTTTTTTACAAGCTCCGCCCTTATGTAGTGACGTAATTGTTCTAGCTGATATCATTTACCATGTGAAAAATCGATGAAGTCTCATCATCTTGAAATCGAGCGTTTCGCCTTTCACACGTCACGTACCTCGAAGTATCTGATAGTTTTATGGGGTAAAATATACATATATACGACTTGACGTTCTTTAAAATACGGATACTTCGTGTGAGGCACAACGTATTGTTATCTTGATGTATCAATTATAATTCGATCGACTTGTTCGGTAACGTTAGATTTTATAAATGCGATAGTGTATACTGAAAAATTGTCCGAAATACCAAGCCGAGATTACATCATGCAAAGTACGGTCGTACCTTCAGCCCGCCATGTCTGGCCATACAAGTCGCGTCTGCTAAAGGCTCCACGTGGTCGGCGCAACCAGACTAATGAAACACGCCAAGCAACTTGCGATATTTCAAACGCGAACATTTGGTATAAAATTTGTTAGGAGAGCGTATGTGCTTTTAAGATTGTTGAACTTCCGTCGAGCAGTAAAATATGTGCGCGTGTGAGCAACCGCCAGAAATACATCTGTTACGAAGTGCTGATAGTAAAAGAAATATGAGATATCAAAGTTTAATAAGACGAGTAGAAAACCAGTATAGAAAGAAGAAGATAGTAAATGATAAAATTTTTCCACTGAATATGAACAGCATACCTGTTTATATATGATGTTCTGATAATGGGGAAACGTTGTTCGAGCACCATTAACTCATAACTAGTAACTATCACGTTCGAATTGGCTCGTATAAAATATACGAGTCCGGATGCTCGCGACTAGTACGTCTTACTCCTTCGCACGAGTACCGGTGAATGCGCGTGTCTGCGCTATATTAACTTGGCTCAGTCGGCGGGAATAAACTAACTTTACGCCCCGGAAGCATCGCTTTCGTTTACCGTGGCATCCGCTAGAGGTGCTGGTATCCAGTTGAAACGCATGTTATTCTTGGCTTGGTCCGTTACTTTTCCTTTTTGGAGCTTCTTTCTTTCTTTGCTGGACTCAAACTGGATTTAAGGTAGTATGGTAGAATTTTGCCCCAAAGTTGAATCAATCAGCTACGTATACTGGCTAAAATTGGGAAAAATTAAAGTGGTGGGGAAAAAATTGTTGTATTGTAGTTAGATGTCCTTAAGTTTCGCAAAAGTTAGCAAGTTATCCTATGCATTAGAATATATTTCCACATAACTTAATATCTGAGGCGTTTACTGAAAAAAAATGAACATCATTTACCGTATACTTATTGAAAAATTACTGTTAAATGAAATGCATGTGGCGGCTGTCTCTCTCTTTCGCGTATTTTTTTCCTTACTCGTAAAGGTTAGAGGAAAAATGACGATGCAGATTTGGACGTGCAGCATTATAATTTATCAGAATAATAATTATTTACTAGTATTAAATTCACAGTTTTAATATATTTTTCTATTTGTTTTATGAAATTTACCAAATTATATATAGCTATTGATTTGACTTCAGTTAAACTCTACCATGCTACCTTAACTGTTCGGAGAGATGTTTAAATTTGTGAATTGCCAAAAGGTTGCCTGAAAACAGACAGAGCTCGAGCTCACAAAGTCAAGCTAGACGTGAATCAAACTCCTGCACAGTAAACGAAGTCTCGTGCGCGAAGAAGCATGCGGGTGCAGGCGGTCAGCTCGCCGTAGGCTGATGAAATTCGCTAGGATGATGTCACGAGCTGGTTGCGGATTCTTTTACATTTGTTACCCGGTAATTAGGATTCATTCAGGTCAGACATTCGATATTCTATACTACTATGTAACGAGACTAATGTCAATTTCAATATAATACATCGAGGTTGTATTGACTAATTGTGAGTTGCAATTATTTTTTTATTGCTTGCGATCGTTATCTCTGATATGGTTGGTAATAATATTGACAGTTTATTATATATTAGTCTGACGATATAATGGTAAAATACATCTTCGGAAAGACGTTTTGAAATATTTCTTCGGCTTTAACAGTCATTCGAGCAGGTATAGTCCTTGGTGAAATTCCTGAAATTCCATTGAATACTCACAGCTGCATCAGTATCGGTCGCACGTTTTCACTTGCACCCATACGCATTAACAACACAACATATCCATACCGATCGATTGGTAAAATTACTTGAGTAATATTGCGATTATCTCATAATAAAAGTGACAGAATGATGAAATAAATAAAATTCTTTTTTTTTCATCTCCACTCGTCATTCTATCATCACTCATCTCACAAATGTTCCTACGATCATTATTACATTCTATATGAGTGTAGGCGTTCATGATTTTATACTATATATTTTAATTGTTCGTTACTCTCACCCGTGGGAAAATTTTACTCGGTTTATTTTCCGAATACCACTTATTCAGCTCGTGAAGGTAAGGCTTCGACACTTTCGACATCTCCTCCCTTAGCTCCATCTTATCTCTCGGTGCGTCCAGCACTTTTCGCAAAGGACGCCATCTTGAATCCTTGCGTATTTTTTCCGCTTCATTTGCGTTCAGTGCACCGTCGATTTTCACGTGACACAACAATGTCTTTCCTGTTGTAAAGTATTATTACTTCATCATTCCTAACCAGTAAATCTTGAATTTCGAACATTTTTAGTTTTGCCTTCGATTACATAACCGTGTTACTATATTTAGCTCAAATAGACTAATGACACCTGACAGCTGTCATACGATCAAATTGTTTATCAAAGATTTAGCGACTTCGTACAGCTTGCATCATTTTGATTTCCACATCTTTCAGATATCATTGTTTACACAAGATACTTACCATGTTTACAAGGTAACCGTTTACAGGCATATGTGACGTTTCCCGAATTTTTTTCTTTCCGGATTTCAACCTTCCGATCATCCACTCGATCAATCCCATCTCGCATCTTATTCTCCCTGTGATACTGTACATATTGTGTGTTAGGCAGTTTACATTTAAAAGAATTTCCAAAGCCACAGATCCTACAATCTATATAGATTTCTGTATGCATCCATAGCAATATAATCCAATTGTTGCATGAATATTGTTAAGCACGTATATTTCTGACGTACGCAGACGCTATTATTTAAAATAACATATTTTTCACTCTGTTACAAAAATTGTTACGCACGTTGTTTAAAGTGCAATTCAATCCATCTATATCACAGCAACGGGCAACGATAACGACAAAGTCCATATGGCAATCCTAACTATATGTCTACTGATAAATCATTGCGAAAAAGCATCTTTGAATGCTTTAATTTATTAAAACTCTAACCTAGATATTGTACATGGACATTGCTACCTAAAAATTATATCAGTAGTTAAAAAGCTGATATGGTTCGTTATACGTCAATAATTTTAATTCATATAGAACGGATGTATTATTATAACGTGTTATTACAGACCGTAATATAATACACACGCACATATCATCACAGGATAATATAGGTAAAATGATATAGCATGACGAAGGTCTCGTTCAATCTCATTATCTCAGCTATTGAAATCGACAGGCAAAGTAAACCTTGAAATGCATTGGTGCATTCACGCAAAACCAGTAAGAGTGAAACGAGTGAATTGCTATTATCGATCGTATCTGCTATGTCGGTTGTGATCTCGACCTTCGTTAGTAGTCAAGTGCCTTTAATTACTGGGGATATATTTAGCAGGAGAGCTTTTCAATTTTGACTCTATTTCCATACCTCACTTTTAATCAGCGGATCTGGTACAGAACATTTTTTATCTTCCATCTGGACCTTTTCTGATATATTTGATTTTACACATTTTTCAGTATAATCGTGCTTCGTTTTTGTTTCATAATTTGGACTTTCCTCAATTTTTATGCATTTCAGATTTTCTTCATTTCCAAGCTCCGAATTACACATTCGTCCATCACGTGTGTAATCGTACTCGTACTGCTTGCTTCGTGGAAAAATTGAAACTCTGCCTAAAAAATATCTATACCAATCAGCCTTATCACGATATCGAGATGGAACGATATGGGTAACGTAAACATTGCTACAGTTACAAACTGATCGATTGTCGAAAAATCATAATTGTAGATAAAAGCACTATAAATTTCATTGGAATAGCCATCCAATATTGCGTTTCCACGTGTACCGCACAGTCAATTGTTTTTAGGACGAACTAATCCTGTGACGCAATTACAATTTAGATGCACGTGGACATATGTACATTCTGAATTGACATTATTAACCACCTACGACGTAGTTGATATTCAGTTCGTTAGAATCACTCGGCTGGTCTTTATGTACTTTTATTAATTTTAATGGGAAGTAATCAATATACTACTTGGTTATTAAGTTCAACCTACCACTGGATTGTTAATTGAGTCATGAACTCTTCCGAAATGAAATCAAGAGCATCTCTTATTCACCGGTGAACTTATTCAATTATCCTTGACATATTCACAAGTTGATCTACAAATTACTTGTATCTCAAATACATACTGCTCTGACTTTTGCGACTGTCAAATTTCCTCACGGGAAATAATTTCATCATATCGTGTACAGCCCAGGCATTTTCTCCGCATTTATTCACATATCCACTTCTTTCCTTATTTGCCCATCTTTCCAGTGTACAAGAATCCACTTTCCTTATCGGTCCAACAGGATCGCCTATGGTGAATAATATTTACGCTGCTGCAGACAATTCCTAAATTCGGATTATCCACGATTTGCACAAAATTTATATGCGATTTATAGTACTGGAACTGCTTATCTATACCATAATACCGTAACTATGTACATCGGTTGAGAATAAGGATAAGTTTTCTCTTAGGTTAATGTCACCGATAGTGGTTATCGATAGTGGTCACCGTGGTCACTGATATCGTAAAAAGATTCAACAAGGGGAAAATAACGCATTTCAATGTCGTTAACGAGTCTTACGTACTTTAACGGTACCCGTAATTGTTTTGAAGCTAGCGGAAAAGAAGAATTTACCAAAAATTCTTTTATTCACGACTGAGCTATAATAGCATTTTATTCCCGCATGTTTGGTTTCCCGCAAATTTACTTTATTCCCGCGTTTTGCGGGAATAATGAATTTTACTCCCGAAAAAATTTTGAATTTTTTTTTAATTTTGAATTTTTTGAATATTTGAAAAAACCTATATTTCCATCATAATGACGGTGGCTGAGTAAGTCCCACTTTTCAAGAAATAAAGTGGCTACATAGTTTAGTCGTGAATAAAGCACTATATCTAACACGAGAATAAAGTCGGTTATTCCCTCGGGTGACAGTAAACTCTCACCCGCGGAAATAATCAACGACTTTACTCCCTTGTTGCATAATGTACTATTAAACGTTTGCGATTACTATGCCTTCACTTAGTAGCCCTAATTAGGAAGTACTATCTAAGTGTTAAAAAATAATTTAGGAACTTCATAGTCGTGTCTATCTTATCACTGTGATGCCATTTTATACACGTGTCTTGTAACAGACAACATGAAACATTAACTACGTTAATTCCACAATAGTCGCTTTCATTCATAAACATTATTACAGCAAGATGTCTCTCATTGAGTGCCGCGTATAAAATGACTTACTGGGTTTCCTCTTAATAGGACGTAGTTGCTTGCCAACGCATTTATGAACCGGTTCCAGCTTTCCGCGTAGGAGTACACCATCCGTCAAAAAACTGGGCGAAACGTCATCGATATAGTAATCCAGAGGTTCAGGCTCTGGAAACTAAGTTTTCTTCGAAGTGACAGGCCATCATTTTTATATCATTATAAATAATATTAATCGGGATAAACGTGGTTAGAGACATACATATATAGGTATACTATACTTACATGAAACATTTCCACTGCACGATAATTTCTTAGGGCAAAGACTTTTGACCTGAATGGTCAACCATGTTCATTAATGACAGCTATTGTAAAGCTTTAAAATATTCCACTTCAATTGTTCATTGTCGAGAGCAAAAGAGTAAATTTCTGTCTTCAGTCCAGTAATCGTCGACTTTAGTTGGACAAAACGACTCGTATCTTTCGATCATCACAACATGTTCTTGCGACATAACGAATTGGTTCGGTCGGTAAAACAGAGAATTTCATAAGAAACGAGCGTGTATCTAGCTGGCGGGAATAATCATGTGATCTGAATTGAATAAAGTGAATAAAGTTTGGCTATCTATGAAACTCTGGTTATGTAAACCTCATTAACGGTCAATGTTGTTTTAAAGAAATTCACAAGTTTAATAGCAATAATGCCGCAGAGAAAATCCAGCACAGCATTCGGAGCGAGAGATCGGCCAGCACCAAAACTAAAGGAGCAGTATCTTTTCCTGCTAGAATTCTTCGTACATCACATTACCGGCGAAAGACTGGCTAAGCTGAACCAGATGTTCTTTGTACCAACGAGCGTCTGTTTCCAGTTTCTCGATTTCAAGGATGAGGACATACAAGTCACACCGGTGGATCCGATGTTCGAGCCTCAGGCAGGAATTGCGGATGACGTAGAATATTTCTACTCAGGTCGATCGATTATGTTCGCAATCGCTGAACACGTGGTGATAAATGATATCTCGGAATTCAAGATCCAGCTGATCGTGCAGAAAAAAATGCCAGATGACATAAAACCTGATATCCTGATAGGGAAAGGTACAATTGACCTGAGTGAGCAGTTTCGCAAACTCAAGAAGGAGATGCAGCAATGTTGGACCCGCAGGATTCCAACGCCTAGAACGTACGAGGATGAGATACCTTTGAATTTCCAAGGAGAAGATGTAGGTACGATTTTACTTTATGTAAGATTGTCTGCCTTTGGACAGACTATCATAACAGAATTCGACGCACCGCCGATTGGACGTGAAAAGACGTCATCCTTTGTCTTCAAGGGAGATGAAAACATTGAAAAAGCTCCTACGTACAAGTGCAGATTAATAGATTCCGACGATTTGAATATTTGCAACGATTCGAACGATGACGTCACCCAGGAACATATTTGTCCTATTTGTGTGCCACCAAGGCACCAATGCATCCCTTGTGGACGAAGTAAGGGCGCGGTAGAAAAAATACCCATGCCAATTACACCAGTATGTCCTGCTGTAAAATCCGTACCTAAAGCTCTGGAAGATGCTGCGTGTACCAAGCCTGAGAAAAATTTACCTATACAGTCAAGTCGTGGTCCTGCTCAGCCTTGTGGCAAAGCTGTTGTACTTAAAGTCTCTGGCCTCTTAGATGAGGGAACTAAGGATGGTCAACTGAAACAACCGACTGTAACTGTGACTTCGGAGGCCGAGGCTACAGGACCCAACCATCCAGGAGATCCGGACCATGACGTGTTTGTGTTACGCATAGGAAAAAAGGGCCTCGTTGGCGATGGTGAGAAATCTGACATTCAACTTGAGATGAGAACACCTAAAGGACCGGAAAGAAGACCTCCTATCAGATATGAAACTAGGGAAGTTCAAACAGAAGAGGATAAGAGTAAGGGAAAAGGTGGTAAAGGTAAAGGGAAGAAGGGTGACAAGAAAAAGAAATAAAATCAACACTGTGTCGTACATCATCTTGGACTTCCAGTCTTGTATACAAATTAATATTAAACAAGTTTACTGTGTGTTTTAATGCGTATTGTGTCTGATTAATCCGTCTTATAACTATAATTAATTAAACAATTAATGACTACTCGGTAGAAAATAATAATGAGTCCGAATATCCATTCGGTGTGAAGCGAGTTCATTTCATTTTTTTTGTAACGTCAAAATTTCGTCACTTTTATCAATCAAAAATGAATATTGAAATTTGCGAGTGAATAAGATTTACCGATCAATCTAAGAGGATTGGTCTATAAAACGGGAGTCAAGAGACAAAAATTTGTGACAAATAATGGAGGGTGCTGAACAGCAACTTTTTCTAATGGAGTTTCTGGTAGATCGTGTTAACGTGCCTTCGGTACGTGCCATGCACGAGGAAATGCTTCCAGTTACTACCTGCGTATCCTTTCAAGTATTCCATCCCTATTCTAACCATATATATATATAGGCATAAGAAACTGTAATTAAAAGTGCGTATCTTGTTCTTTAGATACTTAACCTACCACCTATTGACATTTGCCAAGAAACTGCAACCCAAGGCTGCATGTGCATCGGGGGCGACACTCAGCTATTTAAGAAAGGAAAATCCTGCCTTTTCGCATTGCCATCCGTCGTAGTAGAGAAACCTTTATACTCGTTCCCTGTCACTATGTCAGTATACAAGAAATTACCCCCTGGTGTCCTGCCGGACGTCATGCTGATTGGGACTCATCAAATAGAAACTAAGGACCTCTTTAATGTCTTACTGAACAGACATATTTTCAAGTCTGGTAATGCTTCCAGGACAATGAAGGAGACTTTCCGAATCAAGACGGCGACTGGACAGAACGTCGGCGAAGTGACGGCCTTCATTCGCGTTTCTTGTTTTGGAAAAAAAATTGTCACCCAATTTCAAATACCACATAACAAGAAACCTTATCTATTTAAAGGAGTAGACAATAGTCCTGTATTTCAGTGCAAAAAAATTTCTTCGGATGCTCAAATAAAAACGACAATTAAGTGCCCATGTTTGAAGGAGAGTCTTGCAGAACCCGGAGCTTCCGGCGAAGCTTCTCCACGTACCTGCTGCGCTACCCAACCAAAACAATCACCTGGACCACCTCCAAGATCACCGGGGACATATAAACCACCTAATTATAGCCCTCGACCATGTTGTCCTTTGGCACAGTCATGTCCGGTATCTGGACAGCTTCCTCCACCCTGTTGTTCACTGGCACCAGAGTCACCTGGATTTCCACCTTCTATGCCATCTTCATCGCCATTAAATCACCCAGTTGGATCCGTTCCACATTCGTCACAATGCATGCCTACTTATTCTCCTACGTTTCCTCAAAACTTTAACACTTTTCCAGCGGAACCTGCCTATCGCAAGTGCGGTTGTATTGTTAAGGAGGAAAAAGGTTGTAACTGTATAAAGAAATAGTTCTACGATTTGATCACTGATTTATTCTAATATTACAAAAAGAAATAAAATACATTATTGCCTTATCTTGATATATGAAATTATTTACAAATTATTAATAATCAAAATGCCATCGAGTGACAACTGTCTGTTCGATCTGTCAAATTAGAATTGAAAAACTCTGTATAAATGTTAGATTAGCCGCATTTTGTTTCATGAATAGTTCATCGAATTTTCGTGATAGTAATATCTCAACATATTTTTTTATTCTATTCGTATCCAAATTTTTTGCTCAGAATGACAGTTGCAGTAGAATCAAGTCAATTTCAATTTTCACCGCGGACGTTAAGTTTGCAATTTTTTAAAAATATTACGAAATATTAATTTGTAGTACCAATTCAAGTGATTCTGTCGGATATTTATTTTAACATTGTAACAACCTCTGTTATTACATCTGAATGCATAGTCGTGACAGTTCAATGAGAGCAATTAATTATTCCATTCGTTATTGAAAGTCAATTGGAAAATTACACAGCTGCACTTGAAACTGCCAGGAATAGTATTCGATAACGATCCCGAAGTTATAGTCGACGTGAGGGATACCGATAACATAAAGATGGTCAAGGGTGCTGATAAAAAGGGCAAGAAAGCTGCCAAGAAAAAGAATAGCACCGGGAATAAAGAAAAAATTGATCAAGAGAAAGCTGCGAAAATCAAAGCCATAGAAGAGGAGCGTCTTCGTAAATGGGAAGAAGACTGGGATAAGAAGCTTAAAGCTGAAGAAGCTTTGGAAGACAAGACCTGCTGCATGTCCAAGGGACTCTGCCTGAGACCAAAGACCCAATCGAATATTTGGATTAACATAACAGAAGGAAAAACATTACAGGATATTCAGTTGTACTTCAAGTAAAGAATTCTATTCCTTATAATAATTCAAATAACAATTATTTCCAATTTAATAATAGACACGTACCAGTACCCAAGCCAAAACCTCCTCCATTGCCAAAATTAAAGAGACAAGAAGAGCCGAAAGAAGCAGCACCAGCTAAAGAGAAGAAACTTAAAAAGGGAGGAAAAAAGTCTGCTAAGAAGAAGTAGTAAAATTAACAAAATTCTCAAAATTTAATTATATTGACATTTTTCCATTTTTGTCAAATAATAAAATCACACTACACTATGTCCTCTCATCATATTTATTCTTACAGCAGTAACTTGTTGCACAGATATACAGAAGTTTGCAAAAATCTTCGAAACGCTTAGCCCATCGGTCTCGCTACTCCTCGTATTTCGGCGGTGACTACAAAAATAATTTTGGGAGTATAATAAAAAAAAAAAAGGAGCTTCAGACGATTTACAACGTTATTCTCGTTCGGGGCATTCACCGGACGCAAAACCCATGACGTACGTGGATCAGGCGCAGAAGGGATGTCCTATAGTGCGCCGACTCTTTCCTGCTGTCTCTCCCTATGCTACTCTACCCCTATCGTACGGGGTAGTAGTCAGATATTGTCGCGCCTGCGTGCAAGACAACGGGACTAAAATGACAATAATGTAGCTTTTACGTTTCTTACCATAAATCGTAGTTATTCTTTGGCTGGTGTGTGCATATGGCTACTGCTCGCGAGATGGGAGCAAGTGCTTGGTTATCGTAACAATATACCTCACGACCCAGTTGGGGTTGAAAAGAAGTGATCATCATGAACAGCTCACCCCAAAATTCAGAAGCGGTTGCCACGCACCGAACCGGCATCGATAACAGCGACGAGGAGGATTGGAGTGGAATAGTCGAATGCGTAATGTTACTTAAACTCACCCTGAATAATCCGATTCCCTTTGAAATTAAATATAAAAAATAATTTCGATACCTTCGACCGCTCGCATATTCTCTTATATCTCTTTCACCTTTAGTGGACTCCATTAAAGTTGCACCCGTCAATACAATTATCATGATAACCCTATTGTGCACGTACACCAAATCTGCTAGTGTCATTGATATGATTTATATATACCAGCGCACTGTTCTAAAAAAGAAATTTAATTAAAAAGATTTTTTTTATCATTTTCCATTCATGTTTTTCTTACTCTTTTAATTAGCTCATTACGCGTGACACTTGCATTATGTTTTCATGTATAATCCAAAGGAAGGCACCAACTGCTTTGATTGATGTATATATATAATATGTACTTTTGCCAGTAATCGCAAATATATAATACTAGCAAGGCCACATTGCACTGCACGACAGGTTTAAAAAACGCTTAACAGTAAGTCATTTAGCATTTTAGACGCTATCGGAAATAGGACTGAGCCGAGGAGATTAATTTTCTTCGTCATAATAACTGCAGGAACATTAAAACCTCATTTCTTTTATTAGTTCCCGTTATATACACGGCTCCAAGCAGAGCGTATATGTTTCACTTATGTAGGTTACTTTTTCAAATGTAAATTCCACGCTTCACTCATTCAACAATATTCTCCAGTTAATTCATACCAATCTCTTAATCCGAAACATAATACGTTACGAATTAATATTCTGGTACAACAGTGATAGCATATATTGTACTTAGACGCATATAAACTCATCAAAGATCGAAACTAAACAAGCAGTGTTGTTTGACAAGAAATTTTTGGTTCATATATACCCCTTGTGCCACATAGATTATTCCTGCATAATAAGACGTATATATTTACCCGCATCTATAACAGTGATTTCACACATGAAAGAATTCGTGCAGTAAGGAATTCTTAAAAATAAGCATTTTAAACTGACTATGCTCCCTCGACCAGCCATATAAATTCGTAGAAATTATGATTCGCTGTTATAATAAATAACTAGTCTTTTATTCGATAGATAGGACAGAGACGTAAATAATATTTCTGTTTGTTTCACAGGCCGTTCTTGAGAGATCAAAGTCGGATCGTGTGTCACGAGCGGATGAAGATAGAAGAAGACGCACCATTATCGTGGAAAAGAAGAATGGCACGTACGGTTTCACCTTACAGGTACGTTGAAATTTAAAACCGGCTGATTTCATCGTTTCACCAAAGAAGCATTATAAGAAAAGTCACTTGGTATAATGTCTGGAAAAAATTTCAGAGTTATGGAATACACTACAAGCGAGAGCAGGAAATTGAGATGGTTACCTACGTTGATTATGTCGAATACGATGGACCTGCATTTAAGGCAGGTATGCGAGAGGGTGACGTAATACTCTCAATAAATGGACACGAAATGGACAGAGCCGATCACAAGACCCTGGTGAATTTTATAAAGAATTGTGATGCCAGAATGCGAATGGTAGTGTCATTTGAGGATTGCGTGAGAAAGGTAAGGTTATGTTATAATTTATTGACGTATTATTTCCCTGAAAGATTATTTTTTTTAACATGTATTGTCATTATTGCAGGTGGAACTTCATATGAGATACATAGAACTTCAGCGAGCTTTACAGTCGCGTTTAGGCGAATTGGAACGATTATGCGAACGGGAACGATCTATTTTAATGGGTCGATGGAAGACTCATTCGCTACCAGCAAGAAAGAGAACGCCTAATAGTATTGCTATGAGTAATCCTAGTCAACCTTCGCCATCATCCAGCTTCACCTCTGCAGCAGTTCAATGCTGTCGACCTGCAACGTCCACAGAACATCTTCTCCTGTATAGCGTGGTAATCATACCTATATGTAATGTCGCTGTGCCAAAATCTATTTGAGATCTGACCTAAAGTCAGAGTTTGCGCAGCGGCTGCTAACGAAATTTACATATGTGAAGAATTTAACTGATTAGCTGAAACTACCTAGTATTCTCCAGTTATTCCAGAAACAAGAGGCCAGTCATTCTAGAATGGTTTTTATTTTCTATTTCAGTATGCCGATGGCCGACCATGTCTCATTCCTCGAAGTGCTGCATGCTTAGTAGCTGTAGGACCACCCAGGTCTCGTAGCGATCACCATCATTTCCTCTCGAAGACACCTAGTGAATTAACTACATCCTCTCGACACAGTTACCATCAAGCAAACGGAATGGCAACACCGGCTAAAACAAAATCACACAAATCAGGCCAACAAGCTTGTGTTATTAACAGCGATGCACAAACCCTTCATCCAACCTCGAACAATAGTCTATGCGTGGCTTGTATCTCCAGTGCTAGTCGTCGAAGAGAGCCTGCAGCCGACGGTGGTAGTTTAGAAGCTTATGATCTTGCAAGTCCTTGCTGTGATCCTAATTGTGTGCCCAGCAGAAGACGTAGAGAGAAACAACGTCGTGCTCGTAATGAGCAAAATTTTCAGCAGCAGCAGCAACAACAGCAACAACAACAGCAGAAGCAACAACATCAGCTTCAACATCGTCATATCCAGGCTCAACGGGAGCAACAACAATCGCAACAACATGGTACACACAGTTGTCCACGAGCATCTGGACATAGTTTGCATTCTATTACTAGTAGTGAAATTTCTACGGCTGCTGATAGCGTCGCATCCTGCTCTACCTCATTGAGCACAGACACTTTGTATTGGGACCCAAATGTTCATCAACGACCACCACCCTGTCTTCAATACGCAAAGCCTAAATCGTGGGATAATTTAACGACTAAGGCATTTGGTGGATATGGATTTGGATATGGATATTTAGATACTGGAGCTATCAAGACTCATAGTGCCGAACGACCGCCGAAAAATCCCCATGGCCGTGCAAAAACGCCAACTGGTACTACTCAAAGAAGAACCGGAGCTTCTGGAGTTTATTCGTCAACATCGAGCAGGCATTTTCAACCGACCAAATCTACTGAAAGTTTACTTATTCCGGCACCTTACCTAGGTGAATTAGATGCTACTTTGAGTTGCGAATGTTTGGATGGCCCGAATCCTAGATTTATGACTGTTCAGTTAGAGAAGCATAAACGGCAGGATGATGGAAATTACGCAAGCACCAGTGGAACTCATTCGCAAGTTAGACATCGCAGGGCTAGTCACTCGGAAGGGAAACTAAGGGCTATAAATAATTCTGAAGTCACACGATTATGAAATGTTTCTGGAGTGTCTTCTTATATTGAATAGCTTAATATACTCAACAATAAGAGAAACATGTGTATGGAAATTCTTGTACGAGTGACTGTCATGAATGGTTTAACTTTGTCCGCAGTGTAGCAGAATTTATTCCATATCGTTCTGTTCCCGTTATCCTTCGTTTTGCTTCTGCATTAGTATTACATATCGAAAAGTTATCTTGAAATGCCAAAAATGTTGTAGTTCGGCCCAAATGAGATATTTTATGTATAATTGTATGTCTGCTTTGCAATTGTACATGTATTTCGAATACAATTGATACATTTTATACCTGTTTTATACGTTATACAATGTAAAGGAGTTATTTAAAATTTGATAAAAGTATGGGAAACAATGCATTGTTGATTTTAATTTGTACGGCGTGCCGCTAGAGGGTGCTAACGTCATGACAACACAAACTGCGACTGAGTTGCCTCTATGTATATTATACTTCGTTTCTGTGCGTATTCAACATAATACAGTGGTATACAGGTTATATGGACAAAAAGACTAAATGTAAAATACTTTTGTTACTTAAAAGAAAATCTTCACGAGCACAATGTCCAAACGCAAACATAATATATCGTACATAAAACCAGAGGAACCCAAATTTCTACGGGAAATGAAAGAGCGAATTGGTTACAAGGAAGGTCCAACCATCGAGACTAAGGTGAATTTTGATGCTTTATCACATAAGAAATCAGAAAATTAATTTCCTGCCTGTCAAAACATATTTAATAATTTTAGCTTTGAATGTTTATCGCTTCAGCATAATAGTTTGACATTATCAGGAACTAGATATTCCTTAGATTGGTTACTGCAGTTTGACTAGTCGCCTTGAACGTCACGTTTCTTGGTGGCAGATGTCGGAACTAAATTGTAATTGAGTTCTCATGATAAGGAATTTTGTGTTTTGAATGTTCAAATATATGTATAGAGAGAAGCGCTGCCAGAAGATTCAGATGACGAAGAACAAATTAGAAAAGAAGAAGAACCCACCGTTGTTGTACTGAATAGCGGTGATCTAACAGCAGAAGAGGCTGACACTTTTAAACATGAAAAGGAGCAAGGTATAGAATATATTTTAATTTGACTAATATTATGTATTAGAATATTTTTATTTGTAGAAGAGGCTAATGCTCCAGCAGACCTAAACAAACGCATTATATTTCGTAAAAATAAAACTTCAACCGCGGATATTGACCCACCAAGTGCAAATGGTTCATCTGCAAAGAAAAGTAAAAAGACAAAACAAAAGAAAACCGTACTTTCCTTTGACGAAGAAGAAGATTCAGAAGACTAACTCATATTTTTAAAAGTAATGTACATATATTTAACAAGTCAGATTATAGAGTAGTAACAATTACACAACAAACACAATATTACATTTTATATTGTATTTGCTGGAATTCTATTTTTTACTGTAAATACGACTTATGTTAGTGAACGCCATTTATGAGTCTAAGTAAATTTAATTTGCCATCCCAGAAAGCACAACCTCTAATAGTTACATTTTAATTACATGAATTGTATGTTGTTTTACAGCTATCTAAAAGTTACATAAATGTGACAAAAGTACAAATGATGTAATTCAGTTAGGAATTGTAGAACTGATATATATTTTATTACAAAACAGAAATCAGTACAAACAATAACCGATATTATCGACATTTTCACGAGATTTTTTTCCAACGTCTAGACTCCTTATACATGTGCGACAAGTTTCTAATTCTAAAAATAGATATCGATTGAAACAAATCGTTTGATTTATTATACAATGTCATGTAGCTGTCAGCTTATTGTCCATTGGATAGTTAGTGCAATCATCGATGTCAGGGTGAACGATCTTAACGCGTTCACTGAAAGCATTGTAAAGAGCTCATGAGCGAACATCCGACTTCTGATACCTGTTGTAAATGAAGTAAACAAAAACATTCTCATATTACATTAACACCAAACAAAGACACGATAACGGGACACCTGAAAATCCTGTGAATAACAACATTTTGTACTAACGTAATAGAGATTGATGAGGCAGTCATGATAAGAATTCGTCAAGTATTACGCTTGGAGGATAACGATAATCACATGGTTAATTAATTCTTTGCCAAATAACACAAGTTACTGGAGTAAGATCGTGATTTGAATTATTCTTCTTTTAATTCAAAGGGACAAGAAGTATTTAACTCTTAACTAGACAGATCTGATCTTAGAAACATACTTTACAAGACAAGGTCTGTGAAGCCTCAATCTGTGGAACTGAATTGTGAGGCCATTACAATGAATATAATAGCTCAAAAATAGAGTTTTACGTCGCTCCTCTTAGTTTAAACAAATTTAATGACCAATTATCAAGTATTAATTATCTATACATTTTTTTTTAATTTGTAATTTACGTAAAGACAAATTCGACAGGAGAACTAAACTTAAAATTGATGAAATCTTTGAAACCGCTCGTGTGTAGTAAAGGGTTACACAAAAATTGATATAAAGATATGAAAAATGATAAATATAAGAACAGGAATATAACAATAAAAATGAATAGTTGGTGGTATGTTAAAGGGTATAGGAAAGGGCGCGAGAGTCTGGGAATGGTTTAATGATTAAGTCAGAAGGTAATGAAGGTAGGGTTTGGGATCGTTTCTGAAAGCATTGTTAGTAGGGATTGTTATTAACGCATATGGCCCTTAATCGCCTGCTGGTCTCCTATTGGCGAAGCACGTGTACCATGTCACGTGACGATGTACAACAAACGCTACTGGTCGTTTCGTCCCTTTAACATTATATGCTACGTCACAAAATTTGCGGTCACGTGACTGTGGCGGCCATCTTGGCAGTTTTCGACGACGGAGGTAAGGAGGATCCGTGACGTCGAACCCAAATAAACATAAAATATATGTGAATAATTTTAATACGAGATCAGTCCAACGGGCACCAGACTAGCCGTGTGTATTACTAGCTACTTGCCAGTGTTACGAACGGTCAGTGAATTTAAATATCGCGGGATTCGTAGCGCGTGTGTCACGATTATCGGATTTTGTCGAGGGGATAATCGCGATCGGGCAGCAGCCACCGCGGCAGCTGCTCGACGGTCAGAATCAGCCCTTACAGAGAAATGGCGGGAGGTTTATAATATTCTGTATAACAAACGAATTCAGACTTAGTCGATAATTCGTGCTAAGATATTCTAAACGGACCGCTCGAAACGTTAAATCGATTATAACTTATTTATCGTATTTCTGATTCGTACAATTGCGGCATCGAATAACACGATATAACCAGGGCCGTGTCTATTCTCTCGTGCACCCCGTAGATCTTCCTTATATATCCCCACTCTTCACACTTCTCCTTGTCTACTTTGAACCTTCTCCGTATCCCAATCTCATCCACCGTGTCCCTAGATTTCAACTCAGCGACTGGACACGTCACGACTTGCTCTTTTCGTTCATTTTCTATCGTCTCCTCCAAAATTTTACATTGTCAATAATACTTGCAGAACGCTGAGATCACGTGCTTTAGTTTTCCGCGGTTTTAACCAGAGTTGACAGACGGCATTGCACGCTTTTTCGTTCGACGGTCATTCATGTGCTTTTATCTTGTCGATTGAGTAAAAGCTTTCATATTGCGGTTTATGGCGGACTTCAGAATTTCCCATGTTGTACTGATGTTAGATTGTATTGTGCAGATTATATTTGGGAAAATTAACTTTGACAGTTTCTATTAATGACAATGATAAACGCCATAAATTATTATTTTTTCATTATGATATTGCTACCGATCGAATTAAATAAAAGAAAATCTTCAATGTGAATGAATAATAATGTAAAGACGTGTTTACACATTAATAAAATTAATATAACTGAGTGTAATGTAATTAGTTATAAATCCAAATATAAATCCATTTGTGCATTGTTTATTAAACTTTGTATAAAGACCATTTCTGAAAATACTGAAATAAGTGTAAAGTGAAGATATAAAGAAAAGCACAAATGCTATGTAATATGGTTTTGGAAAGGTGTAACTAGTGTTACTTAAATCATTAATGTGATAAACTCAATAACAATCTTTTATGGCAAATGATAGTGAATAGTGCATAAAAGTCAACATGTAGGTGCCATGTCTTATCCTTAATAAATTGTGTTAATTGATGTTATATATAATTTTTAGCTGCCATTTGCAGATAGACCTAACATTTATTGTTACAAGTTGTAGACATAACATTAAAATATTTAGGTTTTAACAGTTTCTTCGACAGTGACATCAAATAACATAAAGAACTGCATTTGGGATTAACTTATGCTAAAGCATTGTCTGATACAGATAGTCTACAGATGATTAGATTATTATATCATGATCATGGACCCACTCGATAACTTCTACTAGAAGTTGTCAAACGAATCATGGATGCTCACGAGAGACATTAGAGTGAACTAAATTTTGCTATATCTCTTGATGAAAGTAATAAATGATAAGGGATCCTGATATCATCCTTCAATTCATATATAAATATAGAACATTATTGACACAATCTGCAAGAGTAGAATACCTAATGGACGAACGATAAGAACATATACGTACTATGAAAATATGATGAAGTTTATCCGTACTGGCGCGTGTAGTCCTTGATACCTATTCACCCTCCAGGAGGCATGAGTGCCCGTAATATTTTCACGGCCCTGGACGTAACTTTTTAACGTTTCTACGGACGCGCCTGCCCTCTGGTGTCTAATTTTCAGCAATGAATGTTGACTATTTACAGGTTTTGTGAATAAACGTATCTCTAGGACGTATACTGATGATCGCGCGATTCAGGAGTTTAAGAGGGCAGCGGGATCCTGTCTAATTCTGCCGCGAAATTTTCATTTTTGCATATGAATTCGTGACAGCGAAAACGGGAAAATGAAAGGGGGGAGATAGAGAGAGAGAGAGAGAGAAACAAAAAAAAGTGGGAGACAGAGACAACGAGAGTGTGGGAGAGCGAGAGACGGACGAGGGGTCTGCGAGGGGAGAGCGAGGAGAGAGGAGAGGAGAGAAAGAGAGCGTGAGAGAGCGATAGTGTTGAAGACTGAAGGGAAGACGCGGTGCAGGAGGTGCGTGCAGTAGTGTGACAGGGTTGACGGTTCGCGTCTTCTTAAACGGCGGTACTTATGTACCGAAATCGTCAAGTAGTAGATTTTAGGTTGTAGGTGTAGTTTGTAGGCTAGCCGTCCCGTAGGTTGCGTGTTGTCCTGGTGGAGACGTGTGCGCCGTGCGCGTTACGTGTGTATACGGCTTGGTAATGTACATACAGTAGGTACGTCTCTGTCAGTGAGTGTATAGTAGGTGGTAGGTGGTAGGTGTAGGTTGGGAAGATTGAGAGGAGAGGTACGCGGCGGAGGGCTGGCTGACTGGCTGGTTGGTGATGGTGCTGGTGCTCGGACGCGGTGACTGATGAGTTAGGTGACCGACTGACGCTAACTGTCCTCTCAGACTACGTTCCTAGTGAGAAAATCAGTCCCGGTATATCGCGTGCACGCACCTAAGCGTACCTAGGTACGCGCGCGACAAAACTAGACGTATCGGACCTACACGGCAGACCTACGTGGACCTACGCGGATCTCAGGGCACCCCCACGGGGCCCTCGCCCACGTAAGATTCTCATCTGTCGAGTGATTGAAAGAACGAATAGCCGTTCATTCGATTTCCCACGCGCTTCTCCTGATCCTGTCGACTCCAGCGACCACCAGTCGCTGGAACTGCTCCCCCAAACTTTCTTGGTTATGGGACTAAGAGAGATAGCTGTGTGGAATTCGCAGCGCCATTTTGAAAAATTCTCCCCGTAACTTCTTCTTCTTCCTCCTCTTCGACGTTATGTATGAAACGCGTTGCGAATCGTCTCTCTGCGCGGTGACACCACGAGTCGTGACTTTTCAGTGTTCTTCTCTCTCTCAATTGTTTAGATTAGTCGAAGAGCAGTAGCCCCATGGAAGGCACCTTGGAAGAACCCCCGGTCAAGGACCTACCTCAGGAAAATCCTGACAAGCTCGTTAAAGGTACATTTTTTTCGACAATTGTATATCACTTTTCAATTATTTACTTTTTTATTTGTACTGTATCGTTGCACTTTTTAAATATTTTTTTTATTATGGAGTACACCGTCGTAAATATGTCTTTCATGTCATTGTGTTTTGTAGCATTAATTGATATTTGTATTATATAGTGTATAAGACTCATGTTCGTTATATCAAGATTTTGCTATAATCATGTTTTAATATCATAAGCTCATGTACAAAGTCATTTTTATATTGTAACTGAAAACACCTATTTTTCAATTTTGTCGAGTGTGTTCATCGAGTATATGTTTATTCCCATATTGCATTTCAATTCGTACAATGGATCCATGTCTATTTTTCTTACACTTTAACTTGTTTATTTCAACAATCTTAATGTATTATACATTTGGAATATAGTTGAAATTTTAATGTACATGACTCAATTTGTATAAAACTATTAATATGGAAGTTCAGCAGTAGCTCATACATGTATGATATCAAAGGATCTGTATATAATTTATAATTTATTTACAATATTCTGTAATGATATTTTTTATTTATTGAAAGTGATGAAATGAGAATAAAAAAGATACTATGGTACAGATGACATAACATCCTAAGGTAAAAACTGTTTTTCAGATTCTATAATTCCAAATGGTGTCAATGGGAACTATGATGCTGATAACGAAGAGCACGTTGACTCAAGTAGCGATGCATGTAAGTCAGTCACGGATGATGTTACGAGAGAAGATGGAAAGCAGGCTGAGGACGAAGAAGAGGAGGAGGAAGAAGAAGAAGACGAAGAAGATGACGACGATGACGATGATGCTGATGACGAGGATAAACAGGAAGAGGACTGTGGAGAAATAAGAGACATAAACTTTGAAGATGATATTCAAGAAGAAAAAGTACATTCTGCAGAATTAATAAACAACTCAAAGGTGTCGGAATCATCTGATGGTGTCAGTGAGGCGAACAATGTTAGTGAAGTGTCTAAAACCGAGTCTGAGTGCAAGATTGTTTCCTGCGAGCCAATGGAGATTGACGCGCAAAGTAACAATTCAGATGTAGAATGTTTGGATGAAGGTGTAACTGAGATACACTCAGATAGCGAGGATGTGTTCACTATTGAGAAATCCCGAGTCGAAAGCAACAGAACTACATCGGAAAGTAGTGATGTACGACGAATTAGCGATAGTAATGATGCTGCTGACAGTAGCATGGATACGTCAGATGTAAAGATCTGCGAGGAGAACGGAAGTTGTGGTAGTCCCGACATCGAGGAGATAACGGACACTTCCAAGAGTAACGGTCACAATGCTGAATCGGATCGCTCCTCGAAAGATACTCCCAAGCAAAAGAAACCTAGGAAGCAGGTAGATCTTAGTAACATTACGCCAAGGCGAAGTTCTCGTAATATAAAAAGAACAAGTTACATAGAGAAAGAAATAGAAGAGGAAGTAGATGATGGCTCTGATATAGAGGAGATCAAGCCAGAGGATCCTTTAGCTGGTGTTGATAGCAAAGATAAAGAGAATTCAAAGTTAAAGTCTCCCACGAAAAATAACAAGACAACTATTGTTGTCAACGATACTAAACGTCTGGTGGAAATAGCTGCTGGGAGTAAATCGGTCAAAGGAGGAAAGAAAGAACCCACGTTAGTCATTATAGATACGAATTCCATTCTTTCAGGACGCGGTGGTGTACCCGTGACTAGTAACAAATCTCATCATTCGGGATCCAGTTCCAGTTCTTTCTCGGTAGTCCCAATGGGCATGACTACCCAGACAATGTATCCCAACATGAGAACCACCATTACTCCAGTACCCATGACCTCGAAATCTGCTCAGTTGAGCCCAAAAACAAGCATCGCTGCCGTTACGCCATCAGCACCTCAAATTTTGCCTACACTCACGGATGACATGTTTGTCGTCGAGGCGCCGTCCTTCATTGTACCTTATGTTTACGAGAAACCACCCCTCAAGCCCTTGAAGGAATTTGTCACTAAATTAGAAAAGTGTATTGAGGAGAAGGAGAAGGAAGAGAAACTCAGGAAGTTGGCTGAGGAAGCCAAGAAATTGGAAGAACGCAAGGAGGAAGCGGAAGCGAATAAAACTGATAAAGAGAAGAATGATGAGAGCGAAAACGAGGGTAGTGTAAAAAGTAAGAAAGACCTGGATGAGGGTAGTGGTGACAATTCAGTAGATCTAATCGAAAAAGCTACTACTGGACCAGAAGAGAAACAGGAAGAAAAATCTGAGGACAGAAACAAAGCCACCACATACTTTGATCTGCCTCTGGGAAAATTTTTCATGCAAATTGGCGTAAACCTTGTCCAGGAATTTGTGCAAACCGATTTGTTGCGGACTCAGAAGCGTAAACAGGGGAAAGGTGGTACATCAACAGAAACACAGCTAGCTATAAATTCACTGATCAAGAACCTAGAATTTAGTAAAGAAAATAACGAACCATTCCACTTAGAAATGAAAAAGTGTGAGTTCTGTAGTTTTAAAACTGAATCAGCCCTGGTAATGCAACATCATCTGGAGACACCTCATATGCGCAACTACGTTTACAAATGTAACTTCTGTCCTCTGGAAGTGCGCAGCCCTCACGACATCTTGTTTCACATGGAAGCAGAACATAATACTCGCGGAAGATTGGAACGCGGTCCGGCCTTTCATCAGTGTCCAAACTGTCCTTTCGAAGATAATCAAAAGGGCAAACTCACACGACACATCCTCGCTTGTACCAAAAAGTTCCGACCGGAACGTAACTTGGAACCAGCTACGGATTGGGAACCACCCGCAAAAATACCTAGATTAAATCGGGCGAGAGCTGTTGGTGCAACTAACCCTAGTGCTCTTGCTATGGCGATGAGTGGCAAAGGACCACAACCCCTTCTACCCAAACTCCTGCCAGCACCAATCACCGGCCGTGGAAGAGGACGTCCTCCTATGCAGCCACGATATTCAGACTTGAAAACTTTGCGGCCTGGTACTACCACAATTCGGCAAGGTATTTAATCTTGGCGCGAGACTCAATTTCTTGATCTACATTCATTTCTTCACAATTTGGAAGAACACGAAATTGTATACCAGATATTGAACTTTGACTTTCACGATAGATTTTTTTACTACTTTCAATTTATTATTAACTCATTTTCGTCGTTTATTCAATATTCTAGTTATATATTTAGATAAAATCTATTTATAAATGTTACAGACAATGTTCCAGGAATGATGTATCGACCGACTTCGTCTGGTCTTCTGGTACCTACATCGTACCAGTTCGGTACTAACCATATATTCCAGGTGAGTACTTGAAAAATAAATCATATCTGATGCATTATATTGAATTATGCTGGTTCTTTTGTGGTTGAAAATTTCCTTTTTGCAATTTAAAGCTTGGGAGGAAGCATATCTAATAGCTGTTGGTAATGAAAAATGGAATTGACAATGATGTGCGGAGTTGGAGTTCTCATATGTCTAACTTTATCATGAGTGAATAGTGGTAGAACTGTGCAGCCACTTCTGATCGACCTCCATCCTATACCTTCGCACTTAAAGTAGCAAACTTTCGGCCTAGATTGTTCTTGTTATAAATAACTAAATGTTAAGGTTTATTCGGACTATTTAGCCATATCGCTTCGATCACCTTAGAATAGCAGATGATCAAATAAGATGTTAGAATAGCATGTTATCTTCTTCTTTGCAGAACACATCGGCCAGTTCCAAAAATCCAGCGGCTAAATTATTAAGTCAGCCAAGTATATCCATAACTCCATTGCCTCGTACAACATCTCAAACACCCAGTCCAGGTTCGGGCTCTTCTTCGAAGCCCGGTGGGAAAAATACCTTCGTCATATGTGAGATTTGTGATGGATATATCAAGGTAATATTAAAATTCATGATATAATTATATGAAATCAATTGTTTTCTCAATAGTGATAATTTTTATTACTTTTACGAAAGTTTCATTAAAATGTCTCATAAAATACTCTGCAAATTATAATGTTTCTGAAACTCGTTGTAATTCTTGTACACCTGTCTTTCCTCAGGATCTAGAGCAGCTGCGAAATCACATGCAATGGATCCATAAAGTTAAGATACATCCGAAAATGATTTATAACAGACCTCCATTGAACTGCCAGAAATGTCAATTCCGGTTCTTCACGGACCAGGTGAGTGTCAATTTTATTCCGTGGTAAATTATTTCAGTTGAATTTTTGTATTGACAGTATGGTTTACTCTTTCTCATAATGTTATATACTGATAGCATTCTTCTCCTGTACGCTTAGATAACGATCGAAATGAACGAAAAATACTAGTTATCTTTTCCAAAAATACTGCAAGATTCTGTGGTCATTGATAAAACAGTAAATGTCATGGTCCATCTATTCAATGCCGCCTTGTATATTTTTCGCAGGGGTTAGAAAGACATCTGCTTGGATCTCATGGACTCGTCACATCCAGTATGCAGGAAGCTGCAAACAAGGGCAAGGATGCAGGACGTTGTCCAGCTTGCGGCAGGGTGAGTAAAAATTGTATTAAAACTGGCGATTTTCATATTTTAAAAAAGAGACACTGATGCGAACGACAATAACGAAAACGTCGAGCATCAATAAATCTAGATTTAAAAGAGGAATTTGTCGCAGGGTCAAAAATCCTCCCTATCTTGAATGATCTCAATTTTTAGGTATACCAATGGAAACTACTAAATCATGTAGCACGGGATCATGGAATGACACTAAAGCCTGCGCATCTATCATACAAATGCACAGTTTGCACTGCCACATTTGGAATGTACAAGCAGTTTGAAAATCACGTATACTCGGCACATAGCGTCGTTGCAAAACGAGTTATGGATAAGAAGAATGCACCTTCGTCCCCATCGTCCAGATCCAATGACTCCCTTCTTAAGCCTCTGAAGATCAACGACGAGATCACTATTATTCCACAACCAGCAAAACCGACAACCAGGTCCGGTGGTACTCAAGCCAGAGGCAAATAGCAATGATTGGCTGAGTGATACGTGCATCTCGTCTTATTCAGTTTCACGTAACTTCGTGGTACTCCAACACCGATCGTCGTAGAAGCGTACGGCGATCGACCGTGCCGTGTACATGTGTATGCATACTATGCTTAAGACACAAAATTGCGACACCTTAAACAAAACCAAGCGAAACGAGAAAAAAAGAAAAGTCTACAACTCTTTGGTAAAAAAAACACTAGTTGACTGCGTAATAATATTCCAACAATGATTATACCGATATATTTATTTAAGAATTTTTATTGTTGTTATCGGACATACATAAAATAGACTGTAAAAACATTAAAGGGTGGCCTTCAGTATAATTCCTTGGTTAATCCTCGAAATTATGTACTCCCAACCTGAACGCCTCTACGACACATCGTACATTTATAACGAAAATTCGTTAATGCAGAAAGCAGCCTCTATTTGTGTTGATTTAGCCGTCACGCTATTATCTCAAGATTTCTCTGTTTCTCCTGTTTACTAGACTTCAACTTTTATCAACAATCTATCCATCTCTTCGACATATTCTTCTGACGTGCGATTAAACTTTCAAGTAAATTGCGTAGTACAACAGTTAAGTGTGGCCCATGTAATTGTTTCCGGTGGTGTGCAAGAACGATTCGCTATGGTGTGAATTTTTTCTTTTTTTTTCCTTTTTTTTTTTAAATTTTCTTCTCTTCATTCACGAATGGGAGTTTGCGAGTTCGCAATCTTTGTGAATCAATTTATGTGGGTATAAATGAACGCATTATTCACTGATTCGCCTGGCACGTATGTACCAACTGCTACTACAAATTATTTAATAGATATATTGTTACGCCCGAAGGACCCTATGGTTCGACTGTCTTTTTATTGACTCCATCGCGATATTTTTCTAACAATCCAATATACTGATTAGTCGTGCTATCCCTTTCGTCCCACGCTTTCTACGAAGCAGCATACTATTACGTAAACTCGTGCGCGTCTTGTATAATTTACGAGGTAACATTCGGGCAACCGGAACTGTAAATTGTATCTATTTACTATAAGTTGGACCGCATTGGTTCCGTACATTGTAATAAAATATCCAGTTTTATTTTTGCGCTCTTTTAAGGATAATTAAAAAAGAAATCAACAAAAATGTACATTAACATAGGGAATAATATAAACAAATATATCAATAAAATAGGATGGCACACACTGAGCGTATACATTTTTCTTCTATCGAGTGGTAATCATGAAAAATGACATCGGCCGTCGGACTTCTGTAGCACACGACTCGATGTATATTTATACTTATGTATGAACATATATATACACATATATATGTGTATGCATACATAGTGTAGACGGATGTATGTACGTATACATATTTACGCATATGTATATATACATATATATATTATTATTATTAAAATTAATTCAATAGCGTATAGCGACAGTGTATTGCAAGAAGAGAACTGTTAATTTCTTCATGTGTACACTAGGAGATGATAATAGGCTTATATATTCATATGTAGATAGACGTTAAAAAGAGTAACGGGTTTTATTTAATAATTTCGATTTTGTCCTGATAATTTTTCTACGTTATTATTATAGATGATAACTTTTAGAAGAGTGAAGCTGTATTCAGCGAGGGAAACAAAAAGGTGCGATACGTTCGCGCTGAACGGCTGTATTATTTAACTTGGCTAAACGCGCCAATCACTTTTATTGCAAAATATGTTGGTAAAGAAACTGAAAGCATTCGTAGACATAATTACAGGAATACATAGTTTACTGTAATAATTTGTACAATATTATATGAATAACTAGTGATTGCGTAAATAAAGTGTACCAACATTGTATATGTCTACTGTTAATTTAGATATCGAGAATCCTTGCGTTAAATACCATAGAGCTGTAACCAGTAAGCTCAACGGTATTTATCTGCTTAACTTATTGAATTAGTTTTATAAAATTAAAAAAAAATGGTGATAAGGCTCACTTAAATGATACTCCATCGTGATTCCTCATGGGAATATTTGTGAAATTAAGAGTTTTTAAGTTTTGTACGCGTAATTTTTTATTTCATACAGTTTAGGAATTATATTTAGTTATGTAAAAATGCGTGCATTGGTTATACAATTAATTTTAAATTTAATTTTACCGCTTAATTCCAAAATATCAAATTTTCCATACGCGCCTATCGGAATCAGCCTTAGGCTGGATCCTCATACAGAGGCCAGTGTTCGGACACAGAATTTTGGTTGGTGGATAATGACAATATCTCTCCTACCGTCGGTATCCATCAATGAAAGTACTGCGCTCAAGTGTCAGCGCTTGTATAAGGATCAAGCCCAAGGTGTTATGCAATCAAGTGCCAGTTTTGAGAACACATAACTATAGATTGGCGGGGAAAGACGATACTGCATAATGAAGTACGTCATAACGTATTTCTGAGAACGTGCACACGCTTTGTCAGATTTCGCGGTATTTCATTCAGGATTTTGTTGTAAGGAAGTTTCTTATTTACAAGGGCTAAATTATGGGTGACGACAATTTACCGTATCACGTTGAATATTCGAAAAGTGGACGTGCTTCTTGCAAAGCTTGCAAAAAGACAATCGAGAAAGATGTCTTAAGACTCGCAACAGTCGTACAGGTATACAATGCGTAAAACGAATTTTTTTTTAGCACGTATATCAATATTAGTTTTATGTACTGTTGAATGTAACATTAGGGGAATTATTAGTAACACATTTTTCTTAATTATGGATCATTTATAGAAAGATGCATTGTTTTTGTTTGTATTTGCATGAAATTCTACTGAGCCGGCTTAGGTCCGATTCCTTCAACATGACTCAATAATAAACTCCGTTTATCTTCAAAATGCAAGTATCTTATTGACTAATTGCGCAATGCAACTGAGTTTAAACAATAAATGATTGTGGTGGAATCGACCCTTAACGGTCTAAAATCTTTGTCTTTAGAAGATTTAGAAGGAAGTGATTTCATCTAATAGAAACCCCAATATGTATGTCGCACCACTGAAATAAGTCTTACCAAATAGTTATTCTCCTGAAATTCCGATGCATCGAAGAATACAATACTTTGTTCCACGTGTATTAAACATATGTATGTCGAGATATGCACCATCATAACAGAATATCGTACCTGCGATATATCAGCATTTAAGGATAACAACTTCACGGAATTTCATTTCAGTTCCGTGGTACATTCGGTTTTCTGACCATTTGATGAAATTTTTGGTAGACCTATGGAATGGTCTAGAATAAAATAATTTCTACGCATTACAATTTAGTGTGTTCCAAAACTCGCTGTGGGTAATTACTATTGTATGTTAAAAAGTACATACATATCAATGATTAAGGAGACAGTAATGAGTGTCAGCTCTCACAGTACTCATAGTAACTTTTGGAATATGCCTATTGTGTATTGAATAATGTTTGACAGGAATTTAAAATCTATAAAATGCTAATTGTTTTCTTTATTATATAAATAAATATGTACAGTAGAACAAATTTTAAAAAATGCTTGGACATGTGCATATCGGCCGAGCATTCTATTGCAGTTTTTTATAAAGAATGCATCTAATTATACTTTAATATACAGAGAAATATACAACATCCATTTAATGAGTTTTATATTACTGATTATTAAATATCACAGAGCAAAGGCTACATTTTTATTTCTATTATCGATATATGTGATGAGCTCAAATTTGGGACAATACCAATCTTATTTCTACTAATCTTTTATTTTTCATTGCATGTTTGTCTTATAACATTTCATTAAAATGCTGATTTAGATAATAAAATGTCTATAATTTCCAGAGTCCAGTCTTTGATGGAAAAATGATGAAATGGTATCATGCTGATTGCTTTTTCACAAAGCAGCGGCCTAAATCAATTGCAGATATTGGACATTTTGATAGTATTCGTTGGGAAGATCAAGAATTAATAAAGAAAAAAATTGGTTGGTACATTTCAATAATGTAAATTCATATTTGTAAAATGAATTAATTATAGCTGTATTTACAAACGTTTTAGTAAAAAAATCTAATTTTCAGAGGAATCCATCAATCTGCCAATTGGTAAAGGTAAAAAAAGAGGTGCAAGTAATGCTCCTGCATCTGATGGTTTATTTAGAATTGAATATGCTAAATCAAGCAGATCTACATGCTGTGGTTGTCAAGAGAAAATAGTTAAAAGTGAAATGAGAATTTCACGAAAAGATTTTGAGAGTGAAGATGCTCGACAATATGGTGGTATTGATCGATGGTATCATCTTGAATGTTTTGCAAAATTGAGAGATGAACTTCAGTTTTTTGTATCTGGTAATACATTGCCAGGTACAGATTCTTTGAGCAAGGAAGATCAAGGAACACTAATTAAAACTTTACCAAAGATCAAAGGAGAAAATATCCCTCCTTCAGTTAAGAAAATTAAGAATGAACCGGATGATGAAGAAGAAGAAAAATTGCTAAAGGAACAAAATGTTAAGATATTTAAAATGAGAGATGAGCTATCGAAACTTAACAAAGATAATCTTATTATGTTGTTACAAGAGAATCATCAGGGTATTCCTGAAGGTATTTCGAATGTAAGTATTGCAAACGTCTACAAATATTTGCTCTGTTTCAGTTTTAGATGCTTTATATAGTTCTAATCAATTTCTTATTTAAATAATTTTGTCATAGATGTTGGATAATTTATCAGATATGATGGTTTTTGGTAGTCTTAAACCATGTTCAAAATGTAAAGGTCAACTTGTTTATCAATATGGTGTTGGCTACAAGTGTACTGGTAATGTAACAGAATGGGCAGCATGCGATTATGTAACTACAGAACCTGCAAGAACGAAAGTCAAGATACCTGCTCATCTGAAGAACGATAATCCTTTCTTGTAAGAATAATTATTATCTTTCATAATAAAAGTTATACAAAACACTTACTGCAACATTCCAAACTGTTATTAGCACTTTACAGAACGTATTTTAATGAACAATTACATTTTTACAGCAAGAAATACAAAAATAAAATCAGCAAGAGGTTCATGAAAGTAATAGTACCGTCGACGTCTGAAGCTGTTAAGAAGGAGGAAACAGATAGTGGGCCAAAAGTTGAAGCAAAACCTAGGCCATTGAAGAATATGTCATTCGTTCTTTCCGGTAATCTGAAAACGGACAAAAAATCTTTGACGCGAGAAATTTCCCTGCTGGGTGGTACAGTTGTTACCAAGATTCATGAAAATTTGGCTGCAGTCATTTCGACGCCCGAGGAAGTAGCTAAAATGGATAAAAAGATGGAAAAAATAAAAGCTCTCGACATTCAGGTTGTATCAGAAGATTTCGTTACCGAAGCAAAAGATTATACAACTGCACCTATTATGTTAATTAATAAAAAGAACATAAGTAGTTGGGGTGGCGATCCGGCCAGTAGAATTCCTCAAAATGTGGAAAAATCGAAGTCCAGTGGTAAGAGTAGATATGAAAAGTCATCCTCTGGTAAAGTAAAATTGCGTGTAAAGGGCGGTGGAGCAGTCGACCCAGAAAGTGGATTAGAAGACCAAGCTCACGTCTATCAAAGAAAAAATGAGAATTTCACAGTTACTCTTGGTATTACCGATATCCAATCAAAGAAAAACAGCTATTATAAATTGCAGATTCTAAAACATGACGCACAAAACAAGTACTGGCTGTTTAGAAACTGGGGAAGAATTGGCACCACTATTGGCGGTAAAAAATTAGAAGTACTTCCTCTGGACAAATGCATTGATACGTTTAAAAATCTTTACTTTGAAAAAACTGATAACTTATGGGAAGATAGGAATAACTTTCAAAAGAAACCTAAAAAAATGTATCCAATAGATATGGATCATGGACTAGAGGACGACGACAAAAATTTATTGGATTCTAACATTAAGAGCAACTTAAAGCAACCTGTGCAAGATTTATTAAGATTGATATTCGACGTTAATTTGATGAAAAAAGTCATGCGGGAATTTGAAATTGATTCGGAGAAGATGCCTCTCGGAAAGCTGTCAAAGAAACAAATTGAGAAGGCATATTCGGTGCTCACAGAATTACAAACATTAATAAAGTCTGGTAATCCGGAACGTCTTAAATTAATAGATGCTTCAAACCAATTTTATACTTTGATACCTCATGATTTCGGTGTATCTGAGCCAATAATATTGGACACTGAGGGAGAAATACTTACCAAGACCCAAATGTTGGAATCACTTCTCGAAATTGAAATTGCATACAATTTACTACATACAAAGACTGACGAGTCAAAGAATCCTTTAGATGCTCATTATGAGCAGCTTAATACTGATATTGATGTCTTAGATAAATCAAGTGAAGAATTTAAGATCATCCAGGAATATGTGAAAAATACACATGCGGCTACACATACTCAATATAACCTGGAGGTAGAAGACGTCTTTGTGATCAAGAGGCACGGAGAGGATCAGAGATTTAAGCCATTCAAAAAATTACACAACAGAAAATTGCTTTGGCACGGATCGAGAACTACTAATTTTGCAGGAATATTGTCACAGGGTCTTCGAATTGCTCCACCAGAAGCACCAGTTACAGGTTACATGTTTGGCAAGGGTATCTACTTCGCAGATATGGTATCAAAGTCAGCAAACTATTGTTGTACGGATAGAAACAACCCAACAGGTCTGATGTTGCTGTGCGAAGTAGCTCTGGGCAATATGTACGAACGTCATGAATCTGATTATATAGAAAAATTACCTAAAGGAAAACATTCCACTCTGGGTCTTGGTCAGACACAGCCAGATCCAACAAAGGTTTACAAGACGAAGGATGGTGTAGTAATTCCATATGGTCCAGGTATACCGGTCAAACGGGAGAAAAAGTCTCATCTATTATATAACGAATATATTGTTTATGATGTTGCTCAAGTTAAAGCAAAGTATCTATTGAAGATGAAATTCAAATATAACGTATAAACGGTTATCAAGTTATATGTACACAATTATATGTATATTAGCGTGTGACGCGTAATATATACGACGCGCGGAACTATATTTTTCCATCGCATTATTTCATATAGTGAAAAACGACATGCTCATTCCACAGAGAAATTTGTAATTCTCGTTACATCATTACCAGTTACTATTACATTATTGTCAGTAAAATAACTATTTAAAATGTAATGTTACGTTTATAATATATCATCATCCTGTTCTACTATTATGTACCTTAATATTTTTGATTATTAAAGAACATTTGATAGTAACAAAATTGTACTGCTTATCGTTTACAGACTGAATGATAACGATTACAATGAAATCTAGATTTGATGAATAATAAAGGCAAATAAAGTATAGTTTGTCCAAGAGTAAAATAGTTTAGTGACAGGTGAAAACACGTTATTCATATTAACGATTCACATAGATAAATTTCTTGCCACTGCTCCCTTACCAAAGTTAATGAATTGAATAGCTTCCTAATTTTGCTATGGTTCTCGCATTTGCAACTTTTCATTAATCTGTTTTGTGGACTGACTATAAACTTTGGTACAAAAATATGCTCAATGCAAATACGTTTGGAAAAGTCAAATTATATCGAGATTAAATTTGAAGCAGGCTAATTCGTTTGAAAAATAATTTGCTTTGAAACAGGCTAATTGGTACATGAATTATCGGCAAAATTAAAGTGTCATGGATCACCTAATCATAAGTATTTTATTTATCAAAATTATGCAGTGAGTAAATATATATATCTTATATTTGTCGCGTAACTTGGTTTGGAGAGTGAATACAAATATTTCAGATTTTATCATGTATTGTAGTTGTTCCATTAACATGATTAATATTCAAAATGGAAATCGAAGTATGATTGATCAAAAGTATTAATACGAATATATCCATCTTCTCCACCAGTTGAATAACTGCGGCCATTAGGATGAAATACGAGAGAATTGATTGGACCAAAATGACCCTTCAATCGCGCGAATTCCTCCTCAAATACAAGATGGAAAAAACGAGAATCAAATTTTCCTTGACGAGCTGACGTTGTAGTTACATCCATGGCATCTTGACCACCACCCAAAACAACCTTTAACAGAATGTTACATAGGAATACATTTAATGCATAAATATGCTTATAACATTATTAAAGATGAATAATTTGACGTACGTGATCGAGAATTGGAGATATAGTAGCAGAATTCACTGGTCGCTCAGTTTTGTATGTTTTTAATAGCATAAGTGATTCACTATCAAAAAGTTTTGCTGTGTTGTCCTTCGACGCTGTGACAAACATAGTGCCATCCTTGTTAAACTGCATGTCATTTATCTGACTCTTATGCCCCTTGATTGAATTCATTTTCTTCCCCGTCTACGAAAATATTGCAGATGAGACCAAAGTGATAAATCGTATTCCAAAAGGAGTAATGACTTAGAAAATTATTATTCAACCTATAATCTTATTTACCCTGGCATCCCAAATGTTGATTTCGCCATCTTCGTGTCCAGTGATAATGGTTTCATCCAAAGCACCCCATAAAATGGCTGAGATACGGGGACCAGTAATCGGAATTCTGCAAATAGCATCCTCTTGGGACATTCCAGCATCCACATCTCGTACATCCATGATAAACATTTCGCACTGATATCCCAATGCCTTATCAGTGGAATATACAACAAGGTCTGAAGAATAACTGAAACTGCAAGTTCTTACAGAACTGTTAGTTTTCAGTTGACCAATTTCTTTTCCTATTTGTGAAAATTCACATTATGCATTATTATATTTTATTATACAGTGAAATTACAATTACAGATGCAATATAATATTCTGTTTAAAGTAGTAAAACCTGTGTGTACCTGTTTGACAATCCCATACCCTCAATGTGTTATCACCACTGCCAGATAGGAACCTGGTAGTATCCCAGTTAACATCAATACACCATACAGAACCATTGTGTCCATCAAAGGTACCAAGGCGTTCTCCATTTAAAGAATACCAAACATTTGGCTGTTTATCTTTACTTGCAGAGAATAAAAGATCACCTTCCCTATTATATTTAATTTTAGTAATGGCACGTTCATGCCCATGAAGCATAAGAGGTTTCTGCAATAAAAGTAAAACACATTTAACAAGATTCACAGTTTGGAGTAAATTGTTAAATTACCATATTTATCAAAACTTAAGGTAATTAAGTCAGTGGACATATAATTTATTTAAAAAAAATCTAAACCATTTGGACAAATGTGCAAATTGTTTGGTTTCAAGACGCATGCATAAATAATGTCTACGTATGTTTTGCATGCCTGCAAAATTTTGGATACGCTATTGAAGCGATCAGGTTTAATTTTAAAGGAAAATTAAATACAAATGAGATATTGCATTTTCAGATGTCTGGAACTTCTTCTTTAGATAGTGTAAATGTCAAATTTCTTTTGAAACATGAATGTATACGCTGCAGTGGCATGATTCACACAGTCATGCCTTATGGCTAACCTCTTACTCTAAATAGAAAAACCAGATGCGTATAAAATACGGTAAATGAAAGAAGTATTTCGATAATGTCCTAAATATTTAATAAACTTACTTACAAAATATTAAAATAAACACTTACCATCTTGTAATAAATAATCAATTGCACGTAATGTTAAGATATCCAATTTGCTGTTAAGTCCTGTAAACTGATTTATTATTCCTTGAGCAAGATAAATGCTATAAACCACCTATTATTCCTCAAAGTGAAAAGGATCATGAATTGCTAGAAATATAAAGATAGGATCTCCTTACCCTCAACACACGACGAAACTTCACGTTTTACAGCGCTTTCTCGTGACAAACTAGCATCACCATAGACTATGTTATACGGGATTGTTATTTCGATTTAGTTAGTATCGATCTGATGGAAATGACAAATCACAGACTTTTTTATTTCTATAGATTATTTAGGATTGATCCATTTCGTTAGATTAGTCCTAACTAAACCGGAATAACATCACCGTGTAAAGTTAGAAATTACAGACTTTCATGGCTAATGCACATGAGCATTATAGTTTGTTAACCAATGAAAAATATCGACAATAATTTCGATACGGAAACGTACGCCGTGTTCTGCAAGTCGAATTTCTTCTTGAAGACCAACAAGACCTGTGATAGTCCCGTTCCAGATTCCGGTTGTATCAAGTGATTGTGAAAAGTTGAAAAAGAAACGAAACTGAAACGGCATGTCTGAAGTTGCCAGTCAACCTCAAATTGACCAAAGTTACTGTTTCAAATGGGGCGATTATCAGAATCATTTATCAGGCGTTGTTCGCCAGCTGCTGGAGGAGGATTGTATGGTGGATGTAACTCTCTCTGCAGCAGGAGAACGTATTCATGCTCATCGGATTGTCCTGTGCGCTTGTAGCACATTATTTCAAGTAAACAAGCCATACGTTTAACGTTTTGGAGTATCGGTAGTTTTGGAGCAGTATTTGAAGTATTGGCTGGAAGATACATCTTTTTATGGATTAGTTCCTGTAGTATATACTTGGAGATCATTAATGATTTATACAGTCGTTTATAATATTCTAACTGAAAATGGAGCAAACAGTATGCTTTGATAAATTAGCTCGTAGAGTGTGACCTGCAGAATTTATGTATAAACAGCTGATATTGTTGAATGTATTTAATTGATGATTATCTATACCTTGAGAGTATAATATTTTTAGAATTATTAGATAACACTATAGTTCTGTGGATTAGTTTTTATTTTTTATACAGGAAGTCCTTAGTCAGGTCAATGAAGATCATCCGACAATTATATTAAGTGATATATCTCCTCAAGATGTGAGATCTATTGTAGAATTTACGTACCATGGCGAAGTACGTATACCTGTAGAGAATATTAGCAATTTATTGGATGCAGCACATTCGCTAAAGATTTGTGGCCTTATGGAGGTAAATTTATTGAATCTATGCTCATAAGCTAGTTCACAATATAATAATTGTTAAATAACTTATTATTGCTTATTGATACAGATTGATGGTTTGGATGAAAATGATGCATCCACCAGTACAAAAGACTTTGGTGATGATAGTATAGAGCCATCAACTGAACTAAATGAAACAGAAGATAAAGTACTAAGTGCTTTGGAAAGTGAATATGATAGTATTACTGATAGTACCGAACAGAACGTACCTGGAGTTTCTACTATAAACAAAAAGAGGAAGAGAAGACGTGATATAATAAAGAGAGAATATAGTGAAGATATGCTTGTATCAGCTATCAATGATCTACGTTCAGGACAGACGCTGATAGAAGCTTCTACCAAAAATAATATCCCCCGTTCTACACTGTATATGCGCGCTAAAGCATTAGGAATACATTTAAATGCTACGAGAAATGAATATCCTGCAGAATGTATGAAAGCTGCTATAAATGCTGTTATTGGTACATATAAAGTCCATATACCAGTTCTTAGAAATGGATGATTCTTTTTTTTTTTAACTATATTGTTTCATTGTTAATTATAGGAGGTTCAAGTTTGCAACACGCAGCAGAGATGTATAGTATACCCAAAACTGTTCTATGGAGACGTATACAAAAGGAAGGATATCAAATTTTGCGTTCTGAAATGAAAAGATCATATGGCTCTGATAAAAGAGAAGCTGCTGTCAAAGCTCTGGAAAGGGGAGAAAATCTGACTAAAGTGGCACTTGAATTTCAGGTATATATCACGCAGTCACTATCTGATTAATACTTACCATTAGTTTTGTGACAATATATAATCCTTGCTTTTTTTAGATTCCAAAAACGACATTGTTTAGAGATAAGGCGAGATTGGTAGACGAAGGTAAATTACCACTATCATTCTGGAAAAAGCGTAAAACAGAAAATGAGGAATTGAAAAAGACACGCCTAGAAGAAGCAGTAGCTGCCTGTAAGGGAGGTAGAATGTCACAGGCGGCAGCATCAATGACTTATCATATCCCAAAAACAACTATATGGCGACGTCTACAACAAGATGGAAAAAAACATAATCGAACATCAAATAGTAAACGACAGCAGAGATTGACAAACACAAATGAAAAAACACAGGAGAAGCCACAGGAAGGATCAGAATATGCTTTTTGCGAGGTAAATCAATTATTTAGAACTTATCAAGCAACGATCGTAATAACGATTCGTTACAGGTATCTTCGGAAATTCCAATAGCATACATAGATGAGAGTAACATCCCTGAAAACTCTGTTATCATTTTGACTACTAATGACGTGGAAGCGATTAACTTGGAGGAGGGTAGACAAATTATCGTTAGCTCGGTAACACATACAACAATAACTTGTTTCTTGATTAATACAAATTCGTCTGCATTGTTTTTTCTTATTACAGGGATCTGGTCAAGAGTATGTTCCTTGTACTTTAAGTATAGAAGATAATGCAAATTACATGCCAGCTGAGAGTTAGCATGTAATCTACACCATATGATGACATTTACAATACCATATAACAAATTCTATATATATATTTCAATTAATTACAAATTAGTTTTCTTGCTGTCTTGGATTGTTAATTGCATTATTGATTTTTTAGATGGCTCATCTGTTTAGCACCAATGAAATATTAAGTGGATTAGGTAAAACAAAATTTATATCGTTAATTTACTTTGTTAAAATCTGTTTCTATTGATAATTTTTGTTCACCCTGATTATAATCAAATAAACATATTTGTAACTGTGCAGTTTGGGAATGAAATCACCTTCTTTTAAGACTTTTTTTATAGAGGGTATAAGAAATTGAATTGAATATTATCAAATATGTAATATATTTTTATGCTATATGTATGTTTTACACAGAATATCCAACATGTATAATCTAATTTCGTTATTCTAAGTAATACCTCAAATGAATTAAAAAAAAAAGTTAGCCGATTTTTAAAAAAGTCTTTAAAAGACTCACTATATGAAAGACCATGGCTGTAGTGTACCCTAAGGAGGTTCGGGGCCCCCGTCGGGAGATCCATAAAGTCTTGTTGCGGCCACAATTTGGGCCCGAACCCATTGAGCAAGCTCAGCGGATGACGCGGAAGGGCAACCTCTGATACCATGATATATACATCTAGCTACTACTAATAAGGTGACTACTCGAATGAATATGCTCGACCCGACCGGAGGAATAGGATAAACACAATGGAAAGTGAGAGGGAACAGAGTCAAATGAGAAGACAGAAAGGAAGATAGATATAAATAAGTCAAGAAGTAGAAAAGTAAGGAAACGAGACATAAAATTATTGAAGAAATAAGAAAGTAAAGAATGAATATAAAGAAATAAATATAGAAATATAGAAGAAGGTTGTAAATGGATAAGAGGGATGTTTCCAAGAAATCAGTACAAGAGACCGCCTTTTGAAAGAATGAGCATTCCGAATCCGGGCACTACCTTAAGCGCTCCTCCTACTCGCCGCGTCCTGCGTGACGAATTTGCGTGCACGTAATTTTGGGCAACTTCCAATGCTTTTAAATATTCTTGGCCAGAAATTATGATTTTTATGTGTTAATATCTAACTTTATAGATTTAATTAATTATTTTAATATTTCAAACACTTAATTTATTAATATTTCAATTTGAGCGTAATTTAATTTCGACATTTTACAATTTCAATTCAATTTTTATCTACTCTGTATATTTGCAAGATTTTGATCTAGCCTTAATTTTATATTTTGAATAAATTTCGAAATTAAGTCAAGATCTCATAATATTTAGTAGCTTTATTAAATGTTTCGAAATATCAATATTTCTGTGCAACTGACTTCTTTCAGAGAACATATATATATATATGTTATATATATATGCATATATATGTTCTTTGCTTCTTTCCTTATTCTTCTCGCAGGTTATCCACCATTTTTTTTCAGAATGTCCGTTCGTTGCTTAGGGCATGTTATGCACTTATACTCCACCTCCATCGTAGCTTCTCTGTTTATTGAATGCATTTGATCGAGACAGAACATGCTCTCAGTACTCTCGGCTTATTTTCGAACACACCTACTATAGTCCTTCGGAGCACGTAAAAACGCTTGACGGACGGACCGATTGGTAATCTCCCTACTTATCTCTGTATGCAGAAGCATATCGTATTTCGGTTCAAAAACATATTCCAGAATTCCCATTGGATCACACTTCTCAGTATATTGCAGTACATGAGTTACTTTTATGCACGTGTGAACTGAACATGACGGTAACAGCAGAGTGCACTATCGATATTTATTGTTAAAATAGTGGTTGGCGGCCGGTTGTACGATTACAGGCCGTCGTTATAAAAAGATTTCATCATTCTCCACGTGAAAGTTGCAGCACATATGAGTAAAACATGGCTCATCAGTTATTAAATTCAGCAAGCAAATTAGAAAAATTTGTTCTTAAGTCTGTACAGAAGGGCCACTTCGACCATTTTCAGGTACCTGTAACCTATAATAACCTCATCCCAAACAGTGATATAACTAGATTCTCTGAGAAAATATTGGTAAAATAAAGAATAATATTCACCAATATATCTCATTTTATTTTATGAAATTACAATGATGTATCTACTTGCATGGTATGATGCAATAGCGATCATGAATGTTGTTTCTTATAGTTCACAACTCTGATCCAGTCTTTTGTGGGAAATTATTTTTTATATTGTAAAAATTACAGTGAAAGTTTTGTAATATATCTTCAAACTGTCTTTTTCAACAATTCTAGTTTCTCTTATCTGTATAATTTGACATACCTTATGTATCTAGCTGAGGAGACAATTGTCAGGATTAAAAAATGGAAGAGGTATTTCTACAATTCAGTATGTGCAGCAACAGTGGAGATTGTTTACCGAACGCCCACCAAAGGGATTTGAAAAGTTTTTCCAACCAGGAAATAAAGGTTAGATTATTTTATTCTAATTAAGGTAATACTTTGTGTCTTCATATGTTTAATTTACTAGGTGGTGCAAAAGAAAAACCAAAATCCAATGAATCAGCTGCACAGGAAGCCAAGGGTAAACAAGCACCACCACCTAAAGAAGCACCTTCTTCTAGTGCCTCTGGTGCAAGTAAAAAACCAGTTAATCAATGGTCCCTTGGTGTATTTGGACCAAACAGTCGATCTGGTGGAAGTGGTAAATCTGCTGAAGGGGGCGATAAGGAAAAATGGTTAGCAGTTGGTGTAATCGGAGCAATCAGTGTAATTGGACTCTTTCTATATTCTGATTATGGCTACAAGGAGATTACATGGCGGGAATTTGTATACAGGTTTGATGAATTTTAACAGAATATGTTTTGTTGTCATAATCACTACCAGTATTAGTATAGAGAGTACAACTCCGCTTAATTTGTTATCATTTAGTTACTTAAACAAGGGAATTGTTGATAAACTAGAAGTTGTTAATAAAAAATGGGTACGAGTGAGACTACTACCTGGCCAAACGGTAGACGGTTATGTAAGTTAATTCACTCCTATGAATAAATAATATTACTCATGTGACAGTTTTTGATTTGATATCATTTATAATAATATTTATCTAGAATTTATTATGGTTCAACATCGGAAGTGCAGATACCTTTGAGAGAAATTTAGAGAATGCACAACTCGAACTGAATCTTGAACCACAAAATCATCTTCCAGTTATTTATAAAAATGAAATGGAAATGACCTCGTTGATCTCATATGCACCAACATTAATTCTACTAGGTTTTTATTTCACTCTTCTTTGTATTGTAAAGTGCAACAAAATTATGTAGAATCATATTGATAATATTTCCAGGTGTTGTTATGTATGTGATGCGACGTTCCGCCGATATGATGACTGGCGGCAGAGGAGGACGAAAAGGTGGTTTATTCGGTGGTGTAATGGAATCTACAGCAAAGTTAATAAACTCAAGTGAGATAGGCGTACGTTTTAAGTGAGTAATTACTGTGAAGTGTAATTTAATCAAATAATTATTAGTAAATATCAGAATAAAAAGTGTGTTATATCGCATAACTTGATATCTTTGTATATTTTCTATCATGCAGAGACGTTGCCGGTTGTGAGGAAGCAAAAATTGAAATTATGGAGTTTGTAAATTTCCTTAAAAATCCACAGCAGTACATAGATCTTGGTGCGAAGATACCAAAAGGCGCAATGCTTACAGGTAAATATTCATAAATTTAAAATCATAATTTGATATCAGGGATATAATTCAGTAATTCGTTTTGCTTTGTCCAGGCCCACCGGGTACGGGTAAAACGTTGCTCGCAAAAGCAACAGCTGGTGAAGCCAACGTGCCTTTCATTACAGTATCAGGATCTGAATTTTTGGAGATGTTCGTCGGTGTTGGACCTTCCAGAGTACGAGACATGTTCGCGATGGCACGTAAACACGCGCCTTGTATATTGTTCATCGATGAAATTGATGCCGTAGGAAGAAAAAGAGGAGGCCGAAGTTTCGGCGGACACTCGGAGCAGGAAAATACTTTGAATCAGCTTCTAGTAGAAATGGACGGTAAGAATGTTTTTTTTTTACTATCTAGCAAAATTATTGAATATTTCGTATCGATTAATTTTTCTCCACTATTAATGTCTTTTTACTATGCAAGGTTTTAATACGACAACTAATGTTGTGGTGTTAGCTGCCACTAACAGAGTAGATATTCTGGACAAAGCACTTTTACGGCCAGGAAGATTCGATAGGCAAATTTTCGTACCTGCCCCAGATATTAAAGGGCGCGCATCAATTTTCAAAGTTCATTTAGGTCCATTGAAAACTACTTTAGACAAGGATGAGCTTGCTAGAAAAATGGCTTCTCTGACTCCTGGATTCACAGGTGCGACTACTGTTACGTTCATTAATAAAAATTTAACAGGTCATCCCGTGCTTTCGAATACGAGATATCATTCACTTAAAGTATAGTATGATAATTATTTATATTCCATCAGGGTTGTTAGGTAAATTAAATAAAGATACTTGTAGGAGCTGACATTGCAAATGTTTGCAACGAAGCTGCACTCATAGCAGCTAGAGACATGAATAATGACATTAAATTGAAGAACTTCGAACAAGCTATTGAGAGGGTAGTAGCTGGTATGGAAAAGAAGACTAACGTTTTGCAACCCGAAGAGAAAAAAACAGTAGCCTATCACGAAGCTGGACATGCGGTAGCAGGATGGTTCCTACAATACGCTGATCCACTTCTAAAAGTACTTTCCCTAACAGACATGATGTTATTCAGATGAAATCAAAAAATGTCCAAATAATTATTAACAACTTTTTTTTCTTAAATAGGTTTCCATAATACCCCGTGGTAAGGGATTAGGTTATGCTCAGTATTTACCTCGCGAACAGTATCTTTACACGAAAGAACAGCTATTTGATCGGATGTGTATGACTCTTGGAGGACGTGTATCCGAAGAAATATTCTTTGGACGTATAACGACAGGAGCACAGGACGATTTGAAAAAGGTGTTTACAATTGGATATGTACTTAAAAAATTCTTCAACATGTTCTCAATGCTTTTTGTTCGTCCTATAAATTTTTCCAGATAACCCAAAGCGCTTACGCACAAATAGTTCATTACGGAATGAATGACAAGGTTGGCAATGTCAGCTTCGATTTGCCACAACAGGGTGAGATGGTCTTAGACAAGCCTTACTCCGAGTATACTGCTCAGCTTATAGACCAGGAAGTACGTCAGTTGATCGACTCAGCGCATGTGCACACTCGTACTCTTCTGCAGCAGCATAAGGAAGACGTAGCCAAGGTAAGCAATAGATATGCTTGTATAATGATATTCCACAATTAGATTTTAATACCATTCATTATTTCAGGTCGCTGAGCGTTTACTGAAGCAAGAAATTCTGAGCAGGGAGGACATGATCGAATTACTTGGACCACGACCCTTCCCTGAGAAATCGACATACGAACAGTTTGTCGAAGGTACAGGATCCTTCGAAGAAGACACAACATTACCAGAAGGACTTAAGGAGTGGAACAAGTCGAGGGACGAGTCTGAAAACGACGAAGGAAAAACAAAAGAGGCAGCCACTGGTACGGAACAACCAGCACCCGCTTCGGCAACAACAACAACAGAAACAAAAGATCAACCACAACAGCGATTGTAATTATTTCACCGTAGATTATAGTTTCTTCTGTACCTCATCGTACTTTGTACAATAGTTAAAAATACATAGTGTACTAATAAATGATCGTTTTACTCTTTGTTTTAATATCTCTTCTGTCATTGTTCATCGGATTTCATTTTATTATCTTGCCTAGTTTAGTAACAATTTGCACGTCATATAAGACTTTTCGATACTAGTCAAACTTTGTACCTTGTTATAATGTATTGTAATACGTTGTATCAATTCACTGTTGCTTCATAACGGGATACACTTTACTTAGTTTAATAATGACGTCATGAGTACATATATTTATGTTGGATTAAGCAAATGTGACTGTTCTATTTCCCACGATGAATGACGCTTAATTGAATTTTTATCTTGGGAAAATGGGATGAGGATCGAACGATTGAAACAATTTTTTACAACGTATAATTTAATTAATAAAGTTTACAAATTTGGTGCAATGAAACCTTTCTCTATCCTTAAATATTGTAAATAAGTACATAAGTGGCTTTTGCAATTTCGTCGTTGGTACTAACGTAATTTGCCTTAACTTGGATCTCATATGAATTGCTATTTAGTGGAGATAGATAAACTTGAGTATACGTCGTTTTTTATTATTAATTATTATTAGCATTATTATTATTTCCCTTTTCTTTTCACAACTCGACGTATTGCGTGTTTAGGTGTATGGTCCGTAATGTTCTAGGCAACGTTTCTCTTTTATTTGCCAGTAGCTACTCAAAATATTTCAGCTCCGTTCGAAAGTGTCTATAGGCGTTGAAGATCTGATAGTGAAATTATGTTTTTCTGTGAGTGTATAGAGATGAATCTTTTTTATATTTCAGGAATAAATGTACGATCATCATTACATCTATAGATTAATAGATTAACGACTCTTGAGATATTCGTTTTTCGTCTGTTTGAATAGATAGAGAGATAAACGGCTAAGATCATATTTTTTGTTCAGAATGGCCATTCTATTTATTTTAATATAATAAATTGGTGATGGTTTATCAGTAGATGAGAAAAAATTTTTTTCTTCAGATTTCACAATCGTTATTGATTGCCTCAGTGGCAATGGTAAAAACTGATTTAAAATTGTAAAAGTTGACGGGATATACAAATTTGGCACCTAATACAATTAAATATGAATAACGTATCCAAAATTGGATGTCTAATGAGTCAATGAGAAAAAAAGTATAAATCACACGAATGCGTCAGTACTTCCAAATTTTTTTATCATTTTGATCCCATGACAGTTTCTCTGAAATGGAAATCGTTCCTTGCACTTCTACAAAACTATATGATTTATCGAGTAAATATTTATAGGTTCCGCAAGTACCGTAACTTAGCGCTATAATCACTAATCAAATATTATACAATCACTAAATTATTGCTTTGTCGTACCTTGTATCACACTAATCGAAATCCTATATCCTTATTTTTTTTTTAATTTTCCGAAAAGTCACACCCGTATACGAGTCATGATCATTTTCCTGAACATAGTAATATCAAGACTTCATTTAAAATCCTACGGCGTTTCTATTCGTTAAAAAAGACAATGATTAATTGACAAAATGTTAAAACATAACGCGATAAAGTAATCACAGATCTGCTGACAAGGTTAATTAGAAATTATTAAAATAATGAACCAAGTAATTCCACGATTCACAATTAGCCCAATAAAAATGATATGATCATTCGGGTGTGACTCAAACCATTTGCATATCTAAATAGTATCAACTTTAATGTCCATTTATAATATACTATGGCAGATTAATTAATCTGCATTTACGAATATCAGTTCTGCAGCTCGTACTTATAGTTTCTTGCTTTATATTTATCCCTCCTATTATATACGGTAATGTCTGATAAAACGTATCGACGAACCTTCGAAATGATCATTGCAATTAATTTCAAATGGACACGGTGTGACATTTTTAAATACACCTTTACACAATAGAGAGCCTCCTGACACGTTAGTTTACTATATTCTCAGATTTTTATACTATTACCCATTCACTCATTAAAAATTATTACAAGTGCATATTGAAAATCAAAGTATAATTTTATTTGGATTCAATTCTACAAATGACTCGTGAATTTTATGCATCCTGTATCCCTGTTTGAAAATATTCAATTTTCATCACTCCAAATGTCATTTTTATCTTCATTTTATACCCATTCATACTTTTTACTTCAGTGTCGGGAAACGTTCTATTTATTTATTGACTACTGTTACCAGTTATTAATATATTCGATTGACTGTCGAGTACTGCTATTAGCATAAAGCAGACAAGGTTAATATTTTCATACCCAATACGGCCAAACTGTATAAGAGAATGAGATATTTTATTATTTTTATAAAAATCATCCTTTCTTTCAAATCGGTCGCAGGCTTTCTCGGGTCGAAACGATTTCAATGATACTCTAATATTTTTTAACGTGAAGAATGCGATGGACAACTGATTAATCGGTCAAGTGTCGGATTAATAGAAATATAAATTAAAAACGTATTGGCTACAGCCGGTTCAAAGTAATGATATGCGAAATAGTCCGAGTGTAGGAAAATGTAACGTAACCCAGTTTCTCGTGTAAAATTATTATCCATTTGAATTGTTCTAATTCCGATAAAATATCTAATATGAATTACTTGCATATAAAAATAGGCGCTGAACGAACGTTAAAAAAAAAAAGAAGAAACGGAAGATAAATTTACTAATATCGACTTAACGTTATAAAAAGTTTGATCTTTTGCACTAATTATAATTTCTGGTGAATTTTGGATGACATAACCTTAAAATTATATAATTTAATATAGTATTTTCTTTTAAAATATTAAAATTCAATAAAGCGTACGGTTGACTAGATGCAAATTAAAGCACCGTTAGTCCTTTGAGAAACGTGCAAAGGACTATACATTAAAGTAAATTGTAAAATAATATAAGCGCAAATAATGGACTAGAAACGTAAGTAAATTTCAACAGATTTTCATTTATCTGTCCTGCCGTTTGTTAGATTGCACTTATATTCAGATGCACTAATACCAAACTTAAGAAGCTTACTGTTATTTATATTAATTTCTTGCCCTCGATTCTAACTCGCATTAAATTTGATTTAAGCAGTCGAATAAAGGAGCCCGAACATTTGTTGCACGTGTGGCTAGTTAGCAGTAGGAATGGTATGTTCCATAATTCAGGGGTACAGGACAGCCTAACCCTTAGCTATCGAATGGTCACCCCTGCATTCAACAGGTGGTCCAGTGCGTGTGAAAGCTTGATGAAAGTCCTTTACGGAGGAACTTAAATAAGACGTACGAAAGGAAAGCTCTACTTCAAAAGAAATACCGTAGAAAATAAACTGTCTGACGTAATCCTTGCTTCGTAGTACACTATTATCGCGGATTTCGTGTTGCAGGAAAACAATGACTTCTAAAAAGTGGTGGCATTAAAAATTATGAAATAAAATGGATATCGATGACGAACCGCTGTATAGTGTATGACAATGCTAACCTGGATCCTGGCAAGAGTAAGTATGAAAAAAAAGAATTTTGTATCTTATCTCTCATTAATCTCCATTATCTTGTGATCGATCATGGTGAAGTTAATAAATTCGATGTCTGATCTACTCACGATCAATGAACAATCAGGAGATATAAGATAAAGGACATTTCATCTGTCTGGTCCTCATTAATATATACGTATCCAATCCTTCCTTCATAAGATACGCTCGGCGATAATTTCTAATAACCGACATTCGAAAATTCCCGCCTTAATACACCTTCAATTCATTCGAAAACAAAGGTCCCTTTCTAACTTGTCGGTAAGCACAATAAAAAAATATTGTGTTTACCCAGTGCGAATCGTGATTCAAAAATACTGAACGTGCCGTTACGTTAATCACTCTGAATTTATCTCATATTCAGAGTACCAATAGATTAATAATTCTCCAAAAATTCAGACAATTTCGAAATAGCCACGTAACCTTTACATTCGGTATCGTAAATTTATGCTCGATGGTCAATCGATGAATTGAAGACGAGACGAATTAAATTCTCCCGACCATTCGAGCCGCAATCCTGATTACGGCGGAGTGTCGACATCATTGCTACTCTCGTCGCCATTCTCTCTCTGACACGCAGACTCCAGATGTTTATTCAGGTAAGACTTGAGTGCGAAGGATTTATGACACTTGGGACACTCGTAATTCTTATCAGCCGAATGAGTCTGCATGTGGGCACGAAGATTCGAACGGTCGGCGAAGGCCTTGCCGCAGTGTGCGCACCCGTAAGGCTTCTCTCCTGTGTGGCTACGCAGATGACCTTGGAGTAGCCAGGGCCTGGAGAACATCTTACCGCAAACGCCGCAGCTGTGAGTGAGCTTATGGGTGAGTACGTGCATGGCCAAGGCAGGCATGCTGACGTACGCTTTACCACAGTGGATGCACTTTTTGGCCGATTGCGAATCTATGCTACGGTGAGTCTGCTTGTGCCGTGAGAGATTCGAGGAGGTGGCGTATTGCTTGCCTGAAAAGATAACGAATTGATAAAGCCGTTAAATAAGGTCCGTATACCGATTATTAATATAAAATAATTCTTACCACACTCGCAGCAGACGTATCGGCCCACCCTTGGTGCTTCTGGAGGTTCTGCTGTCTCGGCTTCCGCCGAGGGCTTCTGCGGTGAGGTCTTCTTGTTCCTGGAGCGTCCATCAGCTACTAGCAGTGTATCATAAGTATAGGTAGCTGCTTTAACTTCGGATTGCTCCGTAATAGTTTGCACCTCCTTGTCTCGCATGGGTTGAGAGTTTGGATTGTTATTCTCAATATCACTGCTGCATTCAGACGCAGGTGGCGTCAGTGGGGGCGCTTCCAGCGGTTGAGTTATGATCGACGGAATGGACGGGGTGCTGTAGGTGAATAATATCTCCTGGACCGGAGACAACGGTATAAAAACACCACCAGAAGCTTGCTGAACTATTGCGGCAGCCTCGTACATGATGCTCGTAGGCTGTGGCTGATATATGGCACTAGCCAGGTCGATAGAGTTCACCTGATAGACCGGTTGTTCCGGTTGATATACCGTCATCTCCTGGATATCGGTAGCTGGCGATTCGATGACATTCTGTGGACCCACCGCCACGCTCGGTGGTGGTAATGGGGGTAAAGATCTAGAAAGCTCTAGGAGATCGTGTGCAGCTTCGGTTTCCGCGGCGGACCTTTCCTTAAAAATTGCCATTTCCTGAACCACTAAGGTCGACCTGGTCTCAGTGGTTTCCTCGACGCCGGAACATGACGTAAGCTCGGTCGAAAGATTATCCTCTCCATGACCAGGCTTATCCACCTTTTCCGACACAGAGAAACCTGTCGTAATGTCATCCTTATTCGACACCAATCCTCTAGGTGATGTCGTCCTTATCCCTTCTGAAGACGACAGCGACGCCGTCGTTGTGCTGATCGTTTGCGATACCCCAGGCATCTCTACGACACTGCTTGTATTGCTGGTGACAGTCGACGTGCAGGTTGTCACTCCTGTCGTCCTGACGTCTAGCTGAATTGACGAGGAGCATCCTGACGAATCAGTCACATCCTCTGGTGGCAGCTCGACGCCATCGGTTCCCGACGATACCGCATGCCCCTCAGCTGTGGTCTCTTTCTGCTGCGACGTCCGACAGTCTAAAAAAAAATTATTTCATTTTTCTATTACAATATTTCTCTAGGATCTGGTTGCCTATTGGAGCCCTGGACTATTTTAGCATACAGTCGTAGCATTAGTTGTGCTAACGATAATTTTGTGTCAGAATTGGAGGAGCTGCAGGGAGGAGCGTTCATGGCTCGTAAATACGATCCTTCAGGAACGTTGATATTCACTCTCTAGGTTCTCTATAGCATTTATATCTATACGTGGCAAGAGACAACTTCAGTGGGAAATAGGTGCAAACGCTGAATGAGAGGCAACGAAGGATGGTTGACATTTCGAGATAGATATAGACATACGTTATGAGTAAGACATGGAGAAAGGGTAGTTTTGATGTAATTGCTCGAGTGCGAACAAAATACCTGTTGAGTCATTTGCATATTACAGGAGCTGTGATATTTTCAAAGTTCCATGACTTAAGTCGCGTCACGATAGGCTTGGCAATGTTAATCTCTCAGGACTCGTAAAAGCTAATCCATAGGTAAATTCTTGATGCCTTGGTACAGCACAGGAGCGCATATACGTGAAAGCGTGTATCTTTATAAACATCAGAAAATGCATTATCCAAGTTTCCCAGCTGTAACGTGCTTTGTGCATACAGAAATGAAAGTAATAATTCTTAATTAAAAAAATAATAAAGCTATATCCGTTATATAGGAATTTTATGTAGGTAGCCCTTTGTCTGTTAATCGTAATGTTATTCGTGGACCAACTACTTGACGTCATCCTGAGTATACCTTGCGCAAGAGGAGGTGCAGCAACGCAGGCTTCTACGGCCGAGAAGGATGGCTGCGTCGTAGCTGTTGGCGACGGTGTGTTCCTTCCTCGTCCCCAGCTTTCAAATCCTCTGGCAACGCTAGTTATATACTTGTTGCATAGCGCTTTCTTCACCATATAACACCGCGGCATCTTGATTCAATCCTTTTGTTCCTTTTGGCGTTACTTTGCGAACACGTTCGAACTGGTATAAAAGTGTAAAGGTCGATCCTCCAAGGATCCCCAAACCTCTTGAGAAGGTAAACGCGTATAGTTTTTTTTCAAGTATAATAGCTTCCCATCTTTATTTTCCCTTAAGAAGTGAAAAGTCAGGGCGATTTCCTATCTCGACTCTCAGTCTCAGCAGCAGCTCTCGTATATCCTTGTTATATTTTCGACTACAAGAAAGTCATCGAGCTCCCGCGTCCTCCACCGGAATCTTGATAAATTCGGTAGGGCTCGACGAGACTTTTCCGGATCCGGTTCAACGTATCTTCCGGTTGGGAAATCGCTACTTGAAATTCATCTCGCCGGTCATTTTGCATGGGATATAAATAATGAATCGTTTCGGTACGATTAACGATTCTGGTCCTTTGTTGTTGTTTCTGTATAGTCGTGACCGTCGGACGAGCCGGATATGCACTGATGAGAACCTTTGAGCCTCTCTTCACTTCCGTGGATTCATCAGCGAATTTCGACTCAGGTCTTCCCACGTTCTCCACAACAATCGATTCGTTTGCCAATAAGCTGAACCCACGTTAAACGGCTCCACGGCAACAATGAATTTTCTTGTATCTCACAGCAAATCGTAGAACAAGCCGAATACCACTTCCGGCCTAAAATTCGTAGCCCACGTAGCACGTATAGCGATGAACTCACTACATTAAATCTAAGTTCTCGTTGCACGATCGTGTTAAGTCGATTATTAAAATACGTTTGTTTAAAGTGAGCTAACAATCTTTACCTGCTCTAATTGGACTCGCGTATATTATAATACTCGTTATAACCTCTATAAACGTATAGTTTGCGGGGTAGTTGATTCCTTTACCTTGTTTAGTATTGCTTTCGTTGTATTCACGGGTGGAAGATTATTAACGTTAACGATAACGGTCGTACGCGTGCGTCTACATGCACGGGGATGCGTGTTCTTCTTATCAGTTTAATGCGAGCTTTCAAATATATATCTGTATATGTATATCTAGATATATCTATATATATACGTGCGCCGTCTGTTGTCAATTCGCGAATACGCGTAGAACGTATCAAAGCCTGGTCGTTTCCCTCGTGCGGACTGCATCTATTTCTCGAGTTCGGGGCAGCCGGGATCGTCGTCGAGGGTAGCGACGGCGGCGGCGTCGGCGTCGAGAGCGTCGGCGGTGGAGGAGGAGGCGGCAGCGACGAGGCGTCTTGTACTCGGGCGTGTCTCCTGATTTCCTCGCGATTCCACCATCCTCGTGAATATCCCGTTCGTTCCGCTGGTATTTCTCTTCTTGCCCTTAGCGACAACCACGACGACACCCTGCGGCACGTTACTTTTTCGAAAAGGTCACGGATATGCCGCAGGACGAGCAACAAGTTGGACAACAGGTCCGCGACGCCTTGTGGTCGATAACTCAACTTTCGTAGAAAGTGCTGAGTACTGACTCGCGCGACACACACGACACCACCGCAAACACAGTAAAGAACGTTCTTGCGCGCCCTTCTACGGAGTCCTCCTGAGGTCCGGTCTTCACGAGCTTCGGCCGATGGGTAAGATTGACCCGATGCACCCGGGTAACCCTGGTACACGGGTTAGGTACTCCGTTCCTTCCTGGCTGGCTGCCTGGCCAGACACGGGCCAGCTCGTGTCTCTCCCCGGAATACTGGGGTGGAAGCCGTGCGAGAGAGAGCGAGAGAGAAAGAGAGGTGGAGAACGAGCAGAGGCAGACAGGGACAGAGTGCGTGAGAGAGAGAGAGAGAGAGAGATAAACGGATAGCGAAAGGACGTATGCGTGAGCGAGAGAAAGAATGGAGCTTGACAGAGCAAAAGAATGAGAGACGATATGAGAGTGGCGGGGCCGCTAGTTTCGACGCGTAAAGCAGCACCGGAAAAGATCGTCGAGAAGCGCCCCCCGTGCGCAGCGGCACCGCGACGCCCGTCTCCTCTTCGTGGCGCGGTACCGAAATCCGTGGGCTTCACGATATCTCGAAGGTAAGAATACCACCTGTAGGTGAAGCAACAATTGTCCGCTGTATGCGGAGGGTAGCCCGACTACATGGCTTGTCCGGGTGTGGCTGGGGTGCAACTGTCGCGTCGCGGCGCCCCCGCGCGTCCATCGCGGCGCCTGCGTCTTCCGCGGGGCGAACCTCGCGTCGACGATGTGCCCATCGATTTTACAAGTTCGGCCCGAACCAACACCTGTTACCGCAGAGATAGTCAGCGGGCGAACTCTAATCGATAACGTTCCCTGCCGGACGATAGTGCGTCGCTTCGTATACGCTCTCTCTATGTACACACGCTTTCCCGTTGCCTGGCAACGGCCACCGCGCGGAAAACAATTAGCGTTCCTCCTGGTGCTGCCGTCGCCGATACTCGCTACGTTGACGTCGATGCCGACGTCGCACCAGCCGCGTCTGCTCTACCTCTGACTCAATTACTCACGAGACGTCCTTAGTGCGCTTGTTGTTTTATTTGACATTTTAACTCCTTATGGACACCCCAATTGGACACCGGATGCTTCGCCATGCTTCCGTCATACTTCTGGGGTAAACAAGGGATGACTCGTGATAAGGGAGTTTTCTATAGTCTTTCATTGAAGCTTTCGAGAGCGGCTTCCTTTGTTTTTGGTTTACTTGAAATCCCTTATACAAAGAATACCCATCTTTCGCGACGTTACTCGGCTTTGTCAAACACGTACCGGTCTGTCGAATGTATTCGACAATGTTTCCAAAGATTTCCTTCTTACGTTTACCTTAAAACTTTTCAATATTTGGTCATTCCCATCGAGAGAGGTCTTCTGGGACGAATACCTTGTAACGCCGATCTAAAACTTTGCGCTAACTTTTCCAGCTACCAGGGGGACTCTTATATCAAGTTTTCAGGAGTTCTCGGGACGGCTTACGCGCCGCAATGCTTTTCGAGTTCGAGACATCCCAGGACTCGGATTATTCCCTGCTTTCTAATTATACGCAAGAACCCGTACAACCCCTTCAATGTAAACAAGGGAAGTTCGCGATTGACGGAGAGTTTTACAAAGGCGAACGGAAGGAACAGACAAGAGGAAGACTTTTCATGGGATTAGCGGAGGTTGCGTTGTTTTCACTTTTTTTTTCTCCTTCGCATTATCCGATAGGTAACTACAACCTTCGTGCAAACAGGTGTCTCGCATTAAAGGACATATATAACGGGTGACACCTTTAATCGTGTATAGCTACAGGCCACACGAAAGCCTCCTGTTTACTTAACTACCCAGCATCCAGTTCCAGGGGTTCTTCAACCCTGGCTTGGAAATATCTTCATGAGCATCCCCCCAAAAAAATACAAGGGCAACATCGCACAGCGTAATATTTATAGCTTTGAAACTTTACGCTTTTGCTTCAGCAGACGCCATGTGGCTTTTACGTATCCAGTGTGCTTTGGCGCCAAATTCAAAACCAATTCGCAAAGTTCACCAGTATCGTACTGACGGTACGAAATTTTTATTTCACAAGAATCCGTGTCTATTTTTGTCATTACTCGACCCCTTTCTATGGGATTGCTTTTATTACGCGTAAAAGCACGGCTGTAAGTATCCAATAATTTCCGGATAGCAACGGATACGTAATAATGTAAAGCAATACTTGTGTGTATTTAGCTATAAAATGGTCTGTGGTTTTACATAAATATTTTTAAGGTACTGTAAACTTAATTCAAATATACGAACGAGCGTGTTCAAACGAACAGGGGTAGGTTTCAGAGTTCGGATCCATAGGTCAAGAAGGGTGTCAACCCTTGAGCACGTTTGCAACGTGCTAGAAGCCACTCTCTGCAACTCTGATCGTTAGTTCAGACCGAGTGAGACATACGTGACAAATAATTCATGATGGTCACAGAAGGTCCTGATTTAGGTCCTCGATTTCCTCAGGTTGTACCCTACGTGCACTGTCTAGTAGAAACCTAGCGAGATTCCATATACAGCACGGTAAACACGATAGGAGAGTTTTTCAAGTCGTGCAGGGCGAATCTACAGTGACACGCCACTGGCTCAGCCCACCCTAATCTCCAAGGAATATCTGAAAGGGGCGCAACGTTACGCTTATGTAAATTCGAGTCGATTCACAACCCCTGTACAGAATTCAGCATTGGATCGGCTTGGTACGACCTTTTCGTATTACTTATATACAGCAGAAATTCGAACCATCCTCTTGTTGGTAAATCTTATGAATTTTCGCATTTTCATATTTTTCCCCGACATTCCTGATATGGAAACGAGCTCACGGTGCAAATATGAGTACGAGCGCTGTAGGTAAGTCGGGCTGAAGTATCCACAGGTTGTTGACTTTCCTGGCCGTGTTTTCTGGGAGCGCGAAGATCGCAACTGGTGTGCCGCGACTAGCGCTGGTCGCTCGTTGGGGATGTGGCTAACGATAAATTTACGCTTCTGGAAAAGTTGATAAATCGAATTGCGCACGAGAGTCGGAAATAAAGTGTCCCCAGGCTTAGTCGGTACGCTCCCTTGGGAACGTTTACTGTAGCGGGGAAATTTACGCTATGCGATGTCTATATCTATATAGATAGTCATCTCGAGAAAAAGGATAATTTCACGTTGCTTGTTTTTTTATACGTAAGAAAAGAAGTAAGAGGATACAGAATAAGATGAGATCGGCGTGCTCGCTATGGAACGCGGTTCTGGTATTATCACGATAGCTCGTATTTCAAGTGTAACCCTTTGAACGCGCGAAGTTTCGTTAATGGCACTGGGTACGATCGATAGCTAACGAGCCACGTAAAACTGATTACTTTCGGATGCTTAACTATGGAAAAACACTCGGTCCACCGGATACGCTCCATTTTTGAGCCGGACGTCGATCGATCGCCAAGTGTACCGGTCCTCTTTTTGGGTCAACATCATGCACCTTCGTCATAGACAATTATTAGATGCCGTCATTCCGAAGAAATTTACGACTTTGACCTTACTAGAGACTGATGAAAAAAAAATCTACTTTATATTCCAAACGTACGACGTGAATATTACTTTCGTCCACGAAGGATTGAGCATAAGGGAGGTATCCGGGTGATGGAGGTTGTGTCGAAAATCGTGGTGTGACTGGATATCTGAAGGGTTTTGGCGGATGAAGGAAAGCGTTGGCATAGGGTCAGTAGACAGGACAGGAAAGCCAGTAGGATATTCGATAGGAGCTTGGGGTGGCAGTAGTAGTGCCACCTCATCCTGGCACGTGGGGCGCGACCAGGTGTTGCCTCGGCGTCGGGTCGATGCGGATCGTTGACGCATGCGTCTATTTCCCCTCTGGTCTGGCCGTAGCTCCTCTATTCTCTCGTGTTCGTGGTGATTCCCCACCCTGGTCACCCCTCTATAGTCGCCCCTATCGCGGAAGAAGAGCATTCCCTTTGCCGTGCTACCCCTGCTCGTACTACCCTAATGGCGTATACCAGTACAGGAGGAGCATGCTCGCTCGAGAGAACGCGCTAGTATCACCACCACCACCACTGCTACTAGTATTCGCAGAGGCAGCAGCGACAGCCACTACCACCACCACCATCACCACCACCACCACCACTACCCTCGGAGCAGCTTCAGGGGAGCCGCAACGGAGGGACAAGAGGAGTCAGAGCGAGAGCAGTAGAGCGCCGTGCCTCGCCACCGGCAAACAGTCGCACCCCATTTCGCGTATCCGAAACCACCCCTGTCGAGAGCCAGAGCCGACAGGGAGCCAACGAGGGTGAGCGAGGTCGGCGAGGAGAGGCGCGCGGCGAGGAGTGGCGAGGGTAGTCCTGGCGAAGGAAGAGTGGCAAGAGGAGAGTGGCGTGAAGAGTGAAGAGAGGCAAGCAAGAAGGCAGTGAGGTAGCCAGGAGGGTATGCAGGCAGGCAGGCAGCCAGCCAACTAAGCAAGAGAGGCAGGCTACGGCAGTGACGTCCCTGGGTGACTGGCATGGTGGCGGTGCTGCTGGATAATCCTCGCTGAGCCGATGACGAGGTCCCGCGGCCTGCTGCCACCCAAGCCGGCCACGAGTTCCCTGAGGAAGCTGTTATTCCGAGCAAAGCGCCGACGAAGACGGCGGCGTCGCGGCGACGCCGACGCCGGTGGTGGTGTGCCTCGCGCGTGATAAGCGGGCAAGATGCCGCGGTGTCTAATGGCCAAAAAGTGGAAGGCCTATCCGTGGCCGGATCGGGAGGATGACACTGTCGAGGAACCTCATCTACAAGATCTCGAGGATCCTGCAAGGCTTGACAAGCGGCAACAGCAACAGTCCCCGCAACAACAACAACATCAGCAACAGAGTCAGCGTTCCGAACCTGAGGATGAAGAAATCGACGTGGTGGGTGACGCCGATAATCGAGCATCGCAAACCTGCTGGGGACCTCATAGTCCTACCGCCGGAGCCACTGCTCCAAGTCCACCGCCTCTCAACGCTTCTGGCGCACTCTACTACCACGGTGAGTCCACCATATCAGAAATGCTCTTCGATCCTCTAGTTCGTACCCTCAAACCTAATCAAGCCACGCCCATACTGCGTTCTTTCTGGCTATCCTACGTCTTAGCCACTGTGTCCTGTTCGAATCCTTATCTCTGACCCAGTATCATCCTTCTCTTCTCATGCTACGCTTTGAATTGAATCATGCGTGGAAGTGCAGGCGACACACCCCCTTCTTACACGGACCCTCGTACACACTGTGCACAAGTCATACGTGGTTACTCCACACATTTTTCTAGTTGCTAGATTATTCTGACGCAAGTCACCAAGGCGGGATACCTTAGGAGAACTGGACAGGGACGTAGTAAGGCTGATGGTGCCCCAATCAACAGTTCACTTAGTCTTCTTCACCCTGAACGTACCACTCACTTCGGTGCCTTCAGCCTAAGCTTGCGAATGATAGTTAATCGATTAATAGGCTCAACACTCCAGTAGACTTTGCGTCTTGTCGAGTATATCAGTTCTCCTAGAATCAAAATGGTGTCCGTACTTCCAGCTAGAGAAAACATACGATTCACTACGTACCTACACACGTTTTTTAGGTTATCCATGTAGTCCATCCTCTCTGGGATTATTCTCCACCTCCCCCTAGAACACAGACAATTTCCGTACTGATTTCATGTTACTCTTACGGGGCACGTATTACCTGCCTGCATACGCGTACTAGCCGATGACTGTTCAACAAGTGGGCAGTTACTCGTAAGAGTTCGTTACTGCGAATGTTTGTAAATCACTCGTATAACAAGAAGAGTTTCTTGAAAGTCTGAATATCCATATCCACTCTCGTTAATTCTTCATACAGCATAAACTTGGTTCTTACCAAGAAGCCTCGGGGGTGTCCTTTACCTGTAAGCCAAGTTTTTACACAAATTAATCGAGAGCAAAGTCGTTTACGTAAATCTTACAAAAATACATCCACAATTTTTTTTTATCCAGAAAATATCAACAGTCGACCAGAGCGTGAAGTGTTCATTCGACATTATTGATCCTTTCCCCTCCTGTTGATGACATGCACATCTAGATACATCCACTCCGTTGACTTCCTTTTATTTCAGCCAATGAGAGAAGCGCAGCGAGAGATCGATCGTAGGCAATTTTGTAATACGTTTCTTTTCACGACGAGGAGAGAGAGAAAGAGAGAGTGACGGAAAATCTGGAGAACAAGACGAGGAAAGAAAGAGAGAGGGAACGCTAAGAGAGCAGAGAAAAAGAAGGAGAAGAGTGATCGATTTCTACCCTTCGCTTTCTCGCTATTTTTACCAAGTGTCGCAGGAGATTTTCCTCGTTATAGGGGTCGAAAAAAGGGAGGACCTTCGATTTGGGGATGAGAATAAAAAAAAAGAGTTTCGGTGGATTGATGCTAATGAAAAAGAGAGACGAAAGAAGGGAATTAGGTGGGACGAATGGACGTTGTATAAAAAAATTGTTGATAACCTACCACGATCACGCGTATTAAAAACGGCGATACGATATTAATTGAAGTTGCATACACGGTAGCGTTTAGCCAGAGGGTCGATGGTGCGCAACGCGCTACTTGTATATAACGTGCAACAGATACACGGTGAGATTATTTTTTACGCCAGGCTAATGGGCGCACATGGCACAAACAGCTGTTGTTGGTTGCAGGAAATGAAATGCTGCGGCGAAGGTGATTCATGAACTTACGTATTCATGGGGACCAGGTTGAATTTATCGGTGGATTTTAATTCCGTCGCCCGGAACGATTTTTGAGCTCGTGCTCTGCGCGAAAGTGGGATACGAAAAAATATATA